TAAATAATAGCTCGAGTCGTTCTGATTGATTGGAGTTTTCTTGCAAATTTGAGGTATATACTCAGAATATAGGGGATAGTGGGGTTAGTTCAGAACATAAAATCTCACTATTGTGTATTATTGATCAATAAATGATCTTATCAGAAAGGAAAAATCTCATATTGCCTTTATATTATGAATAAAATTACACCATGCAAAGTATTTCTGCCTTCCCCTATTTCATAACTTTCTGGACTTTATGAACATACATGTATTTGGGTCAATGAACGAACCCTCCCGAACCGCAATCTCACTTTATTGCAAATAATAATAATTATATGTAAATATTTAAAATTTCCCCGAAGAACCAACAGAGAAGATCTTCTCATGTTCTTCAACTACATATATGCTATACTATATGTCGCACCTCTCTTGATATTATTTGCTCTCTGTCTCTCTCAGCGATGCATATTTATCGAATGGAAGCACGTACTCCATTAATCTTTTAAAGTGAGCCACATTCTAAATTTCACTCTCCATGACATTTACCATGGCAAAGCATCGTGAAAAGATGCTCGCGAGGAGAGAAGAGTAGTATTGTATATTGTTATGCATCCCTAGAATTTTGCTATCACATCTGTTCTGTGGTATTTTCTTTACAATATACCTTTAGGATGAATAGCACCTTTTGATCCTCATTTCCATATTTCATTTCCCATTGAATATTCATGAAAATCCGCATGCCGTGGAAAACATATGATAAAGACTGAGCAAATAAATAGATCAAACCAGAAAATTGCTAGTGAAGAATAGATAGAGATGAGATTTCAGGATTACCAATATTGTAATTATATGTACATGAAGATCATACTGATGGTCATCGGGAATCGCAAAACATGCCAGGGTCGAATGTTAAAGATCACCCCTTATGAATGGCAATTGCAAAGAGGTGTGCACAACCATTTCATCTATATTTCTCTTGATATTCCTACCCACTGTGATATACAGTATATCGAGATGGAAAATAGAGATTTAAAACCAGAAATGAGGGAAGACACAGAGGTCGATATTTTATTTCCATTCCGGATCCACCCACACTTTGTTCTCTTTCGCACGTGTACAGAACAAGATTTCTCACCACCATAAAGCCCATATTGCACCTCTCCATTCATGAAAAAGTGAGCATCACCCATCGTAATCTTACAACTTAGTCGCTCGATTGTTAAGCCTTTCGCGAGATGTTTTGCTTGGAAGTAATAAACGCAAGACAGATAGCAACTCATTCATTCATGACTCAATGGGAGAAAAAGCCGCAACATTCAAATACTGAAGCTAGAGGATATGCACAGCCCACAGTTAATCGTCAACCATTCAAGAGATGACAATGTTGTGAGTCTTATTAACTGCAACAAACGTTTAATATCAATGGTTCTCCTTATCGTTTCCGAAAGTGAATGAAAAATATTTGCCGTGAACAAATTCATCTGGTGGTCTTGAGCATAATTGCAACATTATATTTAAGTCAATAAAGCACGAGAAGTGCATTGAGTTTCTAGCGACTTGTGAGGTTGAAAAACATTGTGAAGGTGTCTTGAAAATTGCACCTTTACAGACCTGTTTGTGTACTATATTCGTGACAAGAAACAAGCCACGCATTGTTAACGAATATTGCCACAATGATGGATATTTATCTCAGGCAGTTTCTTGCCTAATTACAACAGACAGTCATTCATGCAATAATTTATTTTCCCAGCTGCGAAAATGTTCCGCACTTTTTGAAGATTTCAAGGAAGATTTATTACACAGCATGCAAAAAATGAAGAAGGCCCAAAATTAAGGTAACAGGGAGGCCTCAATAAACATTTTACACATTTTAATTATTAAAATTTAAATTTAATATTGAATATAGATTTTGTTGAAATCCACATTTCAGTTTCATGAAATAAAGTATTACATTCATCCGCAACATTTCCCATAGACGAAACTAGCCAACTTTGTGAAGCTCTGAGAAGCGTGGAGTCAAGATCATACCAAGACCAACAATTCGAAGTGCCTCAGTAGGTAAGTGAGATGAGAAGGAGAAAATCAATTAAGAGTATTTTTCAATCTCAATAGACACAATCTGTGCAACTTTTGCAGAAACCACCTTTTAAACGAGCCACCCAACACATTATTCATCGATAGGCAACATTATCACATTCTCCATATAACTTCCACCGCGACTAAAGGCCTGGCTTTTCTGCCCTTCTTTTTGCACCAGCGTAAAATCAATCTTAATATTGAATATTAAAAAAGGGAAAAATCCAGACCACACGGCGAGTCGCACATAATTGCTACCCAAGGAGGAAATTCTCTCTCAAATGTTTATGTGTGTTGAACTCTAGAATCCATCATGAGGTCTTATTATTAGAGAAGATGCAACCTCAAGGCATCTTCTCAGAGGAATGAAGAGTCATAATAATATAAGAGTCACTAAAATTACGAATGAAACATGATGCCATCGAGTGCATCTTTTGAAACTTGCCAATCTTTTTGCACTCGTCTCATTATATCCACCTTCTTTCCTCGCATCATCACATTCACCCATCAATTTCCCACAATGTGAAATGTTCAATCCAAGCTCAAAATTGAGTTATTCGTGTGCAACGAAATTACTGTTTATTACCATTTATAAAATGAAGAGAGCTATCAATAATTAAGCAATTATTATTTATTCTCTTTAACCAATCATGTCACAATGCGACATACGTTCATATAAATCGTGTATATAAATCACATAGGTAAAAACGCGTATATGCATACATATATTTACTTGCGGAGGAGTTCCGAAACAACTTTCTAAATTGATTGTGATTTCTTTCTACCAAATCACATGAGACAAATTATTATATGTATAATCTCCAGTATAAAAATAGAAAAGTCCGCTTCATACTTATACACGATCTCGGATGTAATCGTGTTTTCGTAAGCATTAATAACATTGTGGTGTAATTGAAAATCTATCAAATAAACTCCGCATTACCGAGGAATTATCGAGTGCAATCTCCAGCCTCCACCATGGCTGAAGCGCTATTTGATGGATAATTTGAGTGGCTGTAGCATGAAGTCTTCTCATTTAAATGGCATTCAACTTAATCGGATATCTCTACTGGGTATGGGAGTCACACGACGAAAGTCTACCCGGTCTTTTCCACTCAATTAAAAGCACTCGACATGCATTTTGTACGGTTGAGAAGACAGACTCATTCACTTGGCCGGTATTATCGCCACAAAATTGACTTCTTTCTTTCTCTCTATCTCTCTCCCTCTCCCTCTGAACCACACCTACAATATTCACATAAATTTCAATATATAAAATCTCTCACTCATTTGGGTGTTCCGGGTGTTCTCTCTCCCCCTTCTTGCAAATCACTATATGCAAGACTTTAGCACTGACTGATTTATTACGAAAAACCGCGCGCGAATGGTGACTTCATGAAGTCAACTTCCACCAACTGTATCAAATGCATTGCGGGCAACATTCCACGTTGTGAATCTAGTTTGAGATAATATGAGACAATTAAGCACTGCGTCTTCGCTCTGTCCCTTGCCATAGCTAAACACCTCTTGACACAATCAACTACCGCAGGAAGACAGTATCTTTCTTTCCTCAGACGCAAGATACTAAAATAGCAAACATTTTAACGGTTCTGCACTCTCACCAATTTATATTGCAACCTTTAACCTTCACAATCTTTCCCACCAAGACGTTGCCTTCCATTGAGAAGTAATTCGTAGTGCCTACAATTAAATTTTGCCGTGATTGTGGTGACAAGATAATTGTCAATTTACCTGTCCTTTCAATACATCTCGCCATAATTCATTCACTTTTTCCTCCATTTCGCCCTTGAATTATCCCACAACTCATCGCATTTACGACCAGATAATCCCAGTACAATTCAAAGCGATCGCACAGAAACAAACACAAGTATTTAAGTAATTAAAAGTGGATTTAAGATACATTATGTTTAAGTGGATACATTCCATCAATCGCTCAAAATAAAACTGCCATGGATTCAATATTGAGCGAAGAAACGAAAAGAAAATTCGCGAGGATCCAAACAAACAAGCATGATAACAGAATATGTAAGTATGTATACTTCGAAAAATCTGCATGATTTCAGACAAACGTTTTAGCAAGGCGGGGTTATGGAACGGGAGTGATCTTATTTAGCATTCTGTTTTCTGTAAAAGTGAAGTTTGAATCCAAGCCAATTTTTCTATAGAATGTGTCTCTCAGTGTACAGTTTTTTTTGTATATAGTGAAGAGGAAGCAGAGACAACAAGACAAATCAAAAGAAGAGTATAGTGGAAAAATGCGTGGAATTTACTAACCTGTCTGGGTTTTTTACAAGCGAATTCAAAAGGAGGAAAAAATTATATTTGTCAACATTTTTCTTCTCCATCGTCTGCAATCACTCCGTTTGTATATGGAAAAAAATTATGTGTTGACCACTGAATAGCGCAAGTGAAAGTGAATGAGTGGCTATAAAATAGCAAATCATGTGATACAGTTTGCTCGCACGAGACTTTCCCGTCCCAACTCACACTTTCTGGGGTCTCATGAGCGGAAGGATGGTTGAGCAGCAGACAAATTGACGACAAGACGTTTGTCTGAGACACAAAATTGTAAACTCGTCTATGAGTAATATTAATATGATTGTGGCTCAGTGCCAATAGACAATCATTTAAAGTAAATGGACTCTGTCACACTTGAGCGTCTCTTCTGATTGCAGTCTCACGCCAAAGAATACTTCAATTCAGTGCTGAGAGAAATCTTATTATACATGTCTGATGTACTTGCATAACAAAGATGATATGTTGCCCGCCAAACAAAGCTCAACCATTCCAAATGTATGTTTTGGCTAATTTGCTGTGACACTTTTGGCTAATTTCATAAATTATTCCGCGATAAGTTGACACCCCTTTGATGCCATTTTACACACTGTTAGAGCGCACAATAAATGGTCAAATTCACTCACCTTGACAGCCATTCTCGCCTAATCCATGATACGTCTCCATGCATTGATCACACTTGAGACCCTCCACGCCGCTCTTGCAGACACATTGGCCAGTGTTTGGGTCACAAATTTCAGCTGATGATCCATTCATGTTGCACAGGCACGCCGGACAATCGAGCGATGCATTGCCGAAGCCCGCCTGGCAAAGATATTCGTGGAATGCAATTACTAATTAAATTGAAAGCACATGATGCTCCAGCATCAAGCAAATCTTCTGTGTGTTAAAAATAGGCACGCCATTGCAAGAAGAAGCCTTCGTCAGCTCAAATTACCCGCCATGGCAATTGACGCCAATTAACCAATAATGAATTATTTATACATCGAAACACTTACGGCACATTCATCGCACTTTAAGCCGCTAAAGCGACTGTGGCAGAGACATTGGCCCGTTCCTGGTTCGCAAATGTTGCTAATGGAGCCATTCTGGTAGCATTCGCACAGGTCGCAGCCCAGCTCAGGATCTCCCCAATAGCCGGGCTTACATCTCTCGCATTGCCAGCCTTCAGTGTTTCCGCTGGAAGAACAATTGAATTTGAAATTTCCTTGTATTGCAATGTTTGGCTGTAATTTAAAACTCACAGACAAATTATGCATCTTCCGGTGATAGGATGACATGGTCCTCCTGAGCATGAGCAGGGCAGACACTCCCCATCCAATTCAGTTGGTTCGCCGAAGAATCCATCATCACATCTGTGAAAGGAATGTTGTAATAATACTGCTAACTATAGCGATAGTTGGATGAGTAGGTATTTATTTTTGAGAAGAATTTAGCATATCGCTAAGAAACGCGCAAAGACATAAATCAATTGATTTTCGCGACTATAGTTTTTCAAAATCCTAATTAATTACTACTTATATGTACATATGCGAATTTCAACTTACATTTCACAGTGATTTCCCGTGTAGCCAAGGGGACATTGCGTACAGATGTACTCTTGTGTGGAGAAATTACTCAAGACCGCGAAATCTTCGCCGTCCATGGAAACGAAGTTGTGAACCGTTGGATAATTGTTGAGACTCTTTAGCTGGCAACTCGGCGAAAAGTTATTGCTGCTGTCCAACAGAGGGCATGCACAGCGCTTGCAATCATCTGGATTTCCCGCCAACGGATTCCCGTAGAATCCAAGAGCGCATCTCTCACATCGGTCGCCGGCGGTGTTGTGGAGGCATTGGGAGCACTTGCCAGTATCAAAGTCACATGTTTCAGCGTGACCATTGCAGTCACAGGGAATGCATCTGGCCAGCTTCTCATGTGTCGATGAATTTTCTAAGATGCGTACAAATCCGAAGGCACAAGCTTCACAGGAAGATCCCACATAGCCAAGAGGACACTCACACTGTTCCACTAGACTTTGATCACTCAGGATTGTCTCTCCGCTAAAGAGAGTAGCAGCTTCTAAGACACTCTCTACTTGATCTGTGTGGAAGGTTCCTCTGATGAGGATATTCTCGACATCACTGAGCACTGACATAAATTGTATTCGGGTGACAGGATCTCCGCGATATTCCGTCCTCCGGAGACGCGTAACAATATCCTTAATACTCCTGGGAACGTGATACCATCCGTCTTCTGTGAGGAATGTCTCCAGCGTTGTGTTGGAGTCCCTGAAGACATCATCACCAAAGGCAATCTTCATTCCATTCCTACCCACAATAATAATATTAGGACCAGATGTGGGCTTCCCGCTAGTGTCTCCACGGACAATTACCCAGGCTATGGACACGAGAAATCTGGATCCGTAGCTGGACAAAAGATTGCCACAATAAATCTTGGGCGCAACCCAGTAAATACTCTCCACTTCAGGCATTTCGTATAAGCCGAAAAAGAGATATCCAGTGGCATTGTCTCTTGATGGATAAGCCACTATTGACTGTGAGAGATCAGACATTCGCCACTCCTCTGCCGAAGAAACCAGTCCAGCAGTCAGTGAGCTACTCTTGCACGATACACCAACTCCTGAGCAGAAGCACTTTAAGCATCCTTCTGGATTCGTTGAGCTCAGGGAAAAATATCCATAAGAGCACTGATCGCACTTTTCTCCCTCCACATGGAGTTTGCACTGACAGTGGGATTCACACTCTCCTCCTGGCATTGTCCCTCTCGGGTCGCACTGGCACCTTGTGCAATTTTCGCCGTGATGTCCGCGAGCGCAGCGATCACACTTTGGTCCAGAGAACCCCTCTCGGCATACACATTCCCCACCGAGGGCATTGCAAGTCTCCAAGGCGCCCAGAGGGTGGCACTCACAGGGGATGCAAGGGACTTTGGCATCGGGTGGTGTTTGATGAGGTCGATAGAAGCCTGGAAGGCACTTTTCACAGTTCACGCCGGTCGTGAAATGCTCACAATCAATGCATTCGCCGCCGCCAGAAATTTCTCCGTGCATGTTCACACTGAGTCCTTTCTGATGCACTTCCGGACTGTAACGACAGTATGTCGCGTGACCGTGACATTGGCACATCTCACATTCGTTGGCGTGTGTGGCATTTCCAGGACGATAAGGGTGCTGATTGAAGAGAGGACAGCATCGCTCACAATTGGCGCCACAAGTATTATGACGGCATGTGCATTCGGCTTGCTGAAAGTTGTAAAATAAGATTAGAATCTTCATAGAAAGTTAAAAGTTGAGGTGAAACTTACATCATCTGGATTTGTGTTGTGACACTGATTGCCATGTCCTGAGCAAACGCATCGTCCGCCGATGCGAATGGATTTGACGGAGTAAAAACTTCTCTTGGCCATTCCCTTGTCATCCAGCTGCCATTCCACCGATCCTGCCTTGACCGTTGAATGCATCCTCATGAAACGCAGTCGAATATATCGCGCCATTGAGAAGTCTAGAAGCTCAGCTGACGAGGAATTTGCTCCTGGTCGTCCATTTATCAGCGATACATGGATCTCGCCGTTCTCTAGTGGAAGAACCTTTCCGAACTGTGTGGAGCAGATCACTTCCGTGTCTTCCTGGAAGACATATTTGCCAGTGTGGCCGGGCATCCCAAACTGGTGCTCGCACTCGTATACGGAGGAAGCAAAGTATTGCCAGGCAGCGTAGTTCTCACCATCCAGTGATCTTTCCCAGATCCACGCTGCCGGCCGTGGGGAGATTCCCGCCCGGATCATGAGATACAGCACTTGATAGACCTGGAATTCAGTACAGAAGAAAACATAAGTCAGCCTTACCAAACCATCACGAGTTACTGGTATGCGATTCAATTGCTTCAATTCCCTATTCTATCCCAATGTCAATTGCAATTATTTACCAGTCAAACTGTCTTCTCACAAATATTTTGATGGCACTCAGCGCGTGATGCTCAAGAGTAAGAGAGAAACCGAAGAAGAGGGGCAAAAGAAGATGCATTATTTGTCTTTGCTTCTTGTGATTTCCTCCACCTCGTGTTCTCCAATCTTTGTGTGAACAAAATGTTTTGTCTTCTCTTTTGTCCATTGCTTTACATGCCGACTCAAGTGGGAAAACCTCCCGTAACTGTGGCTCTCGTGGCTCTTGAGACATCACAACAATTGATGTTCATCTTCGTATCTGGTCATCAATTAATATGAGGTGGGTCATCTCTAGTCCTCGCCCTAAATGACGAATTAATCAAGGCAATATACGAGATTATATTACAGGTTCGTTGCCTGAGTCTTTCATTAGAAAGCTCCAAAAAAACACTCAATAAATTCACTAGGAAACCAATAACCAATTCAATTGCGAGAAATACATTCTCTTAACAGCAGGAGCAACAAATTTATGATACAACTTCTCAACGAGCGGAAAGTTATCATTTCCGACAGATTCGTTCTTTCTACAGTATTAATTGTCATTATTCGATGGGCCTCTTAAAATTGATCACGCATAAAAGTTAATTTGAAAAAGCATAAGGTTTATTGAGAATCTTACTGAGATTGCCAAAAAGTAATCCAGAAAAGAATCTCTCTCGAATTACGCTCTCACTGCTATGTATGTTTTATTGATGCTCGTGTTTATTCACCTCATCAGCCCATTAGCAACCATTCCACCCACCCATAAATGGCCAACGATTGCAATTTAGGTAGCATGTGTGGAATGTTATTGTTTCCCAGCCAACATGGAGCACATTTTGAAATCGTGCGTTTTTCTTCAGCATCCGAAAAGGCCGCAGCAACAAGAATTCTCCAATGTTGGCCCCCTTTTAAGGGCAATCTCAGGAATTTTTCCTTAGCAACAAGTTGCACTCTTTGCGAGCATCACGGATATAATTTAATGGTTAAAAAAACGTCTCAGTTTCCCACATATTATGGCATCTGATAGCACAGTAAATTATTCCAGCCCGGAGTCCTTAACTAGACCATAATTTTCACTCCAATAAAACTGATTGAGAGTCTCAATTTCGCGATAATCGCATTAAGTCCAGAGACTCAGCCAGTAAATCACACTGATGATTTTTACCATATGAACACCGCAATCCATCATGCCCAAGAGACTCCCTTTCTGACTTTCAATCCTCCTGAGCAGAAAAGAGTGACTCTTGTTGGTCTGGGAGATCCCATAAAAGGCAGATGATTTCTTCGTTGAGCTGCTGAATTTCAACATATAGTGACAATCGCTGATGGGAAACCATCGCGGAATACCTTTTCGCTTTCCATCGCCTTTGGCACTGAGTCACATTCCGGTTTGCAGGGCATTTCATTAATTCAGAGACGATCGACAGGAAGAAAAACCGCGCATTGCAATTTTATGTAGAGCAACTAAAGTCCATTGTTTGCCATCATGTTTCTCTGACCTCTTGTTATTCAATATTGCCTGAATTGCAATCTCTCAGGATGTCTCACGATGGATAATGAGGATTTAAATACTCCTTACATTAAATTATCTTTTAGGTAATAATCTCGCATGCGAAACATTTTAAACCATCTCATCCATCAGAAAGTGAAGTCTCGCCAGACTCGAGAGACTTTTGTCTTGAACGGTACCATTTTTGGTTCAAAGAATTGCCTTCTGCTGTGGAAGCAATAAAATACACACTATAAAATCCTTTTTCGCTCACTCGTTTACCCTTGTATACAATGGATCTCTGCCATGGATAAATAAGGAATCCCTAAATTCAATTTCTGCTATTCAACATTCAATTTCATCCGCAAAAACACCCACAAAATCACGCGGTTTTCTCACTTTTGACACCGAAAAAACGCGCACTTTCTTCGATATTCGCTGAAATGCTATCAACATGATCATGTATTCTTGTGTGGTCCTCAACAGCCAATTATGCAGTTTGTATACACGATGCGAAAGATGGGTCCATTGGCCCTGGGGTAAAATTAATTCTTGCATCGATCAATCATTGATTGTTTACAACTCCAATTTGCTTTATTCACTCTGGCGAGATTTTGGAATGTATTCAACAAATCGTACGAAAACAATGCTCAATTCTTATCATGTTTGATCCAACACGAGGAGGTTCTGCAGAAGAATCGATTAATCTCTCTCATAGCTTATAACATAAACAACCAAGTTTTCACGAGTCTTTTTTTCTATTTAACACTCAATTCACACAACGAAGTGCTTTGAAAGCGATTTTCATATTTATTGCAAACGGACGATATGTATTTTCATTGCTGGAAACCTTTCTGATACACCAGGTTTTCCAATAATCTAAATCGAAAGAAACCAAAAATGAAAGAAGAAAAGACATGCAAACGCAAAAAAACATAATGCGTAAAGTTTCTTATTAAGAAGATTATTAAGATTGTCTTTATACGAAATTTTGCAATCTATGATGTTCTTTCGAGCTCTGAACATCTTCTCTTCTTTTTATTTGGGGCTCATAAATTTAAAAAAAAAGTACCCATAGCCATTAACGAGTTACCTTTCAAAATAGTAATTAACCCAAATAACATTTTTGTCGCTAAAATAAATCAACAACTAAAAAGTTCCCCCAATTAACGATCACAATTCTCTGTCATCTATTCTTGCACCCACCCTAACAGAAATTGAAACAATTTATTAAAAATAAATCTCTCTTCACACCCCACGAAGGTCGCTAAACTTGAATATCGCGACTTAATATGCATGAAAAAGTCTCGTGATGACAAATCACATCACATTTTCTGTCAAAAATAGCATCAACGAAAGGAAAATCTTCCCCTTTATTCTTTTTGCAGTCTTGTATCTAAAAATACATTCATTCTGTCGCACGCGCTTTTTGCACTCACATGAATCATCCGGCCTTTTGCCACTATTTGTATATTCTCAACAACGATTCTTGTGGTCGTAATTCTAACACGATATTGGAGAATCCTATGAATTTATTTGGTTCCATAATCCCTTGAGGTGAGGGTGTTGTAAAGTGATTGCGATTCTACAAGAAGACATCCACATAAAGTCTCTACATCTAACATGAGCATCCAGACAATGGAATTTCTCGACAAAATTCTTCAAACATACTTCTTTGGCACAGCACATTGAGGATAAATGATTGGGTGTTGTGTATCTTGAGTGTCATCACATTTCAAAACAGCCAGAGCACATCAATTAAACGGCAGTCAGATGTGCCGAGGCACGAGATCATTTGAGGAAGAAATACACGATCAGATCATTGAATTGTGGCGTGTGCCTTGTCCAATAATTCCCCCATCCAATATGTGTTTATAGGATGCTAAACGCCAAATATATACAAAAGATTCACTGTCTAACATTTGATTTTGCCGTTTAGTACTGTATCACCTTCTCCGTGTATATTTTTTCATCTAATCTCTGGATATATTCTTGATGTCTCTCTTTTCATCCTTCTCCGCGTATATTCATCCTATTTTTAGATCGGAACACACTCACTACTCTTCTGGACAAAGTCTTTCCCGACCATCGATGAGACGGTCGACGGGCGTCTTCAGTGAAAAGAGCATTAAATATATAAGCATTGAAGGCAACTGTGCAACTATTATTTACGCCATACTTAAATACCCTTTGAGCAATTATAATGCGTGATCTATTTGCGACCAAAATACACTTCCCTTTCATTCCATCGCATGGCGACGTCGCCTCGCCGATGATGATGATCATGACATTTCATCACGCCTCCTTCCGGTTCTCTATGATATTCGTCAGCAAACCCCATGACCGTGGCATTCCCGTCCTCACTCAATCCTTACCATGCACGCACCATTTCCCACCAATAAGTCATTCCGCCAAAGATTAGCCACAAAGTGCAATTTAAATGCAATACCATAACTCATGCTATCCCTCCGATCTCGCGCCAACAAAGGGATCAAATAAACACTTTTACAAAAATATCTCCGCATTTTATGACTGCGACTCATGGCGTTTCGTGGGAGAAATCTCCAATCATAAGTCCATTGTGCCAACAAACTGTCCTCACTTCATATCGTCTTGAGAGCTCTCCTCAATTAACAAATTGTTATAGTACAGAGAATGTTAATTCAAGCTTCATTCAGTCACTCAAGTAACACTTGAGGAATGCTGATGCAGAAAAAGGGGCAATAACTATTAAATGGGGAGAAGTTATAACTCTACAATTAGCTGAAACAATATTTGTGGAAAGAAACTTCAGAATACGATCTTTCGTCATTACTGCTGAGAGATTGCTTTTCCATTGACGACTTCTAACATTAAGGAGAAAAAGGGTAAGACGATCAATCATCACTTGAAAAGTGAAAAAGTTGAACTTTACAATAAATGACGAGTGCAACATTTTCGTTGTTCAACTCCATGTTAACATGTAATTCAATTTATTCTATGCTTGTAGATGACAAGCATATTTATGACTCTATTGCTACTGCTAAATTAGAAACATGAAAAGTGAAACTTAAAACAATTCCAATTATCGGCAAAACTTTGTGTACGAAACTCTATCATTATTTCAAATTCACACAAACATTCAGTGCAGAAATAATAAAAATTTCACCCAAAAATCCTATTCTGGCATGTTCTTTTTTTCAGATTATTATGCGAGCTATTCACGATTTCCGTTTGTGGTACCGCACTGAAGGTATCGCATAACCCAGCAAGAACATCACAATTCCATCGGCGTGCCACCTGGGAATTGTGGTTAGATGTTGTGGTCGCCAAATGGAAATTGATTGACACGATAAAGGGCAGCAAATGACGCATTTCAACTCTCATTTCTCCCCAACTCGTGAACGATTTAAATTTCCCCGATTAGATTCCTCACTGCACAAATGCGTGCAATTGTCTGTACTTTGATGTACTCACCTGTCCAAGATCCAGTGTAATTGTTACTTGCTCGTACTGTGGTCCATTGCTGAGTGTGGGACTTTGCCACCATCTGCTGCTCTTGTCAATGGCATGAGTAATTGGGTGTCTCTTCTCCTGATCCGGGCTCTTGGCGTCGCAAATGCCGCACTGCGATCCACGAACTCTGGAAAGGGTGTGCAAAATGAGAGAGAAATTATACCCTGGCACTTTCTCACCGCGTGAATTGAGATGTTAAGGGGTGTATGAATCTTACTTCATTGGATGGGCATCGACAAGTTTGCAGTACTCTTCACGTCCATTTTGACCACACGTTGCATTCACGGCAATCGATGCCTTCAGGGCGACATTGAAGACAGAAGGCCACAATCCTCCGCTCTGTGAACTCTCATCCGACAACCCGGCCAGCAGTCGCAGAGCTGGAACAATTGTACAACATAAGATAAGCTTCTAAACTCAGTTTTATATCATTTTGCTTGAGTGTCGGCTATAGAAATCCCACTGGATGCAATTATTCAATAAAAAAATTGGACTGTGAAACCGGAGGGAATCAACTCATTTTCTCAACTACTTGTCGCTAGAAATAAAGAGGGTTTTCGCTTCATCACAGCTGGAATAAATAGTTTAATAGATCATCATTCTGTGGGCAGACTTTATGATTCCGTCCAAATATTTTATGAAATCTCCCTTTGTTTGCTTCTCATCACATACAAAACGCCGCAATGGTGCTTAAATAACCACCAATTTTGCGGAAGTCATTAATTTTTATTTTCTGCACAGACTTTGTCTACAGATTTGCAAAAGTAAAAAGTGATCTTTAAAGTTAAAAGCAGCCACAAATGAAACGAAATAAAAGCAGTGCCGTAAAACCATAACTAACGAAGGTCATAAGAATAAAATATCACTGATGAAGATCTCTTGATAAATGTTGCAAAAAATCCTCATAAAAATACAAATTTCGCAATTATGTATTCCAACCTCAGTCGTAGCTTCTCTGCACAATGTTGGCTAATATGGTGAATAAAAGCTCTCGATGTCAGTTGATAAATTACTGCTGAAAATTGAAATGCATCGCAGAAGTTGCTCACTGTTTTCCTAAGATCACCAATATGCATATTGAGCTCCAACTCTATTTCTATGTCTTGCACTCAAATTTCGAATATGCTGAGATGCATAATTTGAATTGAACAGAACGGGTTACAATCCGAGAAGGGAAAACGCTTGAAAAGTTGACTTGCTGCCTGATAGATTAACCATTGACTGTAATTCATGGACTGTAATCGTGCCTCTTTCACCGATACTGATTACAACATTTGAGACGACTTTGCAATTGGATTATTTATGGTTTTCACGCAGTGTTGATTGCAACAGTTGACAAAAATTGGGAACATTCTATTGGCGCTTCGAATCACAAAAGTTAAAAGGCTCCCTGTTGTGAAGTCGGCCAGTTAAAAAGGTGAGAAAGGACTTCACTGCATTTTTATCAGATCCACTTTAAAATCCTTCAACAATACCTCTTGGTTCTTTTGTTCTCTGCGCCATTTCTAAACACACCGTTCAATTTAACTAACCCGAAGAGGCACGAAAAGATAGAAAGTGACGGTCGAAGAGTATGAGAAAAATATTTAATAGGATTCAATTTGGTGATTACAATCAAATATTGGTGGGGGAGAAACGAAGAAGAAACGGAAAGAACTCTGATCTATGGAACGGACAAAGGATTAACATCATTCTTCAATTTGTTAACACATTAAACCTCGTAATCGTGATAAATTGAGTCACAAAAGTGAAGGTTCAAAATTGGCGGCATTACTCACTTGCTTATCATTCACTTTGAAGTGCGAAAGAGAGTGTAAAATTAATTAGGTAAACGGCAAAATTCTCTTTTGAGTTTAAGAGCTGAATTATAAGAAAAATAAAGGTTCATGCTATCTACAATACTTGGCGATTCCCAATTTGTATTATTTTTTTTTTAGAAATATTCTGCAATTTCAGCAGAAAAACGAGAGAAATCTTTTTTTTTTATTTTCAATGCGTTCTAGAAAAAAAAACACAAAGTTCTGGTGATATATCTAATACGCGCAGATTATATGCATGTGCTATAATGTTAGTACTTGCAGTTGAATTTGTTCATCTGTGGATGAGAGAAGGCATAAATAACAAACAATGATTGATGCTGGCGATAGGCAAATATGAACTTGGTAATCGAAGTGGATTGCATTGTTGCTAAATATACGCTTTCATTGTGCACTTCTTGCGACTAAAAAAATATATAGATTGAAAACAATTTATGCGCAACACGAGAGAGGCTGGATTTCTCAGATATTCAAAGAACAACAGAGTTTCTTATTATTAAATAAAAAAAAAAAAAACTGAATCTAAGTGATTATTAGGAATTCACTGCGCCCTTGGAGCCACAATATGAAGATTTCTGGTGTGAAAGAGAAACTCTCGAGAAATGAAGAGAAAAAACAACGTTGACGTTTCATGGGAAAGTGTTAGATGTAGCATAAATAAGAGTTTCCTTTAAAGAGTTCTTAACTTGTTTACAATTTCTTCTGTGGTGTTCTTCTGTCTTTCTTTCCCATTTCCTCTGTTGAATTAGCATTTATGTACAATTGCCTATATGTACTACGACCATATGATGCATCTCGTCTGGAGAAATACCGAGATTGTTCAATTGTGGAAAAACATACATTTTTGCACAATGAAAAGCAATGTTCCTGGTGTCACGTTTACTGTATTGAGATTTCATTTCTCGCATTCTTTTATCCTTTCATCTCTCCTCAACTGTTATCTCCCTGGCATTGGCATAGACAACAATTACGTTTCAGTTTGCAATTGAATATCAATTTCAATTTATTCGCGCGAGCTTTAGTGAAATATTTCTAATTATATATAATGTATATTAAGTGTTTATGAGTCTATATTTAGAGAAGATGAATAGGAAATGAGTTACAAAAGCCTTTGGGCAATTTTTCGGGAATCTCATGAGAAATATTCGTCTATGGGAGCAGAAAATCACTGTTATTATTTGCCTCTAATTCACATATTTAGCTCACATTATATTGCTTTTTTGAGACTAAATTGCAGAGCTATCACGGATGGAGTTTGCCATAAAAATTTCATTCGTGAAGTTGTAATTATCGTGGCTATTCTTTCCCCATTGTTATCAAAGTGGTGAGAAGAGGTTGGCCATATTGACTGGAAAAATGCGTGATTATCGTTAACTTTTCACCATAGATTCAAGCAAGATGAATATGTACCGAGAGAGTACCAGAGAAAAAGCATAGAAAGGCATAAGTGCCAGTTTGGCCGAATGCAAAGTGTGTAAATAAAACATAACATGAGCCTCGATGGTCAGTGGCAATGGTTGTAATAAAATAAATAAGACTTGAACACACTATCTCTTACCTTACCCATGTGATTCCATGGCGCTCTAACGGCATTCCTGTGATATTTTTCCACACACCGCGCACTTAAATTGAGAATTTGAACTTAAAGTGCGTTGGGAGAGAAAGGTTAATCAATTAACTCAATCTCCTTCTTCTGCTTCTTTCCACCCAATATTTATTTTACATACACAAAATGTTAGCACGTTTGAGAGAATTCGTGATCCATATGGTCAAAGAGTCTTCTTTCTTTTCACTCTTTAAGCGCGCGCACATCTGCTAATATGCATGTATATACGCCAGTAAATTGAAAGTTATGCTTACGATTGCACATTCCCAGGGCAAGAGAACAATTATAATCTCAAATGAGTATTTTTCGGCGTGTTTTTGGGATTGTTTTCACCAGTACAGATAGCAAATCACTTAATAATGAACGCTCAGCTTCGGAGTATTACCTGTTGAGTCTTTTCGGCGCGCCTGACAATTCAACATGCATGTAATAAATTTGTTAGGGAGCAGAAAGGAAGAGGTAGGAAATGTGAGAAAGAACAGAAGATGAGTGGAAGAGAAGAAAAGAAGTTCCTGACAGAAAGAAATGCCATTATTCATTTAGCCAGTCAGCCAAAGAGCCATTATCATAATTTTTAAATGTTTTTCTCGTTTTAAAGTTATTTTCGGGAAATTCTTCCCTTCTTCGCTTCTATGTTCCTCTATTTGGCCCTGTCTCGGCACTAGAGTGCTTCTTTTTTGTTCAAGGGGGAGTTCAGGGGGAACAGGGAGGAAACGTGAATAGCGTATCAAAGCTGTTTATGATTGTCTCAAGAGACCACCAGAATTGTTCCATGCAAGGTGAACAGTTTCTTTATCTGTGACTAAATAGGAGAGCGGAACGAATGACATTTTCCAATGTAATAAATATTTTTAAGGATTTACAGTGCGATTGCACTTCTTAAGCAGCACCAGAAGCACGGCATAGCGACGAAAGGGGCTATTCTGGATAGATACTAAGTTCTTGAATTTTTAAGTAACAAAACATAAAATTTATAGAAACTTTGCCCAATTTCAATCAATTTTGTTAATAACCTAGCCATCAGGTGTGTAAGAATCTTTATTTCATTCAGTGAGTTATCTCGGTAATAAAAAAAAAAAACATTTACTTGTGTAACAGCTGTAAAAGCTTACATCGTACATAAAATAGTATTTAATTGCGTTAAAAATGAATTGAAAAATAAATTCCCGCATTTCCAAAACTGATGACTTGAGCCCACGCTTTCAGAGATTCACCTTTTCAATTTCAGTGTGTAATGTGAGTTGGTACAATATGAGAAATTGATTTGAGCTCATCGACATGGAATTGTGTGTCATTCACACTGCGCATCTCTGTAGAGTTTATGTCTCCATTCTCAGTGGGGAATTTCGCACGATTTACGCTTCTGGAGTGGCGCGAAGGCGAAGAAGGAAAAGTCGCGAGATCTCACACAAGGTAAGAGTACAACAAAAAAGAACCCCAATCGAGAGTTCTGTTTTGCATAAATTATCTTTAATCATCGTGCATTATATATTTGTTAACAGTATAGGTAATAGCACATCACCATAATAGGTCACTTCTTGAAGCGCCACTAATGTGTTGAAGCATAAAAATATTGGTGTTTCACGCAATAAAATCGCAGCTCAAGTGTGGACGATTAATTGACGTTAAAACACCCTGGAGCCAGACACCACCCCACACGCTATATATGGCATTCGCTTGCCATCTTCGCGGATGGCGCTCTGGAGGAGTTCCTCAGGGGCAAGTCTTCCCTCTTCAGACACGCCGTGATTGCCAGTTGTCTGCTGAGATGAAACCATCTTTGGCAGAGGCAGAGTCAGACAATCATTATGCTGGCAATCTCTGGGCTTCTTGCTCTCATGTTTATGGGCATGGGCGCGGAGGGAGAAGAAATCGACAATTACTAGAATTGTTTAGCTGGTTGTTGTCAAGTGGTTGGAAATATTTGGTGAATCGGAGGATAGAAAGTCCCTCAGCACCGCTGGAATTTGCAACAGGTCTCAAAAGCTATCAAGTGAAGGTGTTTATTATCGACTTGAATCATTAATTCTTCACAGATATCGTCAAAACATCCCACTTTGACCAGCAAGCGCACATATCAACAGGAGGAAATTATTATCCGATAGGCAACCCACCGCGGAGATGGCAATTAACAGTTGGCTCATAATTTCATAGACTCTGCAGAGCCTCAGTCCTTATTTGCTCATCTTCAGCCAGCCTGAATAGGACCGCCCTTATCGCGAGATCAACACGATATGCTCAGTTATGTGAGACTGTCCAAGTGCCATAATAGGCAATTTATTTTCAATAACAATTCGCATTCGCAGATAACACAAGAACAATCAATCATCTCCATTCGCGCAATTATAAATTGAAAACAGACTGGGCGAATAGTAATTTATCGTTTATTTACATTTCTTACTCTGTCTTTATTTCTCTACTCTTGCCTTTCATGTCTTGTCCTCACGAGTCCCTCAAAAATTGACTCATTACTCAAAGACACTCTGTGCAGCATCACTATCTACAATGCTACTGAATTCCATTTATCTTTCGCACACTCGGCACAGTCTTGCATTTTTGCCCCGAAACTCCTGCCCCAAAGGAATGACCTTTAAGAAATTGGTTACACCTGAGATTCGGCTCGGCGGCAGAAAAGAAAAGCGACTCTTAGGCTGGGATCCCAAGAAAGGAGGAGCCAAAGATATTGGTATTTTGTGTATTTTCGTCTTCGTCCCCCATCGAAAAATGCTTTAACGCACATTACATCGGCACGCAAATAATAAATTTTGTCTTATGCTCCCTATGGTGAAAGAGGATGGCGAGATATGATGCCAAATTGCCACGGATAAGTGCTAAAAGTGGTTTATCATTATCCTGCCCCGCACACTACATCATTTCTCATAATATTGTGTTAAATCAATGAGAAATATTTGGAATTTTATTGCCTCTTCAACTTGAGCAAATAAAGTGAGTTAATTTATACATACATTTGGGTTACTTTGCGAGTAAAAAAAGCTTCGTTTTGACACTTGAAATATATAACTAGTGTTGATTACATTCTCCATTTAATACATTTTAGTGACTTTTAAATTTAAATGTGCTGCAACATCTGATACACTTTGTATTTTGATAGTTAATCATTGACAAATGTTCAATATAAGTAACGTATATTAATTTAATTAATATTAAAAAATGCAGTTATCGAAAACGCCGTGTTCTTTTCAGGTAAAATAGGTAGAGATTTAGCAAGAAATGTCCTCAAACGCTGTGTGAAATACGTGTTGGTTCTGAAGAACTTAAATATACACACTCTGCTTCAAGGGTGTGTACATAACATAAAAATTTAACAGCAAAGAAAGAAGTATTGTGGCATTCTTCGAAAATATGTCTCCCACGCTTTGTACCACATTTTATTAAAAGTCTGTGCAAATTCTAGAGGAAGTGATTTGTCAAACATTTGGTGAATTTCTAATTGGAAACACACGTTCAATCTGTTGAACATTTGCAAGCGAAATTTCTTATGATTTACATAAAATGTAAGAACTCCTGACTCAGGCTTTATGTATGTATTTCTGCATTGAATTCCAGAAGCCGTGAGATATTTCATTACTATTCCTGACTCTCATTTTCTCTTTCAATAATTCTCACACCTCGCCAATGGTGAACAACTCCCAAGAGATGATAATTCTCCGAAACGGTCCGGCTAGACAGACACCCGAAGGCGTTTTATTTACCTTCTATTATTACTCATTTTGTACCTTCGTCAATTTTTCACTCTTCAGCCGCACATTTGGCCGTAAAGTAGCTGACGAGGCGCACTTTTTGGTCATGCTTGCGCACTGGAATTCTTTGTGGGCGACTCTTCATTGGACAATACCGAAAATTCACCCTGTGTCTCTTCTTCACCTTTCTTCGAATTGGATTACAAGGATTCCTCGCTCCTTAAGCGTGAGCACAAGAAGTTATGAAATATTGCAAATTCCCCTATACTGTTTTGCGATCGCATCGCGCGCTATGAAGCGCAAGAAGAGTGAGAAGTGTAGCATCTCAAGTGGATGTGCAGTGATCATCTCCCGATCTTGGGATGATGAGAAGATTATATGGCAAAATATGTGGTGGTTGTTCAAGTGCTAGTTACCATGTTTGTTGTGCCTTTGTCGTTGACCCTTCTCGGATTTCTGATCATTGTCATGCTTCTTCTTAGCCCAGCCATTGCCACTGTTAAAATCACTGACCCTTTCATAGCGATAATCCACTTCGCGAACCGTTTGATGGGGTTTCGCCCCCAAGGAATAGAACACGAAGACACCCAGAAACACCAAGAGCACCTCCACTCGAGACAGCATTCTATATTGGGACATTCTTGATGAACTTTCTCACATTCTTTGTCACTTGCATCGCCGCAAGACATGCACTTTTCTCACTTACGTAACTCAATTATTGCCACAATATTCACAAATTCTCCTGGAGGCTTAAACACTCCTCGGGGCAAATTAAGCCGCTCTCGAGGGCCAACAAATAAATACAAGAGCCAACAAGAAAAGGGAGTGAGAATGCGCGCGAGTCTCACGAAAGCCCGAAGAAGACTGACTCAAAGTTGAGTCTCGTGTGCGATCGGCACCGCTCTTAATTTCTCTCTCGTGGAGCGCCGCTGGTTTCCACCAGGAATACGTCTTGCAGACAGTAAATAAGAGACAGAATATTATTCCCATCCGAGAATCCCGAATATTACAATTTCGCTGAAAATTCTCTCGAATAGAATTCTACAGGAAGACAGAACAGACATGCTCTAGGCTTCTCTAGCGTAGAGCTTGAATTGAGAAATACTCTAATCAGTGGTAATAAAAATATTTTTGAAGCATTAACATAACTACTAGATTTCCTCAAATTTTTTAAATGATCATTTCTTCTGCAAATATGCGGAAAACTTCTTTTTTCTCCAAATACAAATACACGTACTTTGTTTATCCATAACCATTCAAATAGACTTTTCCCCAGTCACGTTGAGGGTTAACAGCAAATCATTCTCAGGATAAAGAAAGAAAGCTCATCCAATTTTCTTATCATTCTTGTATTTCCTTATTTCGGGACAATACATGTTTATGCGCGCTTCTGGGCCAACTCACGCGCCTTGGCCTTCTCCAACTTCCTCTGGCGGGCGATGCTCTTGAAGCCGAGCAGTCCTCCTCCCCAGTGCTTCCTGATCTCGTCGTACCGCTCATTGTAGTTATTTTTCACGGTTTCAACGAGTTTACCAAGAGTCACGCGGTCATTGCCATCAACCTGAGTCAGGCAGACGCATGTGCAGGTCTTGCGTCTCACCAGAACGCCCAGGCGAGCCTTACCCTTCACGATCACGTACGGGACGCCCATCTTGCGGCACAAGGCCGGGAGGAAGAGAACCAGCTGCAAAGCAAGGAAAAGTTGTGTTACTAATCCTTCAGCTCTGAAGCCAAATTATATTGTTGAGATTATATATTGAGATTCAGGGTCAAATTCGCAACATTTGAATTCCCTGGCGAAACTGCAGCTTCTCCAGGGTTCAGGTGAAGAAATTATTTTCATCATTGAGGAAAGGTTGATAAGAAGATTGAGATTGAAGAGACTCACCTCAATGGGGTCCACATCGTGAGCAATCACCACGAGCGAGGCTTTCTTCTGCTCCACCAACTTCGTCACCGTGTTCGTTCCGGAGCGGATGCTGTTCGGCTTCTTGGATGGCGGGGCTTCCTTACCTTTAGCCTTGGCCTCGGCAGCATTCTTCAGGCGCATTTTCTTGGCCAGCTCACTTTCCGGACGGTACTTGTCCAGCAACTTGAACAGCTGCACCGCCGTCTGCTTATCGGCCGTCTGGGTGAACTGATTCACCGGAGGAGGCACCTTCAAGCGTTTCTGCAGCACCGATTTGTGGCGCTGGATGCGAATGTACTTGGGCCACTTCACAAATCTGGCCAAATCCCTCTTGGGCTGCACATTTTGGCCTGTTTGAGGTTATGTCACACATTAGTTGTTTTCATGCCCTTATACACCTTCTTCCGACTATTTATCCCGTTTCTATCTACTCACCAATGCCGAAGTTCTTGGTGCGCTTCTCAAACAGTGGATTAGTCACCTTCTTGGGCTCAACTTTCTTCACCGCGAGGGGCGGAGGCGCAACCTTCTTTCCCACGCGCTTCTTCTTATGTTTACCGCCTGGGCGTCCCTTGGGTCCTCCCTGCAACACGGATATCGTTAGTACGTTGGCCAGGTGGCATGTTTTAGGTGAAATAGGTGTGAAATTACCTTCTTAACAACCATTTTTAGCGAAAAACTTCACGAAGCAATGTAGACACGCGGCGGAAGTTTGCTGAAAAGAACGACAGCGGCGCTGTCAGCGAAGTGGTGAATTTCTCAGAGGTGTGAGCAAAAATTAACGCGGCGGCAACAAAAATTAACCACTCGTATTGCATTTATGGACTTTAAATTTACTATATTTTGCAGATAATTGTTTATAAAATATTATTATTATTCTTGATCTTGTCCTTCTCAAAACACATTGATAAAGTTGGCTGGGATATTCTTAAGATTTGCAATAAATATGCACAGTAAATGGTTACAGAGTGGTAGCAAAGTATAATAACATGTATACCTACATATAAGCGTCAAAAAATAACTTATTCTCTGGAATTCTACTCAAACCTTCAGAAGTCAAATAAACCATAATGTACGAATTCAACACTTGGAAGATCGACACAGTCGTGTCTTCTTTGCCTTTCTCTCATTCTCTTTGCTTTCTATGAATTTGACTGTTTTTAGAATGGATGTGCTGAAATGATGATATGATATTTACGTAATTTTCTGCAACAATATTTAAAAATAACTTCTGAAGACTTTGAAATAAATACCAGCGCCAGTGTGACTGCGAAGATCAATGTTCTCAACCCTTAAATTCTCACGTTGCATCCATCCACACTACAATTGAATTCACACTCTCCCTGTTAACTTCTTGTATTCTTTTTCTCATGCCATCTTTCTCTCTCGCGCCATTAGGAAATATTTCGCATGTCTCGCGGAGAGTCGGAGCAACATAAATAATTTCCTATGTCTCGCAGAACACTTTTGCTTGTCGCCATGAAATCATCGCAGTGCGAAGACAAAGAGGGACTTTCTTACTTCTCCTCTCTTGTTGTTCTTATTGTGGGTGGCGTACTCAACATAATTGTGCTCTTTGTGATTCTAAAGAGGGTCAAAGTGCGTGGTCAGTGATGAAAATTCAGGAAAAATTCATATGAAATTACAGTCGCAAAATATTTTCAGGCACGTTCTGCTTTATTCTGCAACTTGTGCTGTGTGACATCATTTCCCTATGGATTTTTCCGCTGAAAATGTGGATTTTACCGGAAAATCACTGTGAACTTCCCTATGGGTTAGAAATTCTGGCGGGAACGTCGATCACATACATAATTATAGCTGTGAATTTTCACGCAATCTCTACGCACAATCTCGCAGTGTGTCACCACTTGAAGGAGCTGCAGCGGAGACACCACACAGAGTCCCAGCTCCACACCCTGGATGAGTGTCACGGCGAAAGCGCGGGAAGTGAAGTGAAGACCCGGAGAACACTCACAATTGACTACAATCGCATGAAGAGGAGCATTTCCGCCATTCTACCCACCGTGACCATATGGATGCTGGCCACATCAATGGCCCTACCGCATGTCCTATCACTTCACAGCCCAGAGAACACAATCAATTCATGCTGCTCCCTCGCTATGCACATTTCTGGGCTGGAAGCATTACCGTTTATTGTGATGATTGTCTTTCAAATGGCAATTCCCACCCTCTGTCTCCTGGGTGGGGTGATCAATGTGGGTGTGAAGCTCACAACTTTCCAATTAGACCTCAAGATGTGCAAATTGGCGGAAAATGTCAAGGAGCTTCTGGTATTTGCCCTCGTTCTCACCCTCTCTTTCATCCTCTGCTCACTCCACAGCAACAGCCTCAGATTCCTGGCCAACCCCACATCGCAGTATCTTAAGTACCTCTCCATTGCCCACTGCTTCATGCCCGCAATTCGGCCCTTCATCTACTTGACCACCTTGAAACGCTTGAGAGGGAGTATCATGATGTTCTTCACTCTTTAATCACTCTCTCAAACCCTCCCACACTACTCATGATTGCCCGCCGCTGAGGAGATTCTGCGGTCCTCTTGTATTAAATTAGCATTTATTGGTGTGGATTGTTGACCTCGCCAAGGAAAAGCAATAAAAAGCAATTTGTATTAATAATAGCAACCGGAATAATTGGTCACACTATATCAAATGATATTGATTTCAGAACATTGTGTAAGGAATTAAGATTGAAATATGCTGCCAAAGCGTTCCAAAGATCTCGTTATGTATAAAATAAGAAATTGTCTTCACTACAGCCGAATAGTTTTATAAAGCTCCAATAAACTATTTCAATACTACCATCAAAGACAAAGAATTTTACCTATAAGTAATCAAAACATATTGTGTAAAAAAATACCGGTATAACTAGTATTCAGCTTTTTTCAGAAAATTAAAACAATCTTGTTTTTTTATTAATTTGTTGATGTAAAACCAATCCCGCAAAAAATGACATAAAAATGATCACTTCTGTGTACATTACCAGCACAAAATGATTTAATGAGTGTTCATCTCTATTTCAACAATGGCATTCACGTGTCAATGAAATACTCATTTTTGTGTGACTATAAATAAAAAGTGAATACATATTTCTGTAGTTTGAAATTTACTCCCTATTAAGATTTTTTATTTGCGTTCATGAATGAAAAAAATACAAAATCTATTATTGGTTGAAATTAATTTTTTTCAACAACAATAGTACAACTGACGTAGTGATTATTTAAGAAAGCCATTAATATTGACATTAAATCGAATATTCCATGGTGTGAAACAAAACACTCAAGCTATTTTACTGTGAAACACAACAAAAGAGGTTTTATGTGTTTATTCTCTGCGCTGAATTGAGTTAATTCGATGCGTTCGATATATTTTAAAAATAGTCACAGTCGCAAGAAAATTCTTGATAATAAAATTGACTCCTTTCTGACTATCTTCCTCAGTAAATTATCAAAATTTGCACTTTTGCCGACTGATTGCCCATTGAGTCTCATTTAAAAGCATCGAGTGGATGTTGCAAAAATTTATCCAGCTGTTTCGCACGCACTTTGAATACCAAATGTAATAATTAACGTCATTTGTATTCCAAATATTGTGTATTTCTTCCGGTGGTAGCAAAGAGGAGTGACAATATTTCCACAGTCCTTGCTTGACCTCTCAATATTTATAAATAATGTTCATCTGCTGATATGAATTTCAATAGAGCACATTCCACGAAATGAATGATGACTTCAATTCTAATCGCAATTAAGAAATTCGCCTTGAGTCTTATGAAATTGTTCATTTTTGGTGGGCACGAGCTGAGTAACATTTTGACTCTGAAAGATTAGGACCAGAAAGTCAAATAGAACAGTGTCTAAAAATTGCACGATCATCTCACAGCTTGAGTTTTTTACTGCATTGCATCATAAGATAGTGGCTTTGTGTACCAAAATTTTCCATTATCTTCCCACGAAAATGGAACAAACTTGTACACGTGTGTCCCATCTTCTAATTTCTAATAATAACACGCCATTGGCAATGATGGGCTTTTGGTAACACCTTATGCTTATCAAACACCAGTAAGAGGGACAGTGATAGCCTTTAAGGTCGCGTGTCACTCGTAAAACAATTTATTTTAATTATTCCCATACAACTTCACGACACTCATCTAATAATCCAATATTCGCTCGCAATTAAGACGCCTGTTCACCTCTTAATTTGTATTGTTACCTTTTTTTGCGGTCGCTGTCATGTTTCTGATGAAACTCCTGTCTCAGTGTGGCGCATATTAATTTTCATTGATACAATTTGATAAATTGTCACTGATATAGTAATCAAATGGGAAATTACAACAGTATAGAAGAATAGTAATGTTTGATATCCTTATAAATTTGTTTCAGGACTTTAAAAATGCTCTAAAATGATTCATTTTCCCAGCTATCAATTGATATTTTTAGATGAAAAACACACATAATCATTATTAGTGGATACAAAAAGATCAAAAAAAAGTATATAAAAATGAATATTGCTCATTATTTGCCTTATGGAAGAGGCAATGTAATCCTGTTAATTTTCAATAAAATGTTATTTCATGTTTTCGTAGAGAAGCTCAACTACTGAAAACTGAGGTTAGTCTATCTGAATATCTAACCCAACACGAATTCCATTCCTATTTTATTGTCTGTTGACTCTCAATTTGTTTTCTTAAGACACGCTAAAACGAGCTTCGAGGGTCGGACTGGATGGACTTTCGCAGCAATGTGGTTCATCTTCCACAAGTGGCGAAAAGACAAAAGTCTCATGGCTGATTTGCATCTCCCGAGGGCGACACGGAAGCACCCCATCCCTGCTTCACGGGATGCCGAGCTGTGCCTCCGTGCGAGAGAAATGAGATCGGATTCCGGCCCATGGCGCGAGAGAGGCAATGGAGAGGAGTGTTTGTGTATAAAATGCGCGAAATGTGAGCCCACGAGAGCTGATCAAGTCAAGGAGCTTTCTCAGCCGTACGGAATACCAGTTGATTGCAGGCCTTTGCTCTCATCACATCGTGTGCCGTTGAGTGAGTACAATTCTGCTCGATTGTCATTCAATTAGGAGTCATTCTCTGCGTCGCCAAAGAACCTGACATTGGATCTCTTGGACTGGCGGTCCGAAGTGGTTTTTACGCAATATCTCGCGTGTGGATAATTAAGTGGACAAAAGGTGATTGTGATAAAAAAAAACTCTAAATCAGTTTACTGAGCTGTTGAGTTTTTTTTCATCCCATAATCTCTAGAGGCGGAATATCTCACGTCGTGCAATCTTTTCGGGTTCGCCAAAAACTTGTGTGATAAGAGAGCGCGACTGTAAATGTTTTGTGTAAACAGTGAGGATTTTTAATTAGGCTACCGAGCAAATACAATAAATAATCTCGGGGAAATGTGACAGAGAATCAACAGTACTCTTCATGCGTTGAATTTATGTAAAAGCCCGCAGGAGATAATATTTGAAAATGATTTTCACGTACGGCATAATATTAAATTTCATAGGGTGGTGAGCGTGAGAGAAGCTGGAATAATTGAGGAAATCAGGCAACTCCACCCCCAACGAACGTGCTTCTCATAATTATTTAGCATTCGCCAATTCATGAGCGGCTTTCCATGTGATTTTAGCGCATTTTCCACCTCACATTGTCACAGATTTGACCTCATCGATTCAATGGGGAGCCCCTCCCAAACGGGAGGGCATCCCGAGACATCCGGATGGGAGATCCGGGGCGGAAATTAATTCTCGATGCTGTCGACCTCGTTGCAGAAACCTCGTGAACGATGGGTCTAACGCCAGAGCAGGTGGAAATCGTCAAGAGCACGTGGGAGACCGTGGCGAAGGCACCCGAGGATGCTGGAGAGGCAATTCTCTTGCGCTTCCTCGAGAAGTACCCGCACAATCAGACCTACTTCCCCTTCCGCAACGTCCCGCGCGAGAAGCTCAAGGGGAGCGTCATGTTCAGGAGCCACGCAGGACGTGTAGTAGCCGGTTAGTTTCAATATTCCCAAAATTCAGGACTTTAAGCTTAAAACCATTCCTCCCAACAGTATTCCAGAAATCAGTTGATGCCTTCAACACTGCCGATCCTGTGGCGACTCTTGTGGAAACCTGGACTGAGATCGCCAAGACGCACTTCAAACGAAACATTAAGCAAAAATCGTTCGATGTGAGTTAACAAAACAATCTACCGAAACACCACATTTTCAATGATTTCAATAGTATGAATGTTGTACAATTTGTTACTTGATTTCCTCTTGTCAATCCATTTTAAAGTATATTTTCGCGAAGAAAGCATTTTCTGAAGCTCATAAAGGGTTTTAAAAGAGCTATCAACTTCTTGATAGCTCTTTGACTCAACTTAAAACTTCCAAGTTTTACTAAAATGCTCGATCGGTATGTAAACATGTGTTATGAAGTTAGTTTCGACCACTGCACGAATGATTACACTACATTTTATCTGCTCTGTAGTAGTGAGTAATTTTTGGAAAAAAAATGCTCATATTGTATTCAATGTAACAAAATCTTCGAGGCATCGACTTCCCAGAAATTGTTTTGATGCAATCAATTTATTAACTGATATAATTGTGTCTCCTTTTCTCGTTGCAGGAGCTCAAAGAGGTGGTACTTGAGATACTGACAGCAGCTTGCAAACTGGACGGTGTGCAGCAGACTGCCTGGGCTGTGACTTTGGACACAATCTTCGAGATAATCTCAAAGGAGCTCGTGAATTTGGGTACATCTTCTCAGTGAGGAGCAGCGCGAAATCGCATTTTTTCACAACAAAGCGTCGAAATTTGTTACCACGTCAATATATTAGAGATTAGATGTAAAAGCACAAAAATTTACAATTTTCCTCCGTCAAGGCACATTTAGTTGGGACGTTTAGTGACTGGTTAGAGTACTGATGGTGAAGGGCGCTTTTTTAAGAGATGTTGCGGTACTGCGTGAAGAGATTGTAGAGCACTCGCAAGGTGGACTTGAGGTCCATGTTGACAATATCCTCGGGGCGCGCTTTGGGCTTTGGCAATCCCACGTCTTGCATCAGCTCAAAGGCAAACGCCACGTTGTGCACCATTTGGTCGGTGTCCTTTGGCGTGAGGTGGAAGTCATAGAGCGGCACGAAGAATCCCCCCAAAACACCCATCAAGAGGCACAGGTACACACCGTCGCGGAAGTCCGTGCTGAGGTCTGCTACCTCAAAGTTCAGCTTGTTGAGGTGCTTATTCACGAAAGTCACCAGCGACTGCAGGGAAGTGGAGAGAAAGGCTCAATTTCCCCTTTAGAATGAAATTCTACACTCGCTTTGCTCACCCTCTTTACGACGGCCAGCTTATCAGGCACATGATCAAAAAGAGTGTCGAAGGCATCCGGTTCGCATCTCATGCCAACATCGTCGTACTGCGCCGTCAACTGTTCCTGATACTTTCTGCAAGAGGAGAAACTCCCTTGATTGCATCTCTCGCACAACACTCCCTATCATGTGTGTGAGAACCCTCAATTCCCAACTCAAAGGGCAGGTAATTTCCTCTTAAGAAGTTACTGCAGCCAATAATACTCAAAATGCCACGCGAAAAGACAACTTTTCTCTCTAATTAGCTGAGCACACAAATTTTGGCTAATTCGCCTGTATCGCAAATATTTAATCATTGAGATTTGAGTGGAATCTCAACAAGCACTCTTGACTTTGAGACTTTTAGAAATACCAAGAATATCGCCTGAGAAATTCAGTCCAATTTAGATAAAAATTACTTGAATTTGTAAATCTTTACTATTTACTTAAGAAAGATAATGTCAAAACACGAGAATAAATCACATTATCTTCCGTGTGATGCATTTCTCTTGAGATAATATTTACACAACTTTAATCTCACAGAAAAGCTCTTGTGCCAACAATATTTCGTCACCACATCTGTTATAACTTTGAGGTCGGCATAAATTAGAGAATATCACTAAAAATCTGCCATTACATTAACTGCTAATTGCTATTAAAGAGACAAAATGTAATTCCCTTGTTCTATTATATCTCCATATGTTCTATATGAAAAATCTAGCATTACACATCATCAATAATAATTTCTCTATCAAAATCTCTCGAATTCCTGCATTTGAAAGCACTCAAACTATAAATAACACGGCTAATTAATGTTACAATCAATATTTACATCGGCAAAGATAAAGCTATTGAATGAATGAATGGCTTTCATAATGAATTGGCAATATTGCCTCTTTCAGATTGCAAATGAGTATTTTATGTTTACAGTCGCAAGAAATTGATAAGCAATTGATTTGCTTAACTACTGCGGACTTGAGATTTCTAAGGTCATTTCGGAACGTGATGAATTCAATCCTGAACAATAATCTGAGGTAAGTCTTCATAATATTCATCCTTTGAGTTTCTCTCTATGAAGACTTTTAATATTATTGTGGAAGTTTGTTCGCGCCTTGCACCCTATATTGGTACAGAGTATCCAATTTCTGGATTCAAATTTAATCATATCATTCAAGAAATATTATGTAAATCTTAGTAATTTTGTAAAATTTTGTAACATCCGAATTGTAAATTCATCGTCGCGAAATCATTAACCCAGTCCAGTTGGCGAAAACTGCTTAAATTTCAACTGCATCATATTGAAATCTGACTATCAAATCAGAGGAGTAAAAATGTTTGTACTCACTGTGCAGTCAATTGCGTGCCGTTCTTCTGGACAATCACTACAGTCACATAGACATTGTCCGGAAGGCGGACGGGAGCTCTGAAGTGGCGCACCAGAGCCACTAGGAGATGTAGAATGGCCACGAGATTCTTCGAATGGACACTCTCGACGGTCCATTTGGGCGTCTTGTGGTGGAATCCCAACGTCTACAATCGGAAAACAAAGTTAAGACAAGGACTTGGCAAGAAGCTCTCCACGAGAACTCACATGATTGACTGCCTGCAGGACAATCTTCAACTTCTGCCGCTGCCCTTCTTCAGACTGAGTCACTTCCTGGACGTCCAGTTTGCGATGAGTGAGCTTTTCCCACAGCTTCTGCAGAACCTGGCCATCGTACAGGTCTTCCTCGATATTCTTCACAATGATCCGCTGATCCGCCAACTCATCGTTAATCCAATTGATGAGAACTTCCAGGAGCTTCTTCACAGCAGGATCATTCATGGATTGAGGCTGAATCATGGCCCTCTGTTCATTGTCACTCAAGTTGTAGTCCTCAGCTGGGATTACGGGAGCATTGGGATTCCCTGGGGAATCGATGGCATGCTTTCCTTCCTCCTGAACCTCTTGCACTGCACAAAAACAGATTGGGAAGAAAAAGTATTGGATGAGTAATCTGGTTATGATGAACGTGTAGGCGGGGCACCACAAGCGCCTCAAATCTCCTCTTTACTCTTTAGTTTTCCCATTAACCACACTACAAAACTGTTTCTGACAACAGCACAGATGAAAATTTACTGGGAAATAGGGGTATCCACTAAGAAAATAAGAAAAATGTGAAAAATTCGTTCATTGACCATAAATGGAAGTCGAATTTTCACACTCAATTTGCCAAACATCTCTCAAAGTTTTTAGGGATTTTACTACATCACGGGTTCCTACCTTCCTTGATCCTCTTCTTCCTGCCCAGAGTACCAATTTTATCCCAAATACTCTCATCCCTGTCGGGAGTTTTTGGAGAACGGGGAGATTTAGGGCGAGCAGCCATATTTTTTATTTACCTCACTGACAGCAGTCGAGACGCAAACCTTTCACGATATATCGATTTTTATAGCACTGCATGAAGAAGAGTCCTCTGGTGAGTGGGTACAGAAAGCTGTTTTTGATTTCGAATCAATAACGGGAATGCCCGAACATTCTGACTAAAATTTTTTTTGAAATATTAGTGTTAACAACTTGATTTATTGGGAAAATCACTCGAATATCATTGATACAGGCAATAACGCTAACAAGTGCTTATTGGTGCCTAGGAAATCTTGCACTACTGGTAATCTTCCAGGACTGCGTGTCGTGCGCGGAAAAGAAGAGAGTATAAAAGAGAAATCACAGAGTCCCGCGAAGGAAGATGTCCTGAATTATACTTCGTTCAGACAGATGGTCTTCAAGATTTCATTGACCACACTGTATGGGTCACAGTTGGAACTTGGCCGGCGATCCTCGAAGTATCCGCATTTCTCGTCGTTCACGCCACGCGGAATCCTCACAGAAGCCCCACGATGAGCCACTCCGGCGCTGAAGTCATGAATAGAGCTCGTCTCGTGGCGTCCTGTCAGACGACGCATATTATCCTCCCCACCGAGTGGATCGTACGCCTTGATGTGACGCTCGTGGCATTGCGAGAGCTTCTGGATGGCCGCCTCAATGGCCACAATTCCTCCTGGATTGCGCATTGTCTTTGTGGACACGTTCGTGTGGGCACCAGCACCATTCCAATCGCCCGTCATGGGCTTGGGATCTAGTGTGGCAACCACACCGAACTCCTCAGCAATTCTGTGCAGCAGAAAGCGCGAAATCCACAGGTCATCCCCGATACTGATGCCTACGCATGGGCCCACTTGGTATTCCCACTGAGCGGGCATCACTTCGGCATTCGTGCCGCAAATCTTCACGCCAGTGTAGAGGCAAGCCCGATAGTGGGCCTCAACGATGTCACGGGCGAACACCTTATCTGCACCCACACCGCAATAATAGGGCCCCTGTGGGCCAGGAAAGCCGTTCTTGGGCCAGCCGAAAGGTCTCTGATCGTAGTCCAGAAGCGTGTACTCTTGCTCAATGCCGAACCAGGGTTCCTCGTGGGCGCACGCTTTCACCGTCTTGGCGCAATCTGCTCGTTTGTTGGAAGCTGCAAGCATAAAATGCAGTTATTTTACGTAAATATATTCAGTTCCTCGTCCGAATAATAAGATTTTTTTTTTCATATTTCACAGTACGAATTATTTCAATACTAAATCTTTTGGAATAAAATTGAAATAAACTTCACTTCACCGTTGTGTATCAATTTCCCTTAAATGAAAACTTGTTCAGAAGATATAGAAGCTTTTCACTGTCTAAAGGACATTTCAAGCAGATTTTTCTGCAATGTTATTCAAAGCTAATTCTAATAATTTATAGCTTCAGACCAAACCCGGAAATTCCTTGAGTTTTCATGTTCAAGACTGTATTTCACTCCACGGCGTAAATGTGAAAATTATTTCAGAAAAGCTCAGGATAAACTTTCTGCACTCCACTTTAATTGGCCCAAAGAAATCATCCTTAATAAATTGGTAAATTCAATTAACTATTCTAAATTGCTCGATCCGTCACAATTCTTCAGAATCTGACAAATAGTTGTGATTGATCACGTGCAAAGATTAGAAGGTTAGTGATCTCACCAGTGGGAGTTCCATCGAAATTGTAGGTCTCGCAGAGCACCAGAATGTTGTTGCCACGGCGGAAGGGATCCCTGTAGATGGCCACCGGATGGAGGTAGACGTCGGAATTATGACCACTGGCCTGATACGTCGAGCTGCCGTCGTAGTTCCAAATTGGCAAATCTGACGATGATCAGTAATTAGGAAATGTCGAGTGGGATTGATTTGATAAAAAGAGTTGTTTAAATTGAGCCAATAAATATTGTGTTCTATGTGAGGATCAAAAGATATCATGGAATTAATTGTGTAATACAATCGCACTGGAAGTGATCTCATTTTGCACGATTGAGATCGGGTGTTGTAAAGAAACCGTGCCAATGATCTTGTGTATTTTGCTAAATAGGGAATGTGTGAAAAATGTATATTTCTTTGTTTATTAACATCAATTAGGAGTGAGTTTTTAGGAAATTTAACCAGAAATTATCCAGATTCTGTGCTATTTAGCAATATTCTTCAGCAAATTGACAAATTCAATTAGAATGTTGTCAATTGCGTGCGATCGCTGTGGAAATTGAAGGAAACCCCATCCGTTGTGGGACAAAGCATTCTGATCATGCCAACAGTCACACGAAACTGCATTCTGAACTTGAAACTAAATTGTGAAGTGGCCTTCGCGAGGAAATTCTCTCTTGCTCGTGTGTCTGTGTAATTATGCTGAACGAGTTGCCATTTTCACAGCACTACGTATTAATTATTAAGGTGATTTTGCGATCTTACCCTTTGGCGACTTGGGAATGAACTCCAATGTGCGATCTTTACACCTCAAATGTTGGCCTGTGCCATCAATCCAGATGTAAGTGGCGAGGATCTTGCCCTCAGGCCACGGGAGGTCCGTGTACCTGGCCAGGACATTCTTATTGATACCGGCATTTGGGGAAGAGTCAAGATGTTTCGACATCTGTTGAGTTATAAAAAGAATCACATTGTTATTTAAGCGAAAAGTCGTGAAATTCAACTTGAAATTATTAAAAATATAGATTGCTTGTAAGAAAATTCACTGGAAAATATGCACACTATTGACATTGTTTCACAATAAACGGTCTCCAAAATGTGATCAAAACTTTACCATCTTGAAGATTTATTTCCAACACAATTCACTATAGATCTTCTTCTTAAAAATGTGAGAAATGGTTTGAGATGTTCTCCAGCCAATAGCTGGCTTTTATACTGGCCAATTTTCCGCGAAATCCACTGCATCACGTCTGGGCATACGAACCTCCAGGAGAGAGTCATTCGAATATTTTCAATGTGAATATTAATTAGCGACAATTAGTAACACTTTGGACTGTTCATCTCAATGGCTGTATTGAAATAAAAACTTATCAATACATTCTTTCCACCTCGTGATGCGTCGGGGCCGAGAAAAGCGCGCCAGATCATTAACAATCGATCACTGAGACAGTCTTCAGAGAGTAATTGTAATGGTAAGTGAAGCAGAGCTATTATTAGGGACACTTTACCCTGATTAACGTGGACTTATGGGTTCAAAGGCGAAGCGAGACTCTGTTCCAGAAGAGAGTGAGTGACTGGTAGGAAAATCTGCAATAGACTGATTGTGTCCAGAACAATTTTCCAATTTATACGAGACAACAACGAGAGGGGGAGATATTCATTTCACTCTCAGTGGCATGATTATCTATAATATTTATTTATTGTACTTAATGCGTACTCCCAGGGCGGACAGGCAACAATGACAGCGCGACCAGTCTTTTATGTAATAAAGACAATTTTGTGTGCTTCTCCCACAATTTTATTCTAACGACTCTAACGAAAAACTTTCCGTCCTCCTCGAGTGATCCTCGATCGTCACCCATGATCTTCAACCAGATTAATCGATTTCAGATCTATGATTAATGGGTGGTTTAGTGAAACTGGTAAATCACATGAAAATCCTCCAGTGTTAATTAACAATTCACATGATCGTCAGAAATTTCATTAAGTGGAAGAAATCCAGAAAAATGTGAATTTTGAAATCCTCAACTAAAACTCATTAATAGGTTTTCGTAAAATTGTTTTTCACAGAAACTGGACAACAAATGGATCTCTTTAGCGTTAGAGAATAAACTTGCAATAACATTCAACTTGATCAGTTAATTGTAGACTTAATAATAGTGTAAATGCATAAGAAATTACATCAATTATGACGAAGGAATATTGCGCGATTTACTATGAATGAAAAATAAAAGAAAAATTACTGTGACGATCATTAGTCATGAATCTATTGAACAGTGAGATTTATTGTTCTAATGTGCTAAGATAATCTGAAATACATATGAATATTGAAGTCTGAAATTCATCTAACTCTTGATGCATTCGCAAGAACATAATTTGGATTTTTCTGCGACTGTGAAAAGTAGCTGTAATCTCGAACCATTGGCAACCACCTTGGCAACGTAAGTTCTGCGTGGACTTTTTGCACAAGGCGCCTGCATTACTGACCTTATCAGGGGAATTTAACTCAATTGAATAAAATCTTCCTACAATTGTGACGCACAGGGGAAGAGAGCAATTTACCAATTGGTCTCACAGCCACTCCTCTATGATCTGCCCCTCAGCAGTTACGTAAACCCCCAAAAAAACCCGTGCACGAGGATCCAAATTGCCCAACTGAAAAGAGAGGAAAACAACCTGGGAAATGCCATCAAAATAACTCAATTACTCCGATGATTTTGTGTGATTTTCAGCGTGATCACGCCACGTTTTATAATCAAACCACGAGATTCGCGTGAATAAGAATTTTCCATTAGCTTTTACATCGATTTTAATTTTCTCTCAATTTTTCTATCACAATTACAAACTTTTTTTTCTCTGTTTAAAACAATCGTTAATGGTTTTTGGGAGTAGTTTTAAGTGTTAACCCTATCGATTATTTCTTGCATTTTCACAATGGATCCAATCAAAAAATCATTACTTCTGTCTCTCAATCAATTACTTGTGTGTGAAAAAACATTGTTACAAATATCAATAAAAAATATTCACTATTTTCTTCATTATCATGTAAAAATTGGAATGTTTCCTTTGTCATAGTATATTTTTTGCTCTTTTTTCTCCAAAGTAGAGAGATGTTTGCCATTCTCGTTCTCCTAAATAAAATACATACATTTTAGATTATATATAAAAAGTATTGAAAACGAAAAATAAAATCTTTTCTCATATAAAATTGTTTCTCTTTTATCTTTGACACTTGTTTTCTCTGATATTTTTCACTTTCTTCAGAACCTTTGATTTAATTGCAAAAAGAAAATATCATTGAAAAATACTGAGACAGGAAATTATTTGCAAATGTTTGGAACACAAAGATATTTATAGGGGAAATAAAATATTGCAGCACACATTAATATTCTTGCACATTAAGGAAGGACTCAAATTACATCTTAAAAAATATTTCATTATATAATTGTTAATTATAAATTAATACCATGAAATCACAATTTCTTCTTTCCTCGCACTTCTTAGCGCAATCGTACAATTTCTTTTCACCTCTCCAATAATGTAAATTGAATTTTTCAAACTATTCGCATTGCATAAGAAGAAAAATGCATTCTTTCTGCTAACTTTGATTTTATACAAATCGAAACTCTTTCGCTGAATTTTTAAGTACAATCTTTTTCTTTACTCTTTAGCTGCAATAAATGAATGTTTCTGAATTTTTGCTATGTTGTATTTCGACAAGCTACTTCGTCACTTTAAACCACTACTGAATTAATTGCAATTGTATGTCATTATCAAATAGCTTTATACCTTCCTTCTCTAGCTGGTTATAATTTAACAAATAAGTTAGATTTCTTCACATTTTCATTTTATTCATCGTCTAGACGACACACACAAATATGTGAGTAAGTATCCAACACTCTCTCGACGGAAAAGCCTAGCCTCGCGAGAGTGCGCGCATCTAGTAAAAATCTACTTAGGAATTATAGAATGAAAAATATAAGACAAGGATCTTGATTTAGTGGGTATTCTCTACATTTACTTCGATATTCATTAATTCTTCATTGATTTTCCTTCTCCAAAAAAAATCTCCTAATTTTAGCGCAATTCTCACTCTCTCTCTCTCTCTCTCAAGTCATGTAAAGTAATTTCACGATGTCGAACTGTCTTTTCTTAATTGCATTTCACTAAAGTCAATTTCAGTTGAATCTATCGATTGGATAGACTCACTTTTCAATTTTCTCAAGTTGAACGAAGTCTCTCGACTTTTATATGCGGCCAACTGAAAGACATACGAAATAGATTTGATACGATATTAAATTAACATATGCATTCCCTCTACGTCAAAACTATCAGTAAATACTCTTAAGATAATCACATATCATCCTCAATTAGTATGTATAAAATAAAACCATTATTGTCGTTTTTTTGTATAACTATTCAGTGGCATGCAATAAAGTGTAAATCAAATTGCAAAGTGTTAATAAACATGCATAAAAAAAAGTATATACGAATAAGTTCCATTGAGACAGCAATTTAGTAAATCAATCGATTCTAGACACAATTACATCATGCATAGCAGTGTTAGTGACCTGTGATTAGCGTCTTTATCAAATCTTTGCTCTATTTTTTGCAAACAGCACATTTTTAGCTAATCCATTTCCACGGCTCGGTTTCTGGACTTGTGATTGGCGTGGGAAACTATAAAAACGACGAATATTAGCATATTGAGAGATCTAAAATGGGTTTGTCTTTCAAATGTGATCTCAAAACACTCTCCTTTCACTCTCACCAAACAAAAAAAAATGCCCCAAAAGAAAGTGAATTATTATCAAATGATAGGCTTTAAAATAAACTATGTACAAATTGTGTTATGTGACTTAAAAATAATAGTGTATAATGAATGTCACCATGTTGCGAATGCACCCCTTTTTTCTCTCGATGAGTTTGTGAAAATAAATATTAGTATTAATTTGTATATACAATGAACAGAAAAGTCAACTGAATGAGTGATCTTCCTCTTCTCCTCTCACATTTCCCCTCAGACACAGTATTAGTGACTTTATAGGAAAATACCTCAGCTTTCAGCTCAGCCACTTTGTCCTGCAAATCCCTCACTCGATCAGACTCATCGAGATTTGATCTCAATTCTCCTTCAGCCAGCATTTCAGAATTCTATAGGAAAGACACAAAAAAAATCAATCGTTTCATACTGTAATTCATCTTCACGCTCACTCACCTTTGTCTCTAAGCGCGAAATTTCCTGTTTGAGTTCAGCCACCGTCTGACTTTGTTCAGTAAACTTGATTTTCACATTCATCAGTTCGTCCTTCATGCGAGATTCCAAGTCTGAGTACCTGAAAATAAGCGATGAGTTTAGATCAATCTGTAGCAGAGATCTGCGCAGATCGAAAGTCTTTTCTTAGCCGTGAACAATTTTATTGGCGCACAAAATATCGACGAATTTGTTATCTCCTTCCAAGTGATATTGTTACAATTAGATTTGTATATATCACTTAGTTTTAGTTTGAATTGAAAACTTCAGAAGCAATAATGATATTTTTTTATACTATTTTTAGCAAATTTCCCAATTGATTCCGTATTTTTCTTTTTTGTTCCCTGACTTAGAAATAGGATCATTTTACATCGATTTAACGAGTTTACTTGAAGAATATGATACAGTGAAATCTCGTAAAATTACACATCAACAGGCATAAAAGCTACTTAAATAGCTGCTTTTCCGTCTGTAAACTACTCTGTCTGTGCAAAATTATCTTCTTCATGTTGGAAAGATTCTCTTTGATTGCGTGTATTGATTGACGGCGTCAGTGTAAAAATTGGCTTAGCGCAGATATCAAATCAAATGTGCACAATTTACAAGAGGCTCAAGAGGTTCGCAAATATTATAAGCAACAAAGTAAAAACAAACTTACCTATGTTGCTGTTCTCGAGTCTTATTCGCCAATTCCTTCTCTCGTGAGATTGCCGTGTCCAGCTCATCCTTGAGCCTCTTGTATTCCTCATCCTGTCGCCTGAGCTGATTTGTCGACACTTGCACTTGTGTCTCCAATTCCATCACCTTCAATCTCAACTCCTTGAGCTCAGTCAGCGTCTCCATTTCTCTGATACGCGTCGTCATGAGTTCCTCCTCAAGCTTCTGCACCTCATTAGACGACCTCGATGAATCCCAGAAGAGGAGCTTTTTCGATGTGGAATCCTGCGCCTGCGAGGACTCCTGCTTCTGTTCATGCAACTGCCTTTGCCATTGAGTGCTCAACTCCTGAACGCGCTGCTTCAGATCCTTGAGCGACAGACTCGCCTCGGCCTCCCTCAACTTGCTGGCAATCAGTTCATCCTGCAGATGAGCCACAGAGTTGTCCGGAGTTGTTTCCCTCAGGGTCTTCTTATCCTGCAAGACAACATATAATGTAGTTGTTTTCCAAATTGCAAAGTATTATTTTTACATACCTCTTCTAGTTCTTGGATTTTAGCCTTGAGATTGCGTATTGTGTCTTCACTCTCGGCAAGACTCTGTCGCACTTTCACCAACTCCTCAAGGAGACAAGTCACCATCTCATCTCGCTGCTTTAATGCCTCTTCCTTCAAGCACAGTTCGTCAATAGAATTCTGATGGGAGTTATTCTGTAGATAACAAAATTTACAACATTCAACCAATGGCAAAATATTTACACCTCAAATGCTATTGACAAAAGACGGGGAGAAGCGAAAAAATCTCTGGAGGATTGAAAGCGACACACGAGGATTTGCACACACTGAAGACAAACTTAAAGACTTACAGATTCTAAAGAATTTTCCCTTTGCTGCACATTTGAAAATCACAAGAGTGAACAAATTATTTGTGCCGGAAAGACCAAAGAGGAGATCATAAGAGAATCAATACTCACATTCTCCTGCAGTCGCAGACTCAGTCCACGGATCTCCTCATGAGCCGTTTCCAGCTGGTGTGAGATCTCGAGATGGGAACGTCGCAGGGCGAGCAATTCCGTTTGGATAGCATAGCTGGTCTCCTCCTCTTCAGCCCTGGACACTTGTCCGCGCACCAATCGATCAGCCAGTTCCAGACTTTCGGCCTCGAGCAATTCATTTCTCTTCTTCAGAAGACGATTCTCGCTTCGCAGTCGCTACAATTCAGACCATTACTCTGTTAGAACGGTGTATATGTAAGCAAAACAGCACGCTTGGAAATTACCCTCAATTCCACCATCTCTTCCTGCTCTTTCTTCCTCAGATCCGCATATTCCTTCTCCATCTTCTTCATCTTTTTCGTGTTTATCTTGATTGTGTAGGCCAGATTAAACAGACCCTCTGGCTCACTCTCCACCTTTTGTGGCAATTCCTTCTGGAAATACTTTAGCATAGCCTCCATGTCAAGTGACAGCAGAGTATCCTTTCCCATTGTGAGCAATGCCAGAGCCACCTTGAAGATGAACTCCATGCCTTCACTCAGGAAAACATCCATTATGCGACTGCTGAGCGGCAGTGAGAGCGTTGTTGTGTAAAGCGTGAGGAACCAGCTTGAGGCATACATTGTCGTCTGAAATCCCTGTGACTGAAAGTGAACGTGCATCTCTGGCAGCTGTTCCTGTACTAAATTCTCTAATTGGTACATGCAGAGACCTACAATAAAGAGAGAATTGTCAAGAGTTGGCATCAAAGAAGCTTGCAAAGACGTACCTAATTCCGCCATTGACGGTTTAAACATGTCCCGCATTCGGTGTTGCTGCATAATCTGCACCAGCACCGCAAAGGCTTCCTCCTCTGGCATTTGCATGAGCAGGAGGCCCACAATGAATCCAGATCCCTGACAGTAGCCCACCTCGCGATCATGGAGTGAGTAGGCCTTCATCACGTTGAAGAGCGCTTCTTGGCCGAGGCCGTCCTTCTCCTTAAAGAAATCATGCTCCGGATATGTCCTGGCAATGTCCCGCCTGATCACTTTCTCGCACGCTGACGTGGCTTTTATATACTCCGCATACTGCTTCTTGTCTGCCTCAGCGGCACCGCACAGCAGCTGCCACACGATCGCTCTGAAGTGATGTGGAATACCCTTCCGTACCAAATCACGCACGCACGGGTTCTTTCTCTTTAAGCTGCCTTCCCAGTCTGTCACGATGCTTGCCCATGTCTGCCAAATGTCCTCCTCCACCACGGAAGTACCGGAATTGAAGCTAATCTGACTTGTGTCTGAGCTCTTGCGACTGTGCGCTGAGCTTTGCAGCGAATTCAGACTCTTGGCATCGCTCTCGTAAAGCTTATTGGCCGCCTCCAACTTGGCCAGCAGCGACAGTTCACTAGATGGTAAATTCTCAGCTGTATTCACATCCATGTTCACCACGTTATTGTTCTCCGTCGCCGAAGTGGTCAATGTCATGTCTGGATATCGCTCGCGTTCCGCACTGAACGCGATCGTATTGTTGCCTTTCCCTCTTGCCAAATACTAAGCCTCTTTCTCCGGATGGCTTCTCTTTGTCCTCACCTCACCAGCAATCGGATGGCATTCACGTCTCTCTGATTTTCAGGAGTGACTCTGGGCATTAACAGCAGTCCATTTAAAATATTCCGTGTCACACATGGACTTCTTTCTCATGCAAATTCACTTTTTCTCGCCTCTCTTTTCTCACCTACAGCTAAGTACAATAAATTAAACGTGCACACATGGACCAATTTCGGTTGATACTTCACTCATGAGATTACTTTGGCTTGCTTGAGATTGTGCAGTTTACTGGATGGAAAAGTGTCACTGGGTCTCTGCAAAAGAAGAGCAATTATTAGGAGAAATTAAGTGAGAATCTCACAGTAATATTGAATTAAATCTGAAATGATATCTTTTTCACTCACACCTTCGCCATTCCGCCTCAAAACTCAATTCATGCAACAATTATTGCCGTTTCAGAGCAGAACTAACGTGAATTATGTGCTTTTAACACCAATTCATAAAATAATACAAAGAAGTGTATACCTATAAGAATCCACCAATTACGTAGCTCTCTTCATTCCCCATAAATTTTCTTCGATATGTCATAAACCCCAAAAACACAACATCAGGACAACAACAAAACCACTTCCTCAACTTTATTGAGGTCGTATTTATAGAAAATCAATTTCATAATTTTCAATTTTGATCCAAAACCCAACACATATTTTTTCCTACACTCTCGAATCCTATGCAAGTAGTAAAAATATTAAACACTTTGTTGTGCAACTGGAAAGAAAAATAAAACACACAACGATAATCAGTGTCGAAGTCACTTTTGTGGGCGAAGGCCGAAGAAAATGCGGAGAATAAAATCACACAAACATTTACAATTCCATTCTATTGGTCTGATTTTTTTTTACATTTTGAGAACACATGAGCAAATATTCGTCGAGTAGAAATTTTATGACAAAAACTCATTTCACGCGCATCTTTAGCAGCATTTTCTGTGAGAAACTCTATTGTAGTCGCGAATATATGTATCATTTTACATAACATTTTTATAAGGTGTTGTCTTGCGTAAGGTTATTACGCAGAATTTTTAATAAGTATCTTCATTATCAAAATTGTACATTGTACAGTTCATAGAAAACCTCTATTTTTCTCTTGGATAAGTAATAAATAACACTAAATTGCATGTTAAATATTAAATTTATCATATCTTGTATGATTTATATTGAACATTTTTGTGTGAAATATTTTCGAAATGATATGACCGACTTATTTTTACCTTTTCTTGGGGGAAGGCATTAGATTTTGAAAATGTTTCTTATCATTTAATATTGTAAATGGAAACAAGAAATGTAGAAAATGCCTACAAAAATGTGTCTAATGATCTTCTTTCCAGGCGTTTAAGACAAAAACTCGTCTCTTTACACTATCTACTAATTATATTTTCATGGTTCTTCGACACTCTGTCATTGTCGCGTGTTTTGTGATAATTCTCTGTGTCAATGTGTAAAATGTGAGCAATTTCAGGTGACCTGCACTCCCGTCTTAATGTCTGTAGATCCACTGATATGACGAAATATAAACGAGAATCATTGTTTAATAAATGATTCAGTGTTTAGACTCTCTTCGACATTTCAATCTGCCAATTTTCTAGCAACTATATTAAGCCCGGAAATAGCTGAAGCATGATGAGAAGTGTGTTTTAGCAATAAAAATCCATTCGTCTTTCACACCCTCGGAACGCGGGACGAAAAGTTCAGACAAGTGGAAATTTATTCATCCATAGAGTAAATTAAACACCCGCATGTCCTATGGAAATCCAACTGAGAGACAATCAGGGAATGTTGGAGTTCACGTACGTTTTTTGCCTCCGGAATACCATCGCATTACTGGCAGATCTGCAGTGACCAAGTCACGCAAATGATTAGTATTCCTCATTTTACCCTCGAGATAGATTCACAGTCGAGCAGAAATTCCTGTGCTCTCATTTATTCACTTCCCTGGGACATGTTCTCTTCGCATTAGAGATAAATAAAATTATTTCGCCGAACTCTATTTACCCTCCAAAATTCAAACAATCCCACCATCGATTCAGTAAATAAATGAAGCTTAATATAGTCTCTCGAATGTGAAAACACTCGTCAAAAATTGACTGAGAATTTTCCTGTTTTGAAAACAAAGTTTCACGTAATGTATCTCGTAAGACTTTAAATATGGATTACATCAAGCGCCATCCCGCCGAGAGTCAATTTAGACCTGGAAATTGCTGGTGATCTACTAAATGCACATCTTCTCATCTCGCCATGGCAGAGCTGAGTTATGACTGAAACGAAGATTTTCACTCTCTTTCTCTCTCCCTTTCCCACTCGCACAGATTACACAACTCTTCTTCTTTACTTCTGAATTGAATGAAAGCCAATGAATTTTGTGTATCGCGATAAGAGTGGCTCAAGTGTGGAGTAATTTGTGAATGAGAGTCTGGAATGTGTTCAATTATGTCTTCCTCTCAATTTGAATGTAACAGAGAGAAAAGAAAATCCCGTCCGCCAGTCGTTCCACCACATCATTTTCATCTTTTCGCACTCCGTCAAGAAAAACACATGCCCACAAGTGCGAAATATCTTCCGGTTGCACAGATGGATGGGAGACGAGAGTGTACCATCTTTGGCTTACTCAACTGGCCGATGCGGAGAGATAGTGATATGCAGCACATCTCACTTGAGCTCACACCGATCGCGGTGAGATCGTATTTGTTGAGCCAAACACATGAATGAACACTGTATTTGTGTTTACCTGCCAACGGTAAAACCAAATAGGTATAATGATCTAATCTTCCCGCGCACAATGAGCCCCAAAGAAGAGACAGAAAAACGGCGAATGAGGCTCTTCACCCAAGGGGTAGTCATTGAGAAGTTGCCGGCACAAATTACGTTTTTCATTGCACTGAGCACACTAGGCAGATCAGGCACTGTAATACATACTTTCCAGTTCTGGAAGAGACATTTCTTTGAACAAAAAAGTTTAAATTTACCTATATTTCAAGTGGTTTTCTCAATAATTAGGACAAAAAATAATAACGATTTTCTACATAAATCGTAGATATTTTCTTACAAATAATCGATCCCAACTGAGCCTTCTATACCTATATAAGTTAACAGTACACTCATTCGTCTAGTTTCAATCTCCTAATCATCTCTTCTTGGATTGAAAAGCCCCTTTGGGTCCTCAGGTGCTCTGTGCTCTCGTCAGTTCATTGGAAAGTTTCACATTTAAAACAATCAAATAGAGAAATATTTTCCCTCGCCTCGCATCCACACGATGGTCAATCAATCCATTGAACTTTATTAATTTTTCAGCAATCACGAGAGAGTGAATGAAATGAGATAAAACTGTGTCGTGAGTGGAGTTTCAATTATTCCGAAAGTCAATTTCTTTTCATGATTCATCAGCACAGCCACTTGGCTCTTTGCTCCTCGGGGTCGATCAGGTGCTGCCCGAGGATTCCGCGTGTTGTCTCTTGAGGTCAATCACCCGGGAATGGTGTTCTTTCCGTCGTCTGGGGAGCACCTGAGCAGGTTCACGGGGATGCGGAAGTTGGGGGCAAATTGGCAGAAAATCGATAAGAAGTGGGAGGATGAGTGTCACTCCCAAAGATGAATCCACCCACTTTTTTCGCGTTTCAACCCAAATTTTCACTCACACACTGCACACACACCTGCACCTGAGTTCTGGGGCGAGGAATTCCATGAATTTCTCTACCTGGGCGAGCTTACCTTCCTGCCATCCACATTCAAAGCAGCGGATGGGAAAAGATGTGAAACGTCATAAAGAATTTGCCGTTTTTGGCACACTGGTAAATCCAATGGTGTCTGCTGGCGCTGGTGCTGCAGAGATTGCTTATCTGGCCATTTGACGGGACCTTCCTTGGTCACTTCTTATTCTCGCACCACGAGAGATGAAAAAGCCACCCCAACTCCACGGAAACTCCTCCACTCTGGCCAACAAACTCGACGACTGGCCAAACTCACCACTACTCGACGAGATTCCACCCGAATGACTCGTCGAAAGGCACTCGGTACGGCGAACTCACCACTCTCACGCTATCTCTGTCCCACCCGCGTTGGCGCCTGCATGCATCTCGCTCGCGGGCAGCTGTCAGTGAATGGTGCTGTCATCTCTTCGGATTAGTTGGCTTATGGTGTTTTTTTTTGCCCGAAAAATCCTGTGGATGGTGTAGAAAAGTGGTGTTTTTCGCGGTTTTCTCGCCCCATTTCCACGCAAAGTATGCCAAATACTTTGGCCGCGCAGCACACGCCGTGGCCCACGCAGCAGATTGAGGTGTTTTTCGTGCACTAAGCTGGGGTTTTGAGGGGGTGGCACAGCGAGAGACTCTTGTGTTGTGCAATGAAGATGACGCTCGGAAAAGTGGAATTTTGCCCCGTGAAGTGGCTCAAGTGATGCTCTTGTGGCACCCGTTGTCGCCACACTAGGCCCCGTGCCGTGCAAAACAGCCAACTGAGACACCCTGAGGAAACGGGTGACTAAGCCTTTGTCGCGAAAGCGCATTCATCTTGTCAGCGCGAGTTATCTACCTTCCGGACACAGGGCGTCCGTCTGATCACACAGCCTGCGTCGCAGTAGATGAAAAGATGGCAACGGAACTGGACGAGGATCGCCGTAGAAGGTATGAATGACCGTCAGATTTCCGGAAATGCTTTTCTTAACATACTTCATTGTTTTGCCGTGTGCCTTTGTTTGCCATGCAGGCTTGCTGCCCTCGAGGAGAAAATTCGTGACCCTAGCGGCGTTGCCAATCTCGACTGCCTCCTGGACACGGTGACAGGTAGGCGAGAGGCCACTTTTACGATGGCCCATAATTTACTCTCTTCCTACCCGGAACGACCCAACTTAAATCCCTTTCATTGCAGCTCTTGTCGCCGACTGTGATCACGAATCAGTGAAACGTGTTAAGAATATCGAGGCATACATTCAAAGATGTAAGTTCATCAGTGCCTAATCCTCGACATCCTCTAATCATTGTGTGCCACATTCTCTTCCAGATGAGCCTCTTGCGAGGGAGATCAGTGACCTTCGGATGCGGCCTGAGGACTTCCTCATGGTCAAGGTGATCGGACGCGGTGCCTTTGGCGAGGTGCAACTCGTGAGGCATCGCTCAACCCAGAAAGTTTACGCCATGAAGCGTCTGTCCAAATTCGCAATGATCAAGCGGCCGGATTCTGCCTTTTTCTGGGAGGAGCGCCACATTCTGGCTCATGCCAATTCCGACTGGATCGTACGGCTTCACTATGCCTTCCAAGATTGCAAATATCTCTACATGGTCATGGACTATATGCCTGGTGAGTTACCCAAAAACAAACTCTAACTCTAGACTTATTGGGTTTTTACCTGAGATCATAGATTTAGGCTTATCTCTACAGGAATCTCAAGTATTCCTATTCGCCAGATCCATCGGACCCAACGTATTTGATTCAAAATCTATTCACAATTCAGAAGGTTAAATAATATAATGAATCTAAAAAATCTGGAAATTTTGAGAAAATGCCGGGAAACTGCTCAAACCAATAGGCGAAAAACTGTTCAGTAAAGCTTTTATTGCGCTGAAGATAGCATTTGAATAAATAACTATGGTTGTGAAGATCAATCACCTGGTGAATCATTCTGTATACAATTCACTTCTGTACAAAATTTTGTAAGAATCTGTCGGAATTTCCGGTTTATTAAGTTTATTTAACCGATCTACTCCCACATTTCGTTCAATTGTAACATTTTCTTGCACTTCACAAGTGCCGGCAACTCATAAAAGTCTTAGATATTTTTATTAATAGGAATAAATGTGGTATTCTAATGTGAATTATATTTTTTTCTAAATAACTAAATATATGATTTATTTCCAGGTGGTGACATGTTCTCGCTTATGTCAATGTATGAAATCCCGGAGAATTGGGCCATTTTCTACACTATGGAAATCGTCTTGGCGCTGGACACAATCCACAATATGGGCTTCGTGCACAGAGACGTGAAGCCGGACAATATGCTTCTGGACAGTTTGGGACATCTCAAGTTGGCGGACTTCGGCACATGCATTCGCGTGGGAACGGATGGATTAGTGAAGTCCAGCAATGCCGTGGGTACGCCAGACTACATCAGTCCGGAGGTGCTGCAGTCTCAGAGCGGTGGTGGCGAGTACGGTCGAGAGTGTGATTGGTGGTCTCTGGGAGTGGTGCTGTATGAGATGTTCTTTGGTGAGTTGCCGTTTTATGCAGACAGTTTGGTGGGGACATATGGAAAGATCATGGATCATCGGAACTCGCTGACACTGCCTCAGGATCCGGATATAAGTGATAATGCCAGAACGCTAATCAGAGGATTCCTCACGGATAGGAATTCTCGTTTGGGACGTCATGGTGTGGATCAAATTAAGAAGCACCCGTTCTTCATCAATGACACGTGGACATTCGAGAACTTGAGAGAGTCTGCACCGCCTGTGGTGCCAGAATTGAATGGAGATGATGATACAAGCAATTTTGAGGATATTGATAAGGATGAGACCCCGGAGGAAGTATTTCCAGTGCCTAAGACATTTGCTGGGAATCACTTGCCGTTTGTTGGATTCACATATACGGGAGATTACCAACTGTTGAATGTGTCTGCGGATAATGTGGACAACCGTCAGTCTTATAAGAATCATCGTCCGTCGTACAGTGGGGAGATTGTGCGTTTGGAGAAGCTATTAGAGCAGGAGAGACATACAGTAGAAGGGCTGAAGGGTCAGGAAAAGGCTCTGAGGACGCAAGTAGAACTGGCGACAGCCAGAGAGGCAGAATTGCAGACTATGTCTACGGAGTACGAGAAGGAATTGACAATGCTGAAACATACAGTCCGGGAGACACACAGAAGGGCGGAGAATGAAGGTGAACTGAGGAGGAAGACGGAACTGCTGCTCAATGAGACGAAGAAGCGTCTTGATGAGGAGCAAAGCAAAAGGACACGTGAGATGAACAACAATCAACAGCACAACGACAGGATCAATATGTTGGAGAAGCAGGTGACGGAGCTTCAGGAGAAGTACTCAATGGAGACAGAGGCGTGTCAGAAGTTAAAGAAGCAGCTGCACGAGATGCGCATGGCGAGGAGTGAGATTGAGCAAAAGTGCAGTGAGTTGCAGTCTATGCTAGCCACAGTGCAAGCGCAGCGAGATGTGCTGCAGCAGGAAGTGGCGGAGTTGCAGAGTCGATTAGCTCATGAAAGAAACACACGGCAGCAACTGGTGGAAGCGCATGAGGAGAATGAGAGCCGTCTGCAGACGCTGAATATTGAGTTTGAGAGGAGCTTTCATCGGGAGCAGAAGAGTATAGAGGATAACAGAGCGTTGTCGGAGCGCGTGGCGAATTTGGAGAAGGTGAAAGCTACAATGGAGGTGGAATTGATGGCCATGCAGCAGCGATATCAACAGGAGGTTAAAGCACACGAGGAGGCAGCTCGCAGCCAGAAGGTGTATAAGGAAGAGGCTAATATGGAGGAGGTGAAGGCGCTGCAAACAAAGCTCAATGAGGAGAAGATTGGCAGACAGAGGGCGGATCAGAATTCACAGGAGAAAGAGAGGCAAATCTCTATGCTGTCCGTAGACTATCGGCAAATGCAGCAACGACTCCAGAAACTCGAGGGCGAGAATCGTCAGGTAAAGACTTATGAATTATTAACTCTGATGCATAGAATAACTTGGATTATTTATGCTTGTTAAAGTTGATTTTGCTGGTCAAACACTCATACATTTCATTCTTTATGTTGAATTTATTTTACAAATATTTTTCCGTTATTTTCCCTCATCTTCGTGCATCGTTTGTGGCTTTTTCTGCTCATTTCTTTGCTTTGCGACACCCGCATCAGGAGACTGAGAAGGTTATCGCACTGCAAAGTCACCTGGAGCAGGAACACTCGAAGAAGAACTCACTGCTGTCGGAATTGAGCTTGCAGAGTTCAGAAATAGCTCATCTCAAAGCCAAAGAGACTCAGTTGATAAAGGAAGTGCACCAGTTGCGAGACATGAAGAGGAAATTTGAGGAGGAGGTCTTCAAGATTAAGAATGCTCACAACCAGGACATACTTCAGGTGATTTGAGTATTTTACTCTACGGATTATGAGATTATTTATAATGTGTTTTTGATTGCAGAATAAGGAATTACAGGAACAATTGGAGGCTGAACAGTATTTTCACAAGCTGCAGAAGAAGCAATGTAAGGATGTGAGGGATGAATTGGATGAGAAGACACGAGTTTTGCAGGAGCAGGAAGAGGAGAGGAAGTCACTGGTGCATCAGCTGCAGATTGCTCTGGCCAGGGCAGATTCTGAAGCTCTGGCACGGTCCATTGCCGAGGAGACTGTAGCGGACCTCGAGAAGGAGAAGTCGATGAAAGAATTTGAGATGAAGGACGCAATGGCAAAGCACAAGAGTGAATTGGCTCACAAGGAATCAGCATTGTTGGTGATGAAGGACGTAGAGTACGATGTTAATATGAAGCTGAGCAAGAAAACTGTGGAATTGGATGATCAAATGCAGATGAATAAGAAATTACAGGATGAATTGGGACAAGTGAAAGTGGACAAGGCAGAGATTGAACGACTGCAGGCAAAGCTGAAGCAAGAGACTTTGTTCAAGCAGTCAGCAGTGAACAAACTGGAGGAAGTGATCTATCGCAAGGACTTTGCCAACACGTCAAAGAATAAGAAGGTTGGTTCGGCGACTGAGTTGAGGAAGAAGGAGAAGGAGAACCGTCGATTGAAGCAGGAATTGTGTCAGGAGCGTGATAAGTACAGTCACTTACTGGCGAAATTCAATGAATCACAATTGATCTTGAATGAGGAAATGGTGGCCAAGACGAAACTTCAGATGGAGATTCAGTGCAAGGACACAGAAATTGAGATGCTTCAGACGAAACTCAATGAAACAACTTCACTCTCTTCCGCCGAAAATGACACGGAGGATAATCAAGTGAGTTCTTTTTCTATCATAATATCTGAATGTCTTGCTAATAACTATTTTCTGTGTAGGATTCAATCATCGAGGGATGGCTCAGTGTGCCAAATAAGCAGAATATCCGAAGACATGGATGGAAACGCCAATTCGTCGTGGTATCCACGAGAAGAATCATTTTCTATAACACAGAACATGACAAGCAGAATACCAGCGATCCTGTCCTTATCTTGGATTTAAGGTTAGTATCATTAACAATTCAGCTTAAAGACTTTAATTTTACTGAAGCCCATTTTTTCGTTTTCTTCAGCAAAGTGTTCCACGTTCGATCTGTGACACAAGGTGATGTGATTCGTGCTGATGCCAAAGAAATTCCCAGAATATTTCAATTGCTGTACGCAATGGAGGGTGAGGCTCGACGACCGGATGATCAGCAGCAAAGTCAATTTGATACCATCAAAGGAGCCAGCGAGGAGAGGCCTGGAACAATTCACCACAAAGGTGAAGTCTTTAAGGTCCATGTGTGATTTTCTGTTCAGCATCACTGATTCTTGTATAATTTCAGGTCATGAATTACTTCAAATTTCCTACCATATGCCAACAACATGTGAAATTTGTCCGAAACCAGTTTGGCACGTGTTCCGGCCACCACCCGCTTATGAATGCAAAAGGTATGACTCACAATATATCACTCTACTCAAGTCGACTTCAAATATTGAGATACAGTGGTTGCGAAGAGTAGGTATAAGAATGAGCATTGAAAATGGGAAAGTGTAGCATTTAATTCCGTGTGGGCGATTCTCTTGTTGTTTGATTTTGTGAATCACGAACAACGGCAGAGATTAAGATCAATTGATGGTCTATATTGCCGTTTGTCCATTGTCATCTTATCACTTTCAAGGCGAGGGGCAATGAACAATGTGGGAACAGAGTTGTAAATTAATTTGAAAGGTATGGAATTAGTGAGAAAGGTGTTGGTCTACCTACGTACGGATGAACAAAATTGCTGCATGCTCAAGGTTTTGGGTACAAAGTTCACACACAAAAGGGTGTTGTGGGAAAAAGCAAATCAGTTTCTTGGAATTCTACTAAGGGTCAGTTAAGAATTTAAAGACTGCTTAAAATTTTCAGGGTTTTATTAGATGCAGTAAAAACTCACGCAAATGTTATTCTAATGAAATACGTGTTAACTTAATTATTCTTGCAAATTCATGAATTCTGATAAATATCGTCATTTGCTCATTCACATCAAAGACGAAAGAAGAGAACAAAAATAGTTGTTTTTCTGATTTCAGATGTCGCATAAAGATTCACAAGGAGCATGTGGACAATAATGATCCTCTAGCGCCATGCAAACTACATCACGATCCTCATTGCGCCCGCGAGATGCTTCTGTTGGCGTCCACGAAGGAGGACCAAACTCGGTGGGTGAGTCGCCTGTCGAAGCGCATCCAGAAGTGTGGCTACAAAGCCAACAACATCAACAGCGCCGCAGGAAATGATGGTAGCAAAATTTCACCTAGGTAAGAAGAACATGTGAAGTTATAAGTAAAATAGTTTTTATTGTGAAGCAATAGAGGCAGGATTTTATGTGTGTCATTAACTGAAGACTTCATGAGCTTTTGTGCAGGCTTAACATATTGACTCTTTGACTAACCTTTTAGCCAGTCAACACGTTCCAACTACAAACCATATGCCGCAACTAATGTACAAAGATCAGCAACTCTTCCAGCTAATTCATCATTGAAGCAGCAATAACAGTTTTACAAGGAGAAAAATTCACACATTTTATAAACGAAAAAAAAACTTAAGAGATACAATTTCGAATGCAACATCAAAATGCCTAACTCTTTGCCTACAGACATGTTTTTTATCACTTTGTAATGCTATTTTACTCTCTGTTCTTGTGCGTGTCTAAACTGTGGGTTAAGGGTGACATTTGAAGAAAAAAAAATGTTTTGGGTGTCTTTAAGTGCTCAAAAAGCATCCTTAACTGTGGCTTTGAAATCATATTATCCTTATGTGTTATCCTGTTCTTTATTTTACCTGTAAAAGAAATTTCCGAATGGCAGCTGTTAAAGCCTGAACTAAAGCAAGAAAATGTGCCCATTGATAAAGAGAATCAGTGCCTCAGTAATAACCCTTAAAATGACTAGGCGAAATGAAATGATTTGTAGAAGAGTTAGAATTGAAAATTATTATTTTCCAAAAGATTATAAATATTCGGTACTTAGGTGTATATTTACTTAAAATAAAGATTTTAGTGTTATTTTATATATTATGGAACTTTTTTTTACAATTCATGAGTTGTGCTGTGTTTTAAATGTAATACAACTAATATTGAAGAAATGCGAGACGAAGAGAAAAGGTGGAAAGTAATTATACTACTGCAACTAGACTTTGCCCAATTCACTGATTAAAAGAAACAACTTGATGATTATATTAAGAATGAAGGAAAAATATTAACCATGGAAATAGATTTTGCGTATTAGATATTAAATAAAGAAATAAAAGCATTGTAATGATTCAAGATGAAGAATACTACTGATAAACACTAAACTGATATTTTTGTCATCTTAAGTGCTTCTTGCAAACTGATTTTTATTGCCTTTATGTTAGTTTCGAGCGGGGGAAATGTATTTTATTTTCTTTGTTGGAAAGAAAATTAAAGTGAAATGATAGAATTATTCTCCCACGAGCAGCTAATTTATCTATATTTCCGTTTTTATCTCTTATTTTTAATCAACGTAACATTATTTTTAATAAATTATTGTAAAAGTAATTTTATTAACCATGCAAAATGGTGCTCTATCGATGCTGAACACTTACGTCTGTTTTTTACTATATTAATTGCATTTATTAATTAGTTGAAGAGTGGAATGGAGAAGTGCGAAGACAGTTTGTGAGAAAGATATTTTTGTACTTGCATTTTTCATAGTCGAGATTCAAACATAATCACAATAATGCAAACATTCCGAGGTTTTATCCTCTTTTAATAATATCTTATGAGGATTTTATCGTAGGAAGTAAAGCTACACAAGAGGAAGTATTTGTATAAAGCGATTCAATAAAAAAGAAGGTTATCAAGTCTTATTAAGAGGAAAAATATCTCTACCGCAAATACATATTATAAACCTTGACAACAGTGAGAACAGTAAACAGTAGTTTATACACATTTGTAGGAGGGAGAAAAGGATTTACTAAAACTGTGCCTTTTAACTCAAGAACCCCTATTTTGACGATTGAACATTTAATATGACATACAGAATGCTGTAATTTTCTAATTAAACCCTATATTACAATATTTAGAATTTACAATGAAGAATATTTTGTAAGATGTACTGTAATTGTACATATTCAGTAAATAATTATGAAGATGGAAATTGAAGTCTTTTCAGTACCGCAAATTAATCCCATGGAAACTTGTGGACCCTTTTCTGGCATCAGAATTATTCTCAAACACATTTTATGCTAGAACAAATCAAATGGTTGATCTAGATAATCTCAATTCGGGACAAACTGAAAACGCGCTAAAATGCAATGAAAAGTGTAGAAAAGTTTTATTTGCAAATTATTCATCTGTATTTCATCTTTCACCTCCATAATTTATTTGATAATTTAATACAAATACATCACAATATTTTATCTTGTTCTCTCATACATTTTTTATACCTCCTCTTCTCTGTCCATCGGCAATTTCTCTGCGGTGAGTTCAAAAATATTTCTCTGCACTTCAAAAATACGCGCTTTTCTGTTCAAGCCTTCGGGAAGTGGACAGAAATTGCGGAAAATGTGAAGATTGAGGTATAAAAAGCTACCCATAGAAGCATGAAATGGAATCTTAAGCTTTTGATCTAACAACTCTTCTTCCTTAATATTATCGGGCTACTCAAGTAAATTACAAAACTAGGGAGAGTATCTTGTGAGTGCAGCAGGGAGTCAAAGTGTGTGGCTGTGCAGTGCTAGGGCGTGCTCATTCGCTTGGCGTGAGATCCTTCTCGGGCTCGTTCTCCGTGAGTATTTGGTGCAGGAGCTCGTATACGGGCTCGAAGGCTTTCTTGCAGCCGGCATTTGTGAGGTTCAGGTAGTCGTACATGTCATGGTGACTGATGGAGCCGTCAGATTGCACCAGGCCCTTCTCGATGGCCACGATCTGCACCTTGGGCATTCCAGCACACAACCCGGCCACCAGTGCGTTCACCTGGGCGTTCTTCTCGCGCAGCTTGTTGGGCATGTGGCCACGCGGCAGCAGTGTGGGCAGCACAACGTACGCCTCTGGAAGCCGCTCGCGCACCGCCCGCACCACTGCCACCACGCCCTCGGCAGTCTCCTGGGGTGTGTTGTCGATGTTGTTGGTGCCCACATGCACCACCACGATGCGCGCCTTCACGTTGTCTAAGACACCATTGTGAATCCGCCAAAGCGTGTTCTGCGTGCGGTCGTCCCGGATGGAAAAGTTGAGGCAGTGCATCGGTGCAAAGCACACATTCCACATCTCAGTGAACTGCAGCCCCTCCAGGATGCAGTCGCCGATGAAGATCACCTCCGGATCCTTATCCCGCAGCTCACTCACGAACCGCTTGTGCTGCAAAGGGAGATCAAGTGAGAAAGTGTTCCAGAGCGTTCAGGATGAACTGTTTGATGCTCACTATCGATATCCATCGATTGTCGCCTGTGGTGTCCTCCAAGGGCGTCGGCACGCATGGGTTCATCGTCACTGGCCCGCAGGAACTCCAGTTAATTGACTTGCGACTGGATTGCACTCCCTAATTAAACGCAAAGCGGCACTCGGGAAAACTCAGGTTATCGTCAGAATGACGTTTTCATAAGCGGCGGGCGGCGACTCTTTTTAACTACCTAAGCGCCATCCAGTTTCTCGATTCCTGTACTGGAGAAACACTTTCAAAAGAGAGAATTCAGTTCAACTGTGAACGTGTGACAAACTAATAAAAAAGCTTTTAAAATAGAGAAAAGTACAATTTTAGGCCTACGACATATTTTTGCATTCTGCATTTTTATTTGAAAAGAAAATTTTAAGCTCCAAAGTCATATTACGTAAATTGAACATTTTCATTGTGAATCAAAGAATAATTATGAATTTATTCTTCGATGACTTTTAGGCATCAAAACTCCTCTCCTTCAAAGATCTTACAAAGCAATTGATTCTTATAAAATGTTTTGAAAGTGTACCACCTAATAAATTAATTAAATATTGGATGATTTGTTAAATTTGCATTATTACCACATTGCCACTGACCTGCACTCTACGCTGTTCATTCATAAAGCTCATTAGGCGCGAGCTTCTCGTGAAGAATAGATCACACGAAGGTAATGGAATTTTAATTGTGTTCACTGGTCGACAATCCACGGGTGCTTAATGAATAATCGACGAGGGGCAGCTTGAAAGGAATTTAGCGCCAAAAAGAGGGTGGCAAGTGTGGAAGAAGAAACAATAATATAGTGGAAATCGATATCTTCAATGTCACGTGTATGCCTCAAATAATAAAAACCGCTCAATTATTAATTGCAGCAAATGATGGGCTAATGGTTGGCGCTATGTCAGGTGCTTCTCAAACACAATTGACTCATTGCCTGCATTTATCGTGCGCGCGACTGTGTGAATTGCGCTCCTGAATCTCAGACGGAACGCGAGATCGTGCGTGATTCAAGTGTTGGGAAGTCAATTAAATGTTTAATGGGGTGGAAACAATGGAATTGCTGAGTGATTCCCAGGAAGTCAGTCGACCACCATCGGCCGAGAGGCGAAAACATCGCTCATCGGATCCCCAGGTGTTGTTATCAATCGTGCATGGATTAGGCGCTTTCAATTTCTGCTCAGCACCGTGATAAAGACAGTTGACTCTGAAACGGCAACCATGGCGGTTCAATCTCCGATCGGTCTGGACATTAGGGAAGTGAACTTGACGGACAATTTGGCCCCTCTCGAGTATTATGGCCACTTTGATCTCGTAGGACGAGCTTATCTGGAGAACACCCAGACGTCTGCCCAGGTCACTCTGGATCGCGCGCAGAAACCGTTCATCATTGGAGGTCCTTTGGGCAATCAGAAGTACATCTTCGAGCAGCTGCACTTTCATTGGGGCGATCATGATCACCTCGGCTGCGAGCACACCATCGAGGGCTGTCGTTACTCCATGGAAGGACACGCTGTCCACTATAACGCCAAGTATCGTGACTTTCAGGAGGCTGTCACGAAGCCCGACGGGATTGCCGTGACAGGATTCTTCCTCCAGGCTCTCGGTGACACCGATTTGCCCGAGTTCGATAAGATCACCCATGCGATCCGCCAAGTTTCTGACCCAAAGGCCAAAACGCAAATTGATCCCGGTGAGTGTGAATTGGACCCTTATCTAAAGACCCCCAGATAAAATCCTAACGTACGACTTTGATTTCAAATTGCACCGCTTTTATCAATCTTCAATAAATAACTTCGTTTTCACGTGAGAAACAAACATATAAAGGGCTTCAGGGGACTTTGCAATGCTCTATTTCTAGCCTAATCAACAAAACTTTAAAGACTCGCGTTAGCCTTATCGACAAAATCAATCAATGCGCGAATTACTAATTAGGTTTTGTGTTAAAAAAAAACTTCACACACTGATTGATTTTCCCCAGATTGCCTCGCTTGGATGAACCTGCAGGATCTCTCCAAGCACTACTACACCTACAAGGGATCCCTCACGACCCCGCCATACTACGAGAGCGTCACCTGGATCGTGTACAAGACCCCAGTTTACGTGTCCAAGCGCCAGATTGATGTGTTCCGCAAACTTAGCTGCAGTCGCGAGGATAAATCCAAGAAGATCATCAACAATTACCGCGACGTGCAGCGTCCACGTCACAACCCGCGGGTTGTTTTCGTGCGCAACTGCGTGAACCTCAAAGCCAAGCTGTAGACTGGTTCAATTCGCAAGAAAATTTATATTGTAGGCTAGGGAATAAAAAAGTAAATTGCAACTACACAGTCGCTCACAGTGCCATTTTTCGTCCCTCAATGGATATCTCAACTGCCCTCCGAGACTTCTTCTGCCTCTTGGCGTCGATGAACTTCTTCAGATGCTTCTCATAACGATTAGGTTTCTTCTTGGTGGTCTGCATGGGATAAAAAAATATTTCCCATTTAATCAGTTTTATCCTCCTTAATCTCAGGTATTAAACATCGATACTCACGCGACTCATATCAACGTCCGAGCTCGATGGCGGACGCAGAACGTAATCCCTGTTGGACGGCATTGGCACTCGAGCACGTCCCACCCAACCTTTATCACCCGGCCGAAGAGCCCTGAAAACAGATAAAAGACATAAGGCATTACTAGAAAAATTTCCCAACAAAAACACTTACTTCTCCTCAGACGCGAAGGCGTTCAAGTCTTTCTTAGATCCCGATGAACCTGGTTCAGGGCTCATTTTGCGACGCTTTGGCATCTGGTCCAAATCTCTCTGCTGGCGCTCTTCTCGGCTCATCGCTGAAGAAGCAGAAATGAGAATATAGGCAAACTCTAATTACAGAAGAGAATTAATCTTACCTTTGAAATCCGCACTCAAGTTGAAGATCGGCCGTGCCCATTCCGATATAAGGCGTCCAGCGCGATCTCTATTGGTTTTGGTCTCCCTCGGATGTTTGTAGAGATACATAACAGCTTTCCCGATGCCAGATTGCTTCAGGTAACTCTTGTCAATGGTCGGAAACTGTAGAAATTAACATTTTTCGGTATTTCAAGAACTGATGAACAATCATTTTGTAAGAACTCACGTCTGATAAAAGCTTTAAGATGCTCTCGCGTATCTGAAGACAAGGAAGACTCTTGTTGGGCATCGGCGCCAGCCAATCGGTCAGCACATTGAGGATGTTGTGCTCGAGGAATGCCAGCTGAAGATCCTTCTTAATCAATTGCGACATCACTTGCTTCAACATCGAAATCTTCTTCGTTGCAGGCTGATTATCCTTATTCAGCTCTCTGTCCTCCTCAGCGGCGATCTTCATATTTCTGATTAGCTGATCAATCAGATCGTCATTATCATTGATAATGTCAATGTCGCGCCTCTTTCGCCGCCTAGACTTTTCCTCACGCTTCTTCGCCAGCATTGCGTCAAAGTCTGATAAAAATTCACCGCCAACAGCGTCTTTCTCTAGTCCCTCATCTCCAGAACTGTACAATCCTCCATTACCATCTTCTTTCTTATTCCCCTCCACCTGATTCTCGGTTACGCTTTCTACTGGCTTCGGTGCTTCTCCCTCATTTTCAGACTCTGAAACTATCGCCAATCGATTTTTCCGCACTGGAGAGCCAGAGCGAGATCTGGATCGAGAGCTTCTGCTTGAGGATCGACTGCGTGATCTCTTGGCGCTTCGACTACGGCTTCTGGAGCCACTCCTAGAGCGACTTGAGTAACTCCTGCTGCGGCTCCTACTTCTGCTGATGCTGCGCGAGCCACTGCGTGATCGTGAAGATGCCTTGGAGCGACTCCGTGATCGCGAATCTCTAGCACTGCCACTCCCGCGGGATCTACTTCGTGATCTGCTGCGGGACACACTTCGCCGTGGACTCCCTGATTTGCTCCGACTTCGTGAACGCGCCGAAACACCACTGCCACTGCGAGATCTCTGTGATCGTACAGATTTAGCACTACCACTGCGTGATCTGCCTGAGCGAACAGAGGCCTTGCTGCCACTTCTAGATCGCCGAGAACCTGGAGTTCCACTGCGCGACCTCGCCGAAGCTCTACTTCCACTGCGTGAACTTCTCCGTGACTTTACAGATTCATTCCCGTCCTCAACATCTTCCCGGACAACCTCCTGAGTGTCATCTTCAGGACTTTTGGGATTGCTAGAGCTCTTTGGAGAAGCTGGAGGGCTTTCCACAATTTCACTAGATACCTCTTGTGCTGGAGAACTTGCCGAACGCTGCGATTCCGGAGATTTCGCACCGGTTTCAAGCGTCACCACTCCATCGGCAGCACTCCGTTCATCGATTTTTGATGACTCTGCAACCTCATTTTCAGCACTCATCTCGTCCTTCTTCTCCTCGGCATCAGCAGAAAGGATCGCCTCGTCATTTTCAGGGACAATTAGGGCAATTTCTGAAAATGCATGAAAAAAAAAACTCTCATAACATAACCTCGAAATGCGACTTACCAGAAATTTTGTCTGTTTTTCAACCACTTACCCGTGGATTCCTGTGATTCCATGTCAGCCAGTTGAAAGAGCACAACTCGAGGTAGGTTTTGGAGCACAAAACCGTTGATTTTGGGGGTGTTTTCGCTTAGAAAAACTACTGAAAAGCTCCCACTGCACTATTCATCCCAACACCGAATGCCTCACGAACGCTCACGGTATGCATATTTATCGAGTGGGGAAATTCATCGAAAGAGGGGTAACGGATTGTCTTCCACCATCATCGATTCCAGAATTCTCTAAAAACAAAAAGAATATATTTGTAGGAGAGATTGTGCAAGACATTTAACTCTTCATAAGAGTTCTGACAGTATTATCGATATTCCTCTCTTTTCCAAAAAAAAATTTGTGCGAGATTTGAGTTGAATATACTATGACGTCATCGAGTCTTGCCCTCCAGTCGATGAGCGCGATGAGGTGATTTTCTTTAATCGACGCGCACTGTCACTTGATCGAGTGCTCGATGCGTGCGTCGATTTTGAATCGATTTTCGTCTGTGCAGAAAGGAAAACTAAAATAAATGGCAGCAAAGTTACTGCGATTTTCCCAAAAGAAAAATGTGCCGTGCGGTGTGAAAAGTGGACACACGGTTTTATTCCAGGCGATGCGTGTGATATAATTTGTTCAAATGTGATTATTCGCATCCAATTGTCTGTTTTGTGTGTAAATGTTGTGTGGCACCCAAAATCCAAGTCAAGAAAATTTTTTCTGTGTGCAAATCTCAATGGATCTGCGTCTTATTTATTGAATATTCCATCATCCTCCCAAATTTTGTGTCTCGTGGGGCGATAGCACGGCCGCGAGGGCACTCCGGACGACAAGGCAGCGCCAGTGCAGCTCCCGCGACATTTTGTCTTTGCATGGTGTGTTTTGTGTTGAAGAAAATAATGGCGGAGTCGAGAGTGAAAATTCAGTGAAATTCTTCACGTCCATCGAGAGAGCGTCCCGAGAGCCCGAAGAGGGGATAAAAAGTGAGTTCACGGTGGGGCTTTCTGGGATGGAAATTAAAGGGGGTCCCATAGCTCAAGACGGAGCAGTTTGATGACTTTTCACTGAACACCCACCCCTTCTCACCCTCCCGCAGTCCGACATCCTGAGGGAAAACTCTGGTCCTCCCCTATTCTGCCATTGTAGTGGAAAATCCCTCAATGCCAACAATCGCAGCTTTTCACTCTCTCGCTGGGTTTTTCCAGCAGGGAAAAACCACCCTTTTGGACTTTTCACTGCTTGGGAAATTCCTGAAGTTTCGTGAAAAGTAGACTTTCCTTCCCAGAATCACTCTAGATACCCAACGAAGCTCTCTCTTGTCTCTCCATAGGCACAGTTCTTTCTGGTTACTCGAGGGAAGTGGCCATGAATTGAGTCAATTGGTGCTCCAGCAAGAGTGGAATAAGCCAGTGAAATAGACCCCATCAAGGCAGTGAGATTCCTGGAGACAAGACTGTGTCAAGTAAGAGTTTGATTCTGTACAAAATGTTTTAATGCTTTTATTCCGCATCTTGAAGCTTGTAGATAGTTTTGAAAATTTTTATATTATCTACAACTTTTAACGCGTAAAAAGTTAAAATTTTGGTATTTCGAAGATTTTTAGAAGATAAAAATTTCTTTTATCTTTGCATTGTGAGAAGATTCAAGAGATAAAACTGCCCTGGAATTAGAAAAGGGATCTACTTTACGAAAGTTGCGAAAGTTGATAAATGAGATTATAGCAATAATATGGATTGATAAATAGAAATGAAAGTCTTAACAGCTTAATAACAGACATTCATAAAAGCCACTTGTGCACAAGAATAGTTCACTAATTATTAATTAGAGATGCGAATGTAAGAAATGACTTAATTAACGTCATTGAGCATGATATTGTTTCGTTGACAGTCTTTTTCGGCCTGGTTCGCGTGTTGAGGTTCCGGGCATCTTACTTTGAGCTTCGAGGAGGGCGGAGACCGCCAATCAACTGACAACAATGTCTTTTCTGAGCGCTTCCGTCGTGCCATTGCTATTGTCCATCGTAGCACTAGCCAGCCCGACGCTCGGGGTCTGGCAAGAGAATGTGAGACCCAAGCTGTACGTTGAGCTGGGCACTGAGGAGATACTCAGGTTCCAGGGCAACGACACTACCATCGACAACTTCAAGCTGATGTTGAGGGACGGCACCAGTTTGCTCATTGGCGCCAGGTTAGTCGTCTTTATCAGTGCCACTCGATGCAGCCTCTGATCTTGCTCTCGTCTTTCCAGGAATATTGTCTACAATCTCAGCATATCGGACCTCACGGAACAACAGAGGCTCATGTGGTACTCACCGGAGGACGATGTGAAGATGTGCGTTGTGAAGGGGAAGGACGAGGTAGGTTTTCATTCCTTATGCATCACTTTATTCGAACATATCGAGCCATGGGTGAATTGATGTAATTTTATTGGAGAGAAACCCACATAAACCTCTGAGAGCAATATCATTTTTCTTTGTTTGAAAGATACATTAAATGGTGGAATGTTTGAAGATGAATTTTATAACGCGACCTGTTCCATATCACTTGTGAGAATAGACACTTTTGCAGTGGACTGAAAACAATTACGTTATTGACTTGTGAGACTGCAAGATTTGCATGCCAATTGCCATGTCCCATGTCTAATTGAATATTAATATATCATGCAGTGTAAGAGACAGAAATTTCAATGAAAGTAAAAGAAATGTTTCCTAGAGAATCATAAAACGGGGAATTGTTATTGAAATTACATGTTATTGATTAGAACGTAAATCTTTTATCACTTCATCAACTCTTTTTGACGAATTATTGATTGACATGCTTCATGATGCCAATAACTTTTTTGGCAATCAGCGATGACCACGCTAAAAAAGAACCATTTTAAGAGTTATATTAATATTGACAATCCTGAACACTAGAGAGATGAAAATGGGTTAAATTTGAACATCGTATATCCTAATTTTAATATGACATGTGGTAAAATACGATAAAAAATATGGTTCTCGCCATTGTTATCAAAGCTATTATTAACACAAACTGGTATTTGTGAATTATTAGACATACTCTTTCGTCTAATAAAACCTTCATAATCGCTGCATTTCTGATATCAATCTGAAAGAGCAATAGTGGGATTATAATAGCGCGACAGTGTTGTCAAAGGAAGCAACTAAATATAGACTTTAGGGTGGTTCTTGTGAATTTCCGATTATCTGAAAAAGCTGCAGTCTTGTTGTGGTGGAAAAGGTATTGCATATTTATAAATCTTAATTGATTCTTAATTATCTGAGAGTGTTATTTTGGATCATTTGGATAGGGAATTCAATTATAAAATAATATAATAATACTTCTGGAGTATAATTAAAGACAGTTTTGACGAATAAAATAAATCTATATAGGATTGAATTAAGACTAAAAATTGTACATAATCTGCGCACTTTATCAAAAAACATTTTTACATATTTTAATGAAAACCCTGTCAGGATGAGAAATTTTATACTGGAACTTCCCAAACTTTTCAGTTTTTCTTGTCTTAACTGACTTTGTTATATTTGAAATTTTAAAGTGTCCACATTAGCAAATTACCATTTAATTTATTTTAATTGCTTCCCTTTAAGGTAAATAATTGTTTTTCCCCGTATAAAGATAAATATCATTTCGTGGTATTTGAGGTGTTAATTTGCATATAATTTCTGGGTATTTATTCATGACAAACAATCGACATTGTTTCCCACATTCATCACAGATAATCTTAATTCGATTAATGTCAATGCAGGTGAACGGCCGCGCGGATTTTTTCTTATCAATGTTAAATAGTATTTTCATTTTATCAGCCAATTGAGGAGAGAATGAGGAGGGGGGGGGGGGGGTAGAGCAAAGTGAAGTTGTAATGAAAATAAATTGTATCAATTTGAATTGAAAGACATGACTCAGTCACTCTCTGTGTCTCTCTAAAATATATATTTTTGCATATTAATCAAAATTCATGAAATGAATTTTGAATAGAATCTGAGCAAAAATGCTGGATGAATAACTCTTGTGAGGGGCCCGTGAATTGAGGGTGGGTTGGAGTGAATTGGTATGAGATGCGAATCGTCAATTCAGTTGTGTATACTCTTTTTACTGAGACCATGTTAGAGGTATTCAGTGTATTTTGTGTGCAGTTTTATTTGAGTTGGGAAGAAATATGGAGGACTTGTGTTGCAAATGAGCGGAAAATTAGTTGCGAGAAAAGTTGTGTGATATTGATATGGGCGTTTGAGAGCATCTTTAAGTGAGATGCGGGAAGAGTGTGTCAGTATCAGTGATTTTCTTTGATACTTGCTGTATCTTTCGAGCAAGTTTCACGCGCAGTGTGAAGTGGGTTCTTTTTTAATTAATTGCAGAGATGAAACTTGTGATTTCATTTTGACGTTGGAAAGAAGAGTGTGGGAAATTTCTGGAGTTTGGAGGCTAATTTGAAGAGTTTGTGTGGGTCGGTGAATATTCAAGGAAATAATGTGCATTTGATAGGTGAAGAAATTGAATTTTGTTGTTGTCTTGCTTCTTTGCAGGAAGCTTGCCAGAACTACATTCGTGTCCTAGTGGTGCCGAGTCCGGGGAAGCTGCAAGTTTGTGGCACAAATTCATTTCGACCCATGTGTCATTTGTATCAGATAAATGCAAACAATTACACATTGGAAATGGAGAAACCCGGTCAGGCGGTGTGTCCTTATGATCCGCAGCACAACTCCACAGCAGTATTTGCCGGTAAATCATCTCTTCTTTTGTTGCCACACTATGTGATGGGGCTTTTCTGCCATGGGAAAAGTCCCATCTTTTTTGCTTCACGAACTATAATACATACAACTATAAGATAAAATTAAGCGAGCGAGTGGAGAATCCACGAGTGTGAGGTTGTTGGGAGGAAGAAATTGTTATTGATTTTCCCTGGATTTTCCTTTTTCAGACAATGAACTCTATTCGGGCACCGTGGCTGATTTCAGTGGCAGTGATCCAATAATTTATCGCGAACCTCTTCAGACGGAACAATACGACAGTCTCAGCTTGAATGGTACGTGATGATAGAGGCTCTGCCTCTCTCACCTCGCTCTATGGATATAGTTTTTTAATTAATCCCTTCCACTTGTGCAGCACCCAACTTTGTCAGCTCCTTCACGCAGGGGGACTTTGTGTACTTCTTCTTCCGCGAAACAGCCGTGGAGTACATCAATTGTGGGAAGTCCGTTTACTCACGTGTTGCGAGGGTGTGCAAGTGGGACAAAGGGGGACCACATCGCTTTAGGAATCGATGGACGTCATTTCTAAAGTCACGACTGAATTGCTCCATGCCTGGCGACTTTCCCTTCTATTTCAATGAAATACGTAAGTGTACATTCACCGCTATGAAAAAAGTGGTTTGCTTTTGACGAAGCATTTATTCGTAGAATCTGCAAGTAACTTGATTGAGGGACGCTATGGACATTCGAACTCCAAATTGATTTATGGTGTATTCACAACACCGCCAAACTCCATTCCGGGCTCCGCTGTTTGCGCCTTCTCACTGCAAGATATCGCAGATACATTTGAGGGGAACTTCAAGGAGCAGAGCGGCATCAATTCCAACTGGCTGCCCGTCAATAGCGCCAAAGTGCCAGATCCACGGCCTGGGTCGTGTCATAACGATTCACGCACACTGCCAGATCTCACGCTCAATTTCATTAAGACACACTCGCTGATGGACGAGAATGTTCCGGCATTCTTTGGACAGCCAATTCTAATGCGCACCAGTACAATGTACAAATTCACTCAGATCGCGGTGGATCCGCAGATTAAGACGCCAGGAGGAAAGACGTACGATGTTATTTTTGTAGGAACAGATCATGGGAAGATCATTAAATCGGTGAATGCGGACTCGGCGGACTCTAGCAAGAAGGCCACATCGGTAGTGATTGAAGAATTGGATGTACTGGCGAAGAGTGAACCAATCAGGAATATGGAGATTGTGCGAACAGTTCAGTATGGTGAGTATTCTTGTAATGAAAATACAATAAATATTTATCCTAATCAATGCTTTTTAATGCCCTCTTACAGACCAACCCAAGGACGGGAATTACGATGATGGCAAGCTGGTTATTGTCACAGATAGTCAAGTGATTGCTGTAAGACTTCACCGGTGCAACAGCGACAAAATCACGAGTTGCAGTGAGTGTGTGGCTCTGCAGGATCCTTATTGTGCTTGGGATAAGATTCAGGGCAAGTGTCGCTCCCACGGCGCTCCGCGGTGGATGGAAGAGAACTACTATTATCAGAGTGTGGCTACTGGTCAGCACGCCGCTTGTCCATCCGGGAAGATGACGTCGAAGGATGCAAACGCAGGCGAGCAGAAAGGTTATCGCAATGACATGGATATGATGGATTCACACAATCGATTAATGAAGAATCAGCCGAGTGGAGAAGTCATCAATATTATGCAGGATAGCAAGACTTTCGACGGTACAGGTCCTCAAATAACGCCAGATATTATGACGGCGCAGTACTCAGTTGAGACTCTGGTGATGGCTGTGCTGGCGGGATCGATATTTGCTCTGCTGGTGGGCTTTCTTACGGGCTACTTCTGCGGCAGACGTTGTCACAAGGATGAGGATGACAATCTGCCATATCCGGACACGGAGTATGAGTACTTTGAGCAGCGTCAAAATGTGAATCGCATCCAAACGGAGCCGAAATTGCTGCCTCAGGTGGATGAGGTGACATACGCCGAACCGGTGTTGCTGCCGCAAACTTCCAGTCAGAATAAGATGCAAAATTCACCCAAGAGCACACTAAGGAAGCCAATGAGCCTCCATCACGGTGGCAATTCCGACGCTCTCTTCCAGGTTAGACCATCGCACGAGAGTGCTTCTGCTTCTTATGCTAATGCTGATGTGTTCGCCTTCCAGTTTCAGCCTGATGGCTACAATACACGCGACACGTATCGGGGACGAGACAATTTTGGCACTTTGCGCTCCCATCAGGGCGACAATTACCGGCGTGGCGATGGTTTTTCCACGACTCGAAGTGTGAAAAAAGTAAGAGTGGCACAATTTACCAGTAAGCGTTATGATTGATGGGGTCACTTCTGTACCTCTTTCGTTTTCTCGTCCTCACAGGTGTATCTTTGAGACGGGAGTGGGGCGGTTGAGACTAGTCAGGGACTCATAAATCAAAATATGGTAATTTCTTGTGTTGCTCCTAATCATTTCAATTGTTTTACCAATTACACCCTCCCATATCACCACAATTGATTTAACTAAATTTTTCACCTCTGTTTAATCACATTATTCATTAGTTTGCTTCACTTTTTTCTCACTCAACTTAATCACAATATATTCCCAATATATACTCTCTAGGATAGCTGTACTGCCTCAACTTTCACTATATATAACGTTCTATATATCTGTGTTTGTTTCATAAATGTAACCACACATAGCAAGTCCTAATCAACCAGCAATTGACAGTATAATATTTGAGAGAAGAGAAACAAGTAGAGGAAGCACAATTTACTGGTAGAACCGTAGAATTCAATCATTACGGAGATGGTAGAGAAGAATGGACAAATCACAGAGAGACATGAACAATTGAGAGCAATTAGAAATAGAAGACCAATTTTGCTGCTTCCTTTCCTTTTCCCTACACAAAATACACAATTTTTCTCTTTCTCTTTATCACTCTCTCTCTCTCCCATGTATCACATTTTTACACAACTATTAACTTGTAGAACAAATTTTCCCAATTCACCTTTTATCTCTTGAAAAGATGATACATTTCTTTAGTATTTATTATTTTGCTTTTAAATTATTTATAACAAAACACTCGTAATAATTTAGGGCTTAAATACAAATGCAAGAAACAGAAGTCTCGGTCGACTAAGGAGGCAGCCGCCCCGACATGGAATTGGTGAGTGAGATTTGCCAGTGTTGCAGGACATTGTCTGGCTGAGTTCCAGGCAGCCGCTAAATCTGAAATATTGCACTCAAGTAATCTTTCTGCTTGTCTAAAATTCCGTCTGTATTTCAATTGCCAGCCAGACATTGTCTTCAGGTGAAGAGTCCATGAGGCACGTTTGATGAATTGCTTCTTTTATCATTTCCAGCAACGCCACATCGTTCCGATAGTCCGCAAAATTCAAGTTCAGGCTCATCACCAGTCATGTCGCACAGTAGCTCGAGTCCGGCACCGCCATCGAGTAGCCCGAGCCCTCAGGGTAGTTTGAAGAACTGTAGCTATATCTATCGCGATTGATTAATATGTGACGCCGTCGATTCATCATCACTATCACCGGTGAAGACGTCATCCAGGCAGCTGAGGGAGGCGCTGAAAACGTGGAACAGTTTGTGGTCAAGGCGAAGGCGGCGCGAGCGATCGCCGTCGCTGTGGACGCACAATAATCTGCTGATGGAGGACATCGCTGGTGACGGTGACGTGAGATCATCATCGTCCGCATCCACCATTCCGATTGATGAGTTCGTGAAGGGTGGCTGTGGGACTGCAAGTGGACGGAGTGGTGGGAAAAATCGACGCTGCAGGAATAACAAAGCTAATACATGTGATCCGAGGGAGTGTGAGTTGCTTGTTGTTAGAGCATCAGACTGGGATGACGAAAAATGAGATTCTAACATTACATAAATGAACATATTATTAAGAAAAAGAAAATTAACAATATTCCAATGAGAGTGGCGATGAGGTGCCACAGAAGACTTTCACACACGAGCTAAAAAGTGTGTTGTAAAGTGAGTGGAAAAGGTATATTTATTAGCGAGTATGAGAGTTTTTTTTTAAGAGAGATTGTATTCTCAGAGCAGAGCGCATTTTATTTACCAAAGATTTTCATTGTGCATTTATTAATGAATTTGTAACTATTTTATTTGTAACACACGGATTATATTGTCTTCATAGAAGAGCTTTACAGAGAATCTCTGTATAGATTAATTGTACATTTTGACCGGAGTTTTTTTAACAGATTTTTTGTAATATTTGTAAAATATGTTTATACAAGTTTTTTTTTAAACATAAATTTCTTTTTCGATATACAAAAAGAATGAGTTGGATTTAGATGGGCGAATTGAGAGCAAAGAGGAAGAATCAAGCATTAGATTAGTAAGACATAAGAAATACTCACTAAATGAAAAGGATGAAACCATGAGGAAGAAAAGGGAAATTAAATAACTTTATTAGAAATTTTATTATACAAGGTAAGAGAGAGGAAGGAACTTTTTGAAACACAAGTAATAATTAAAAGAAAATGATAAAAATAATTCTAAGAAATATTCACGCATAATATTGTTACATTTAGGAGAAAAAAAGAAACAGTTTGATTGATATAATAAGAAAAGGAGGAGACAGCCCAATATTGATACAGAAATGATAAGAGTTTCGGTTGACGCTGAGTTGAAGCGAGTGGAAACAAATTAAAAAGATAATCTTTTAACTAGAATTTGCTCTTTTATAGCCATTTAGCAAAGTGAGTGCGCGCAAGTTGCGATAATAACATTTAAGGGAGTAAGAAAACAAGAAAATATATACGTATTAGGAGATGGAGGAAGGCATTGTACACACAAAAAAAAGGAAGTAAGCTAGGACAAAAACAAGTTATGAGAGAGCATCTCATGTTTTCATTTTCATTCAATGCTAAATAATATTAATTCTAAGAAGCTATACTTGAATTTATTAAGGAGGAAAATGCAAATATATATATATTTAATCCATGACGGGTGAGAAGAAAACATATTTGAATATAAAGATTGCATTTTATGAATAGCAAAATGAAGGATTGTAAATACGTGAAACTTTATTACAAAAGTGCAGAAACAATTCATCCACCCATTGAGAATTTAAGGAAAAAGCATCTTCTTTTTATGATGTGAAAATGGCACTCTTTAAGACCTTTTCTTTCTCTCTGTAATATACTCAACATTTACACAAGTTTCCTCTCCAATTTGTCCACCCATCAACCGGCCACTGTGTTTTATGTTCCTTTTGACAAACACCTTTTCAACAATTGTAAAAAAAACGGCGGCCTCTCAAATCGGAGACGTTTTGTATGGTGAATTTTTTGAAAGATGTAATTCAGCCACGAGGATTCATATTCCTATAGAGAATGGAGAAGTGAAAGATTATGGTAAAAGCTTGGAGCATGACTACAGGATTGCAAATAAGGCAGGCGATTGAGAGAAAACAATGGGCCCAAGAGAGACAGTTAGGGAAATTTGGTAGATGGGAAGGCTTATTTCCATTTTAAGAAAGAAGACAAGAAAGATTACAAATTTAAAAGAGTATTATGCTTCATACCAAGCATATTGCCGCAAATCTGACTTTGTAATGAAGGATTGTTTTGACGATTGAAGTTATCCGATAGTGATATAGTGACGCATAGTCAGAACAGAGAAAAAGAGTTGACTATCCAAAAAAGGTCTCCATTTGAAAGGTCGCCACTGAATGTATTTCCCTAAGTAGCGAGTTCTCCGCAGTGTAATATGAAATGAAAAGTGACAAGAAAACTGATGCACAAAGACGAAAATGAAAAGTCAAAAGAATTTTGTACGAAAGCAAAAACATTGCCGTTGATAAAGTTCAACAATTGTTGATTGTTTCTTAAATTGTGAATTTTTCAAGATATATTTTTCAGCCAGTCAATGAAGGCAAAGCATAAAGAGGAGAACTATAGGTGAAATATGTTGTTAGGTGAGAAGAAAGGAGGAAATGACGAGATTTTCTCTTTTTGTAAATAAGGAAAGAAGAAAAGAGGGAGTGAATAACAAACCAACTCATGCACTAAATTAAAAATGATAAATGACAAGTTATTGAGAAGAAATCATAGCGAGTAGTGGTTTTTAAATAATAACAATGATAGAGAAAATGGGAGAAAAGGAAGAAAAATATATTACAATATATTTAGAGGTATTTTATTTGATATTTAAAAAAAGGTATATTGTTCAAAGTTCAGTCAAAGGCAAGACGAATGCAGTGGGGAAAACGTTACCAATTAACGAGGGAGAGGAAGTAAAGTCATTGTAAAGCATTTTCGCTATGATGAAACATGGGGAAAGAGGATGAAACAAGCAAAAATAAAATTTAAATTATTGACAGAAAAATGAGAAGAAGAAATATATTATATTACGATGAGGTGAGAAACTTACTAAGAATATTAGAATATAAATTATATAAAGCCATATATTTATATAATTAATAAGTCATTTATAATATGCAAGTGCTTCTTACAAATATATTAATGAAAGAAAAGGATACTGCTTAGATGAGTAGAAAGTTTTGATGTGTAAAGATTTTACATTTTCATTTTAGTTTTACAAAACGATAAAGAGTGTTTCATTTTTGCTCCATAACATAGAAATAATAACAATATTATAGTAAGTGAAGAAAATGCGATAATTCAAGCATTTCTTGAAGAAAGTGTAACATTTTTACCATGAAAAATAATACAAGTTATTCAAAGCAAAAGCAACAAAAAGGGAAAAAATATTCAAAAGTTAGTAAGAGAATAATTAGAAATTCTTTAAAGAAGCAAATCCACAGTGAAATCTTCCATGATTTGAGTTGAAATGAATCTGTTTAATTTTCCCACTTTTCCCACATCCTTTTCGGGAGTAAAAATACACATGTAGATGAGGTGAAAAAGCCATGAAAAAGTTATAAAAATATATAGTGGTTTACATTTTAGGATTTTACATTATTACATTATTATTATTGAATAGATTTATTGATAAGAATGCAGTCAATTGTATAGTGAAGAAGAATGAAAAAAAAAACAACCTAAACTTGTAGTGAATTATTAAAAGCAAAAGAAGAAATATTAAAAGAAAATCATGTGAAGAAGCATCAAATAATTTTTCGAAAAATACAAAAAAAATCATGAATCTCAAACTAGAAGACAAGAATGAAAAAAAAAATTCCATTGAAGAATTACCACGTTTTTTCGACATTCTCTTGAATAAAACTGAACGAAACCTCTAAATAGAACTATAAAATAGTTTTAAACACTTTAAATGATGAAAAATGAAGTAATTAAACCTTAATAACTATAATGAAAAACTATTAATATTTCCATAAACATGCAAACACGAAGATGAAAACGAGGAAAAGCATCAGATTTCTAAAAGGGAAATTGCAATTTGGTTTTGAGGCTGAATCAACACTTTATTTTCGATACAGAGTTCGCAATTGTATCCACTGAATCAGGTTTTTAACTAAATGAAATATATGAAAAGCAAATAGGAATGCAATTAAAAAAGATTCTAAATGGTAGTTTTCACATGATGGAAAGAGCATACAAATACAAATACGAAGAAAATTTATTTATTGACACAATTTACTAATTCTGACTATTGGTAGCGATTTGTTGATATTCCTGATTATTCAGTTAATTTCTGATATTAATGCTGTCTTGAGCAATAGCCTAAAGATGGCAACTGAAACTTTGCAGCGAATGATCATTTTTTTTGCAAAAAAACCATCATGTGGGAAAAGTTAACTGAATTTCTTGAGAGAAATGAAACAGTTGGGTATCAAACATGGTGAACTCTGTGAGAACCAAGAAGTCTTTTTGGTTTAAGCTTCATATTTTATAATTGTACAAAAAAAAGTTTTCCTTTTGGGCGTTGAAAGCAATGCAACGCCAAGACACAGTGTAATAATTCCAAAATTGAAGATAAAAAAAAAATCATGAAAGACTGAAATGATATTAAACAATAACCAACATTACTTTCTATTTTAAGTTTCTATAAATGTCTAGTGACACGAAAGTGGATAAAAAAGTGTATGTAGAGTGGCAAAAAGCACATCAAATTGTATGATTCTGCGTTCAAAGACACGAAGATGAAGATGAATTCGACTAAAAAGATAATGTAATGAGTACAAAAAAGAAACTTGTTTAATGAATGTGAAAAATCTCAAATCCACTGAGAAATTTCCTTGCGATGCAATAAGACAAAATGAAAAAAAAATACTAAAGAAAATATTGAGGTAAATTGTAGAAAGTCCAGCGAATTATTTCACTTGTTATCGAATCTCAATTACACGTCATTTGTTTCTACTCAATTTTTCTTGGTTTTCCCTGAAATTGTGAAGAAAAAGATCTAAAAAAAAGACACAGAAATACTCAAAAATAAATGCAACCTTAGGAAAAAGAAGATTTGTAAATATTGGGAGGCAAGAAACAACTTCTTTATTCTTTTCACATCTTCTTTATCATTCACTTGTTGCATGAATAATGCGCAACATCACTTAGAAATATTTGCATTTAACGACGACGATGAGGAGGAGAATAGATAAGATTGAAGAAATCCACAATACGTATTCAGTGAAAAAGAATTCAGCTAGAAAATGAAAGCGTTGTTATTGAATTTTTCTTAAAATAAAAACCAGTGATTAAAAACTGACGATATAATGATAAATTTGAAGTCACACACTTACTTTTCTCCCCCGCAACGGATTGACTGATTTTTAATTCACAGAAAAAAAATGATTTTGCAGAAGTAAAACTCAGACAAATTAAAAAAAGACACACATTAGAAATTCTATTGATAAACATTAACATTAAAAAATACCTATTTCATAAAAAGGAAAAATATTATTGCATAGTCGAGAGGAGTGAATTAGGAGGAACTCATAATTTTTCATACCAAATGCAAGTAGAGACTTTCATTATTATCATTAAGTAACATTTAAATGAGGCGAGGTGGTGGAAAAAGGAGGAAAACGGACGTGGAGAAAGCAAAAGTAAATAAAATTATTATTATAAATTATGTAATTGAATTAAGGAACGAATTAGAAAACAAAAATTAATTAAATAAAAACCAAATTTCACAAAAGCAAATGAGTTTTTAATTTTTTCATATTCAATTAGATGTTTTCACTGCAAAGTTTTGAAGGTGTTTGATCTTCGAATATACCAACAACGTAAGTATTGAATACAAAATAAGATACTCACCATACTATATGCTTAACTAATTGAATTTTTGCCGGATCTCAACTCACGAAGCAGTAAAAAGTCATAATTACTCTTTATATAATATTTATTAAAATTGTGCTGCTTAAATCGAGAATTTTCTCACTGAATCATTACAAGATGGTTTGATTTGTGCACGCATGCGCGTCCAACTAAAGTCTATCTCTTAAGAAATGTCCTTAGAAATAATTTAATAGGGTATTTTTTTTTGTAAAGAAAAAGATTATCCGTCTATTTCATTAACTAATTCATCGTCTGCATACTTTTGTATTTTACTTTAAATGTGCCAAAAACACTCACATTATATTAGTTTATCCTTGCGCTCATTTGGCCAAAATGGGAAATTCTTACGCTCGACGCTCAACGGCGACATGTGAACAATCCTTATAGTTTAGTTGCTAAAGATCCTGTTTCTCTCAGCTACATTTCTCATCTTACCGTAGAAATTCATCTCTTGTAAGTAGATTGAAAGTTTCACTATACCAACATTTAAACTTCATGATGGGTCTACAATGTATTTTTTCAGCTATATTTTCCACTTATATTTAGGTACTTAATCCTACAAACACTTACATTGTAGAGCAATACTGTAATTCTGTAAAGTTAAATGAAATGAATTCAGTGCGGATTTACTGCTTCTCGCCTACAAATTCATTCGTCAGTTATAATTGTTCATGTATTAATTCAATTTTTAAAAATTTCTTTTACTCTTGTAGTTCACCCTGTTATTTTCCATTATTTTTTTTTTATATAACTTCACCTCCCACTATAAAATCTTCTCATCAAACTTAAATAGCGAAAAAATACCCTTTCAATTACGGACATTTATCCAATTGCTCAATCATTGTTGTTTCGAAAAATATAAAATGAGAAATTGCTAAAAAATCTCTCGTCTTATCGTCTAACAAAAAAGATGTATAAAAAATGTGTAAATGTGTGTATAATGTATCGAGGGAATAAAATAATTGTCGAAAGATGGGACATTTTTGCACCTTTTTCACAGATCCGTGTCATACCAGGCGGCGGCCTGGTTGTCGGCGGCCTGTGGCGGCGATGGCATAGCTTCAAGGTGCTCAAAGGACAGCTCTCCCGCCCCCATCTCACCCACGTCCATGTCCATGCAGTAGGGCGACGTCGGATTGGCGCCCGGAGGCCCAATCCCGCCACCAATCTCCAGTCCCTGCATCGAATCTATCGGGAGAGTGTCGTAGCCTGCAAGCAAACGAAACAAGTCAGCAATCTAGACACATAGTCAGTCAAAGTTTAGCTAAATCTGCTAAAAAAAAATAGGAGCCATGCAGGGTAAAGAAGTAAAGCAAAAAACTCAATATAAATCCATTAAACACTCAGAACTAAAGAATAATAATAAAAGAAAAATGATAACAAAAGAAATATTATTACTTTGTTCTCTTAACATACACAGGTTATTCACCTAGGAAAACCCTTAATGTATCTTTGCTCGCATGAGTTGAGAAGAAATGAAGATGGGTTAAACAGAGATTAAAGATAGGATGACTCAAGTTTTTTTTTGAATTTGCAATGAGTTATTTTGCCGGTGAACTTTTTGCTTTATTCTTTTTTACTTTTTAGTGATGATATATGTTAGGCTGGCTTAGCTAGAACGATAAAGAAGAGAGAAGAGAATTGTTTTTTTTTTTTTAATCCAATCACCTCTTATCAATAAATGTCAGTCAACTGTCAAACAATGCCTGTTCAAAAATCACCTTTTTATATGGATATTAGTAGTACAGCAATATTTTTTTGGCACGCTATGCCATTGATTTGCAACTACTCACCTTGCTGATAAGCTCGTCCACCGTGAGAACTGTGAACACTCGGAGGACCCTGTCCATAGAGGCCTTCATAGGCTTGATCGGGACCCAGCATGTCCTATATTGAGGCGGAATTGACAAGGAACCAAAAGTGGAACACAACCAAAAAACAGAAAGAAAGAAAATCCAGTCAATTTATCTCAAATTTCACCAATTAAATAAATCCATTCTAATTTTTCATTTCTACCCAACATTTTTGTTTTTGTGTAATAAGAGAGAAGAAAAACAAACTAAAGGACATGTCATTCCCCTCTGGGCACACAATCTTTCACAATTTTTTTTACACACAGTCTCAACATCAATATACAATCACAAAAATCAGATTCATTCACTCACCTGCAAATCCGGTCCCATGCCTAGTTCGGCATTGTTCCACATATTGTTCTCATCTCGCAGGAGCGAATTTGTCAGCTCCATGGAGAGACGCTTCTTGTAGTCTTGAGGCTTGTCCTCACTCATGCGGAAGAGCACAGCGGCCGCATATGTGGCCACACCTTCATTGCGCGAATGAAGGAGCTCAGTAAGGGGCGCTGTGGCGCCCTCCTGTTCTATCATCTCGGCACCCTCCTTGTCGGCTGCCAGTTCGCAGAGAACTCCAGCAGCAACACGCTGCAAAATAACCACAAAGAACATTGTATTATTGCATAAGTTCACATATTTCATAATCAATTTTAAACTTCAGGAAATTCATTTAACGTTCGACACAAATCTCATCAATTAATGAATAAATCTCACCTGAATATTCTCAATCTCGTTGAAAAGGAGTTGCACAAAGATGGGAATGACGGCCTGTTGGCGAATAAGGGCGCGATTATGGGACTCTCTGGCGAGAATGTGCAGCGCCCCGACAGTTCCCTCTACAATCTCCTCCATCCGGACGCCATCGGCATAAGCGCCCGGCTGCTGTGACCCTGTGCTGGCCACTGAGTTTCGTTGCTGTCAAAAAAAAAAAAAATAAATAAATACACACAATTTCATCAAACACCGTGGCTCAGAATCATGAGATTGAGAGACTCACCCTCTGTGTATCCTGGAAGGCTCTCATGAGAAGCCTAACAAGGTGATGAATGGCGCCGTGCTCCCTCAGCGGAGCATGATTGGCTGAGCAGAGCGCGAGATTCCTAATCAGCCCGATCACCGCCTTGATGAGTGGCCAGCGACTGGGCGGATGAAGGAGCTTCACAATAATAGGAAGCCCATGATTGATGCGCACAGCATTCTGGGCCGCCTCGCTCTCCACATGGCGCGATGTGAGATGACGCAGAGCACAAACGGCCGGCTCTGTGATCTCCTCTCGGTCACCAGCATTGAAGATTGTGCGTACCAAAGCGTCCACTCCGCCCACTTGACACACCGTGATCTTGTTCCTCTGGTTGTTGCACGTCAAATTGGACAAGATGCCAGCGGCGCATGTTACCACATTCACATCTGTGGACGCCAATACCTGCACCAGTGACTGCAGCAGTCCATCCAGTCCATCCACCTTTGTTGCGGCATCCGACAGATTTCTCAGCGTCCAGAGGCAGTTCTGCACGAGACGCTGCGACGGATTGCCCAGATGCATCGCCAGTGCCTGCATTCCGCCAGCATCAACAATTGCTGGCTTATTGCTCGAGCAAACGGACAACACTTTGAGCACGCGTGATGTTGTCCACAACAGCTTCTCATAATCATACGAGCGCATAATGCGCACCAATTCAATGGGACCCGTGGAGGCCAGAATGATGAGTTTGCTCTCTTGATTACCGTACGCCAAAATTTGCAGACAGTCAGTGACGATCGCCAAAAATTTGACATTGTTGCGCTGCAAGAGCGCTACCATCTTCTGCAGTCCACCTGCAAGTCTCACTGCCATTTTGGAACCGTCCTGATGCAGCAACAAATTGTGGAGTGTCGTAATCGCATAGAAGAGCACAGATTCAACGGGGGATGAGAGCAATTTCACCAGTGCCGGAATTCCACCACTCTTGAATATGGCCAATAGACCCTGGCGATGATGGGACAAATTGTGCAGCGTCCCCACGGCGCCTTCGCGATAAAGGAAACAATACCAATTAGTACAATCTTTGTATAGAAACCATCCCCAATCTTACCTCAAAGGGACCCTTACTAAATACACGGATAAGTCAAATCCCTTTTAGCTAATCCCCCAAAATGATACGCACACCACCCACGTACCTTTAGTTGTCTCCAAGTCGTTGCTGTTAGAAATGGCACGCACGAGAGCCGCCACCATTTGCGGGCTATTCATGATGGCATGCCTGGAGGCTTCCTTCTTTGACAACTGATGTACCATCATTGCCGCCTGACTCACCACCACCTGATCCTCATCGTTGAGCAACTTGATCAACTCCGGAATGGCTCTGGTGGCCAGATCGGCGTCATCTTGATAGTTAATCAAGTTCACCACGGCGTGTTTCAACATCTGCGATGGTTCGGACAAGCGCTGTACCGCCGTCGGCTGTTGCGGATCAAACTGTGTCGATGGAATCTCAATGCCTTCCTCCAGAGTTTCCGGAAACATGGCAGCTCGCACCCGTTGTGATCGCGTCTGACTCAACTGTTGATTGATGTCATCCACCTGATCTTGGGTGAAGTTCTGCGTGAAACCCTGATCCAGATCAAACATCAGCGGATCCCCATCCATCTCGTCATCTTCCTTGCCACTGAGCGATGGGACTTGCGTCACGGCACCCGAGTGGATGCCAGAATCGGCCATGTACGAGTTCTGCTGCCACATCAACGTCTGCTCTTTGGCTGACGCCATCGGCAAGTCCGGCGGATTGTATTGGTTATGCGACACTGCAAAGAGAAAAACACAAAGATTTGAGAAAAAGGCTAAAACAAAATAGTATAAATAACAAAATTTAAAGACTTGAGACACAGACAGAAGAATTACGAAGACAACTTATTAGATTAAAAAAAAATTGCAATGAGGAAACCCAAGAATTACAGCAAAATTGTTTCAAGTGTGAATTTGCAAAAAGAAACTCTTGCCACAGAATTTGAATGAAGTGCACGAGCCGAATATCCCTCTAATTTCGTCAAGTAAAACATAGTCTAACGACCGTCTAATGTTCAAATAGTGCTTGAATCTATATAGCGAAGCACTTGTCAATTCTATATCAAGTCTGATTAATCATTCACAATCTTAATTGACATTCTCTACCCTATTCTTTAAAATTTCCCTCTAATTACTGAAAATTTGAAGGTAGTCAAACGGAGACGCCCCGATTATTAAGCTAAATCCACCCTCCACGCTATTGATTGAAAATCCTTGGCAAAAGACTCGTCAAAACAGAATGGGTGAAAGCTCTATGAATGTTTCAGACACTTTATGCACTCCGGCGAAGCGAAAACATCAGCGTCTCACTCGCAAAGAGGAGGAATTTCAATGTTCTCGATGGCTCTCAGGAATTGCAATTAAATGGTCACAAGTATTGTGTGTATGGCAAAAAAATGAGAGAGAATTTAAACCCAGAAAAATCAATACATAACTCCTCAACGAAAATCCCCGGCATCTCTCTTTTCTGAGCGATGGTTGGGCGCGCGTGCTTTGGCGAAAAGCTGAAAGGCGATTCTGATTGCAAGAGGAGTTTTCACACAGAGTTTCAAAAGGGGTTGATTTTCCACCCCTTTTGAGCGAATCACACTCGTTCGTCTCTTTTTTTCTACTTTTCTCGCTTTCCTCACATGCACTAATGAAGCTCATGACGATGTTCTTCAATATGTATTTTCTATCCCACCCACACAATCATCTGAGATATAAGGCTATGAACTCGTTGGATAAACTTAATATTTCAATACATTTCTTTATCCTCTTATTTGCATCACTGATATTATCTTTCAGAGTTTAGCTTCTAAATATATGAAAAAGAGATTTGGGCTACAAAAATCTCGGAAAGTGTGTGATTTATTTGTTGAACGCGATTTTTTCCCAGCGCAAAAAGAGACGAAATGGGAAAAAGAGCGAGATTGCGAGTCAAAGAAGTAGTATTTAAATGCATGGGAAAGAGAAAATCTGCATGAAAATTCATCTCTCAAAAGGCGACGCGTGAATCTAAGCCCACTCTACGAATATCCACCCAAAGTGGGTGGCGCGAGTCTCACAGGAAAATGAAAATCCCGGGAAAGTGACAAAAAGGATTCTCTGCCGTTTGATGTGCTCTTTGGAAGCGCGACATAGTTTTTCTACCACTTCTTTGAGTCACTCTTTCCAATGATTCATTGAAAGTTTCTGAGAATTGTCTCGCTAATGCGGAGCCACATACTTACTCGTTCGATTGTGCTGCTGATAGCTCATGGTACGGCGAAGATTTCACACCTAAAAGAGAAGAAATAAACAGATTAATTGGTAAGCAAAACACAGTTAGTAGAGATCAAAGAAGCGCCCCACGGAATCACTGTTTATTTTGATTAAATAGGTATCTATCGACTTTTTCCACACATCGCCTTTGTCTTGCGCCCCGACGCGCTGAATGCCGGCCAGATAGATGATCCAATTTGGAATAAAACGGCGGAGTTGGACCAGAAGTTGAGGAGTATAATTTATTTTTGTTTATTTGTTTGACTCTCTTCACCGCCCGGAGGGAGTCTTATGCCTTCTTGCCTCCTTCTAGACACCCTCTCATGCATGCGAGAGTCCCTCAAACCCATCTCACCCTCACCCCGAAACCTCGAGAATATTTTCACTCTGCATCCAACAAGCTCTATCAATTTCTAGAGGTGAAAAACTGTCGCGAGAAAATTCCTTATCTCGCCTCACTGAGAGGACCAGCCATTTTGAATGTGTGGCTCCGGGCTCTCCAATAGACTCGCAGCCTCCCGACACACCCCGACATTTCGCCCCATTTTCCCCACAAAATATCCCCTCAGCTTAGCATTCTCCATCGGAAATCACTTCACACAACCCCAAAGCACTTACCGTTGACCAATTGGTGTGGAAATTATGCAGGAGATGTGCAGAGAAGTTGATTTATTTTCACACTCACAGCAAAAAAGCACAACAATCAATTACAATGGCTGCAACTGAGACTGCTTATAGAGCGAGCCGCTCACGCGCTGCGAGCGCTGAGTGATTTCGATAATTCCGAATTTTGATTGCGCGCGCTATCTGATTCTACGGCAATAAATTTTTCCAGCACATTTTGCTCCCCATAGTTGGATATTAACCAAGATGTTGTGCACTTTCTTGGAATGGGCTTACAATTTGTGATTCTACGCTAAATAAAACATGATTTATGAACCTTTCAGGAATTTCATCTCACACAGTGAAAGTGGATTCTCAAAATCTTCTAATCATTAGTGAATCTTCTAATTCACTGCATCCACGATTTTCATCAATGATGGGGATTGTTTGATTCATCAGGAAATTTAGTTTCCTGATAACCATCAGTCATTTTCAATGTAATATGAGGGCTGAGCGAGGCTAAGAGAATAATTTCAGCCGGGTTGATTTTCGAAATTCACGCCTGGCAGTCCATTTTTGAACGTTCATCGGGCAATACTAACTGGGGAGGCAGGAAAAAGTGGCTGATTGTGTGTGAAAGTTGCGGAAATTCCGTGAAAATCTTAGAGTGTGACTGATTTCAGTAGGCGGAGGTGAATCTTGAGATATCCTGGGACATTCTGTGCGTGTTGGTCTGGGCGAAAAAGTACTACAAAGTGTGATAGTGAGGCTCTGAAAAATCCACGGTAGCGATGTCAACTCCAGCCCGTCGACGACTCATGAGAGATTTTAAAAGGTGAAATTTCCCACATTTCCCGAGGTTTTCACGTTCAAGTTCGACGCCCATGTTCTTTTGGAACATCCGTCCGTGTGTTCTAGGTGGAAAGTGGCAGAACTGTGCTCTGGATGGGAGAGAAAAGTGGGCGAGAAGAAAGTAGAAGAGTGTCAAAAAGTAGCACGCAAAATGGCTTCCGCAAAAGTTTTCAAGGGTGTTTTTGTTGCCAATCTCCGATCGATTTTCCTGACTTCTTCTCGACTGCTTGAACCTCTCATCGAAGCCTCTTCTCTTGGGACATGTGGAACGTGTTGCTAATGCGGTCTCCGGACGCCTCTCTCTTGCAGACTCCAGGAAGATCCCCCGACTGGAGTGTCCGGAGCGCCCACGGACAACAACATCATGATCTGGAATGCTGTGATATTCGGACCACATGACACACCCTTTGAAGACGGCACGTTCAAGCTCACGATAGAGTTCACAGAGGAGTACCCGAACAAGCCGCCCACTGTACGCTTTGTCTCCAAAATGTTCCACCCAAATGTCTACGCCGACGGGGGCATCTGCCTGGACATCTTGCAGAACAGATGGAGCCCGACGTACGACGTGTCGGCCATTCTCACTTCAATACAGGTGATTTCATCCGTATTTTTATCCCTGACTCACGCAGATCTCTTTGTCCAGAGGCGCGTGGCGGCCTTGTGGCCAGGAAAGGCCTCGAAAGTCTGTGAATTGTTAATGTCCAGCGGCCCCAATTGGATATCAATTTGGCTGCCGGCTGACCTCGACGGTATCGATTTATCTGAAGTGCCGCCGAACCCTTTATTGATAAGGAAGTGGTTCATTTCCTGCATGGGAATCGCATCTTCTTCGAAATGGAGCTAAAGCCAGTGATAGACACGAGGGTTTAATCTCGGACACTATCTTTGTTGAGAAATTTGAATTGGCTTCTGTGAAAGTGCATTAAAATTCTTTTAGTTGACAATTAAGAATGCATCTAATATTGATTCTTATTTTGTCTTTTCAGTCACTGCTTAGTGATCCCAATCCAAATTCTCCGGCCAACTCAATGGCAGCGCAGCTCTACAAAGAGAATCGACGGGAGTACGAGAAGCGAGTGAAAGCTTGTGTAGAACAGAGCTTTATCGATTAGTCATCGTCTGCAGAAGTCTCTATAATTCTCTGGTGGTTTTGCGTGGCTCACGGCGGAGGATTTCGAGGCGCGTGCGGAGTCAGCTGGACTGGAGGTGTTTCGTTAAATTATGTAATAAAATGATCCCTGCTTCCCCCAAAGTCCCTTCTGTTTTGTCCCCCATGATATCTGTTGTCTCAGTATCCCTACGAAGTGGAAAGTAATAAAACATTTAGAGTAATCGCAACTCTTCTGGTCTACTGATCGAATGGATGTCATAATAGAATTTCTTGATAACTCCTAGAGCATTATACAAGATGAATATTATAATGGAAGGATAAAATATTAAATTAACTTTTAGAGTCGTGAAGAATTGGAAAATAAAGTAAAATTACAAAATAAACCTGGATTTATTGGGAGGTGGGTTTAAATTCTACCAGTACAACTGTGTAATCTACCATAACTTGCTGGTATTACAGGGATTTACTCAAATCATTCAAGTAGCAGCTAAAAGAAATTGGTGATGTAGGCCAGTCCGTAGTATCCGGCCACCAAGGAACTGGCTGCAAACAAGAGGACCACAATCATACTGCCTATGAAGCCACAAATCACCAAAGATCCAGTTGTTATCAATGCGCCTGGAAGTGCATGGAAAATTTAATCGTTTCTGAAAGGTGATTTTCTCCATGTGGCACTTACCCTCAACTATCACGAGTCCCGTGAAGCCAAAGACAACTGAACACATGACAAAGAGAAAGAAGATTGTAATGGGAAACGTTGTGGTCAGGATAACTGCCAGAGCCGCGACGAATAAGAGTGGGTACTCCTTTGAGAAATGCACTAAATGTTGAAGGACATCTTTCAGACAGAGTTTCTTCAGAGCTACATCCATTGCAGACACCACGAGATCGTCTAGAAAAGTCATGCAGAATGAGGAACTGCCTGGTCAAGGAGTATGTATTTTTGTTGTTTGTTGGGGTTCTCGTACAGGAGGCGACATCGTCTATTTGAGGTTAGGTTTTAGCGAAAAATTCGGCCGTTATTTTGATCATACTATTTTTCATCGCGACTTTCTTTTCGCGCGAAGTCACAATAAACCAACTGTTCATTCATTTCGCACGTTCTAATTGTCAATTTTCTGTGCAAAAGTTGAAGAAAAATGAATTGCAGTGCAATTGGCTGTGAGAATATCCAGGGATGTAATCCCCACGTCTCCTTCCACCAACTCCCACACCACGAGAGTGAGAAGGTGGTGAGGAAGTGGAGGAAAATCTTGAAGAAGTCGTCAGGTATTGAGAAGAAGATCATCAGAGTGTGCTCTGACCACTTCCTGCCTGACGATTTCCACCCCACTTCCCGAGCTCTGCAGGGAGAGTGGAAGTGCAGAAGGAGATTGAAGAAGGGAGGTAATGATTTATATACAATGCAGGTTGTTCTTTTTTATTATTTCATCTATAATAATTTTCAGTTTTCCCGACGAAAGTTGGGACATCTCCAGAGCTGAGCCGGGCTCATCCAGAGGCGAGTCTGGACCTCATCCAATCTCTCAACCCAGAGATTGCAATTCTATGTAAGTTTCAGAATAGAAATATGTGTAAATTGATTGACTTAAATGTGCTCTCGTATTTCACAGGGATCATTCCTACGCAAAGATCATGCCCTGCGGTAATGGAGATGAGTTTGAGGAGAGAACTGCAGTCTTGAGAGACGAGGATGAAGAGCTGAATGATGTGATCCGCGATGAAGCCGGAAGTGACAAAGAATCGGAAGTAGACATGCTCTTCGACAACACAATCGAAATTATTTCGGATTATGAGGAGACAGTGGAAGATCAATCGATTGATAAGTTATTTTTTTTATAATATTCAATAACTCTATATGGATTTCATTAATTTTTGCGAGAAAGTTGAATTTTACTTCCAAGATTCCACGATTTTCATCTCACTTTTAAAGTGAAAAAAAAATGTTCTAAAGACACGTGTGAATTTATTAATGAAAATGTGGACTGCAGCAGATATTCAAAAGATGTCTTAAATACTTATGTGAAGCAGAGAATTAGAAACAAAATAATTTACCAAAATAATCACTTAATTGAGAAGGAGAGAAGGGCGAATATGTATAGGAAAAAAGGGTGGGCGGCTTCACAGGAGCAAAAGAAAATACAAACATTCACAACTTGAATAAAATAATGAAAATCCGTGAAAAAAGAATTGTTTAAATTTAAATTCCCGCGAATTCACTTCACCGCGAAACACAAATTTAACTATACATCTTCTTCTTCTTAAAATGGTCGCTTGTCGCCTCCTGTACGAGAACCCCAACAAACAACAAAAATACATACTCCTTGTCCTGGTCAGAAATTCTCTCAAATATACTTACAAACATAGCCAGGGAAGCTAAGCCACGTGCATTCCTGAAACTTCTTTGGTGAGTTGCTCATTGTTGGCCGCTGGGGATAATTTCAACAAATCGACGTGCACAGGAAGACGAAGGAAGATCTACTGAGGAGTATCAGAAAATTTTCCAAAATCTCCATGTGATTAACGGTTTGTGATCGAACAAAAAGGCGCCATTCTCCAGGGGTGGCGCTGTCTCTGATAAGGAGCTATTTGGCGTATGCGCGACGTCATGCGTCATTTGCCGAACGTGTTCTTGCAGAGTGTAGAAGTGCCGCATTTCATTGGGTGTTACACACTTGATTTTACACCAATTTACGAAGGAGTTCAACAATAAATTTCCATCAGTCGACGCATAAAAGTGCCTTGAAGGTATTGCAGTTGAAGTTCAGTCAGGAATTGAAGTATATTTGCGACAAATCGGCACAAAAAAGGTAAGACAACTCTCCATCTTTAATTTTCACCGCTATGCCAAATTATCGCATTTTATCACTATCATTTCGCTCTTGCACGATTAATTTCACATAGCATTGGGTGTATCAGATAACCACCTAGTATTTGCTGTTAATTCCTCACCATTTGGTGCTTTTTGTGTGGACTTGTTCAGTCATTTTTTCTCACTCGCTCTTTTGACTCTGGAGTGTGCTCTTGACCTTTTGTCCCCTTTATTTTATGTACACATTTTTTCACTCATTTGCACACAATTTTATTATATAATTGCATTGTCGTTTGCATTCAGAGCTTTTTGGGTTTATTGGTGTGTATTTCATAAAGAAAATTTGTTAAGAAAGTGCCTCTGTTTGAACAATTACAGACATTAGAGAAGAAAGATGGGTCTTAAAGAGGTGAGTTTTCATTGGACAGACTGTGAAGAAGAGTAGATAATGGAGAAAATCAATGAATTGTTTTACAGGATTTTGATAAAGCCGCTGAGGATGTGAAGAAGCTGAAGGCCTCGCCCTCAAATGAGGATCTCTTAGAACTTTACGCTCTATTCAAGCAAGCAACGGTCGGAGATTGCAATACCAGTAAGAATTCCTTCTTGTTAAAAAGACTCCAACAAGAACTGATGATCTTCTCTTATTAGGCAAGCCGGGGATGCTGGATTTTAAGGGGAAGGCGAAATGGGATGCCTGGAATGGCAAAAAAGGTGATTTTCTGTCATATTTTCCCCTGAACCTCTCTAAAGTCTCGCATTAACTTGCATTTTCACCCAGGACTCGGTACGGATGACGCTATGAAGCAATATGTGGAGAAGGTGACCAGCCTGATCGGGGAGATTGGCCTCGCCTGAACACCTAGACAGGAATTAAAGCACTTTCTTCAGCCATGGGCATTTATTTGGGAGCACTTTTTTATACCATTAATCTTTTTGTTATGCAATGAATTTTTGTCATGAAAAAAGCTCTCTCATGAATTGTACAAAAGATCAGTCTTTCCGGTTGGACCACAAATCTCTCAACGTCTAGATGGAGAGCGTCGTAATGCCGGGAATGTAGAGATATTTGTCGTTCTCTATTGTGATCTTTGCGTCTCTGGCATCGATTGTGTAGATTTCGGGCTTTGCGCTGATATCCACGGATCTCCGCACGCTGAATAAGGAGAAGCGGCGTTTTTCACTGTGAGTTACTTTCCTAGACGCTCGCAGATTGACTCGCAGGGCGATCAGAATAACTACGGCGACTAGGACGCCAGATGATATTGCCACAATGGTGAGAATTTCGTGAGCTTCTCCATCGGAAGACACTCTGGCTATGCCTGCAAGAGATTTTGCAGTCATGATATCAAATATTTGTTCGCATGGTTCTGATTAATCTCTCTATTTGTACGATTAGATTGACTTTGAAGTACTTGGAATTGTTTTGCAAAAAATACAGCGTGTTTCAAAAATATTGCCTTGAAATAAATGAAATGTTGTACCCTTTTTACTACTAAAATTATCAATTTTGGGTATTTACGTTTATTCTTATCTTTTATGCGGAGTAGGTAATATATTTTATTAGAAGAGTAGAAAATCCTTCGATTTATGATCTTACGGATCTTGCGATTTGATTTTTTTTATTCGTTTTCTATGACAGCCCACATCCAATGGATGGTTTCCCTCACAACTATTATATTTTGTATGAAACTTGCATTTGTAGACTGGAGAATTTCAAGAGGGACAAATTTTTACCTGCTTTTTCGCCAGCTGGCAACCGATCCCTTTTTCTCGTTTCCTTTTTGTTCGTTCCCCTCAGTCTATTCTGAGCCTCTGAGCGAAGCAGACAAATTTAGGGAGTTTTTGGTGAAAATCAAGTGAAGTTCATAAAATGCTGACTCTTTTTGACTTGCCAGTCGAAGATATTGTGGCTGGGTGTATCGCGAAATACCTTACAGTCCATGATATCTACAATGTGTGGAGGTGTGATGGTCAATTTTGTGTGCTTGCGGAGAAAATGCTTCGGCAAATGGAAAATCTGAATTTGAGGCTTCTTCAAGGTCCTTGTTCTGACACATTTACGTACCTCATTGGGAAACACTGTCGGTCTCTCAAGAGATTTACAACGAAGAAGAATGACTACCTACTGGGATATTTCATTGAGATTCTCGAGAATAATCCTCTTCTCGAGGAATTGGACTTGAGCTTTAGCAAGATTGGTCCGAAAGGGCCTTTTAAATTTCAACTGAGAAAGCTCGAACGTCTATGGATGACAGACACGATATTATCAAAGGACTTCTTAGAAGCAATCTCTGCTCATAGTCATGATCTGAAAATTCTGAACATTTCTCGGATTACCATGACACCATTTATTGTAGTGAATGAATTCATCAAGAAGGTGCAAAGCTTGACAGCCATAATTGCAGTCCGGATGGATTTAATTTATGATGAGGATGTCCAGCGTGGCAGAGTAAAACCAATCATGCATTCATCTTCAAAATTGGAGACTTTGATTATCAGTTATAAGAATACGCCTCACTCGCGATTTTTGTCGCCCTCGTAAGTTATTGGAATTTGATATGAATTATGCTACATTTGAAGATCACTTGATTTTTTTCATTTGCAGGGGATTGGTATTTGAAGGAAAGCTAAAAATGCCTAAGCTTAAGCGAATTATTTTCGAACCTGGCGATTCGAATAAAGAAATTATTCAATGGGACAGAGAATCAGAAGGTGAATTTATTTCTCGCGCCAGTTCTAAAAGTAATCTTGACCAATGCATATCTGAATTGTCTTTGATGTGTACTTTGAAAGATGCTTAAACTTGTTCTAAAAACTATATTTGAAATGTATGAAGATTTTACATAAGTGATGTTTGCCTTATCACATGAAATAAAAGTAATTATTCAATCTGCGAGCTCTCGTCAATTTTCTGAAAGGCTTTTTACTTTTTTTCTTGCAAATAAATGTGAAAACGGATTTACATGTTGTGGCAATGGTGTTGAATAAAGTTTAGTGTGTGTATAAATTTTATGTGAAGTGTACTTTGTGAAATAATCGATTTTCACCATCAATCTGGCCTTTTCTTTCCGCTCAATGCAAAGAATACATTGTTCATGGCGTCTCAGAAGTTACAATTTGAAATGGGAAATGATGAAAAATTGTGCTCATGAAGGCGTGCAAGAATATTGCTGCAATATTGCAGTTGTGTCTTTCAAATAGTGTGACGAGAGAGGATTTTCAAGGAAATTGTCTTAGCATTTAATGGACATTTTCTCCATGAAGTTCTGAGAAGGAAAGGCGCGGGAAAATCAGATGGAAATATGTCAATGTTGCAGACTTTGGCGCTAATAGTTGTCGTAATTGCATCTCTCATAATTTCTTTCTGTCGCGTCAGACTGTCTTGAATCCGATAGAGAAAGGGTACAAAGTGAACATAATCAAAGACAGAACACTGAATTCGCCTGTATGAAGCAGCATTTTATACAATTGGTGACTTCCTTCAGTGCGCAATTCGATAATTGTAATTTATTCAAATGATCTTACCTTCTGCTGAATCCATTGTTGATCCTGTTCTCTCACTCTGTGTCTGATGAAACAATTGAGGTCGATTTCAATACGGAGAAGATTAATAGTGCATTGGAAACTCTATGTTATCTTTCCAATGAAGAGACCTTTAACACTATTTGATTGTTTAATGCGTCTTTATCTTCCCAGAAATGCAGTTATTGTATAAGAATTTTCCAACAATATTCACAGTATCAGATTTTTAATGCGATTTCTGTCACTGTTTGTATACACTTTGGGGTAAATAAACAATGTTTTCGTTAGTGATTATATAGAAGAGAGTCTGTTTATATTTAGAACAAAGCCACACTCAGAGTTGGTCTCTGCCAAAAGATTAAACTCTGCCTTCATTCAACGGTAAATATCGAATGAAAATGTCTACGACGATCACGCGCGACGCAAGAAAATTGTGTGAAAGTTACGTCTTAGCTGGTCAATTGCTAAGCCAAATATGAGCTTTTCAACTGCACGGCTGTTTAATATTATGGTTTCACGTAATTCAGGCGTGGGGGCGACAATTAGCTTTTCCCGCCCATTTGTGAAAGACTCACATTCTCTCGACGCGAGTAAGGAATAATGTGAACTGAATTTGCTGTGGATGATCTTGTTTGTCCAGTGACAATTTTCATGGTATCGCCCGGATGCCGGTCACAATTGCCAAACAATGCATATTTATATGAAAGAGGACTGCTTTGGCGCGCGGCGAAAAGCGTAGAGTCATCACTTGAACACTAGTCAGAGATCACTATTGAACTGATTATTGGGAGGGAATATGTTTGTCTGGTGCACTTAGTACATGCAATTGCGTTTCATTGATCTCGGAAAATGACACAGTTTAGCCACAATTAGGCTGTGATCGTGGCACAATAAGTACAAATAATAATGAGCGATCGGTTAAAGGCTGTCGCGCAGCCGATAAATGTCCACTTGTTTGCAATTTTCTCTCACGGCTTATTTTTCACGGTGATTGCACGGTTTTTCCCTTGGTTGGTGTGAAAACGACTCTGCATAGAGAAATTTTCGTGGTCAAGTTCAATATGCATCGGTTAACAGGGTTATTCAAGTAATTTTTTTGTTTGTGTTATAATGCTTTTATTGGAGAAAAAGGTGAAATATTCTTTAATGATTGATAAGAAATTTGTATGGATTGCAAAACAAAACTGTTGATTTATTTGATTTAAAAATTGTAAACAGTTTTGCCTTCAGTAATGAGATTCAGATGTGTTGAAATACCCTGTGCCACATGCTTATAAAAATGCAATATAATATGGTTTTCATTTTGTTAGAAATTTGTATGGTGACGTAAAGAATATGCAATAGTACAATAATATCACCACCTTTTTGTAATAAATTGTGATATTACTCTTTTAATTTGTAATAATAAATAAATGCATATAATTGAGAGAATGATCTCACATAATTTTAATGATCATGAATTTAGAATGGATTGTATGCAGGCAAATGTAATCATGAATTTCCGTTGTAACTTCTGAATGCGAGAAATGCATCGTAGCTGTAAATGATGGTCATGAGACCGCCCATGTACTGAAACAGGAAGAGAAATGGGGAAATAAAGTGCAAGATCAGCATGAAGAGTTGACAAACTCACGTAAAGTGTGGTTAAGCTTGTGTAGTCTCCGGGTCCTGTGAAAAATTTCGAGATGTTCTGGTAGAATTGCTCCTTATAGGCAACGGTTCCGGAGGCGCTTATGTAGAAGAATGCGCAGAATACGTTGAAAACTATCTCGAAGATCGATGATCGTACGAGCTTAAAGGTGCTGACGCTGAAGGTATAGCAAACGAGGAGGAGGGCAGTTGTGGGCAGGCATGCTGAAGTGGCTGAGAGGAATGCAAAATACGGATCCCAGCCGAAGCCTTTCTTTGCATTGTCCAGACCGAAGGTGAACACGAGGCTCTGACAGAAGATGCCAATGAGACATTCAAAGAGCTTTAGGAGTCCGTATTTGGATGTGAAGAAACCCGGTTGGAGACAATGGAACATCCGGCAGTAGCACAATTTAATTCCTGTCCGGATGGGAGTTTCACGACTCACGGGTCTCATAGTTATCACAGTGTGAGGCATTGCACGATCACGATCACTGAGACTTGACTGAGAGGAATCCAGACGAGATTTCACGGAGTAATGTTGACTCATTGACGATCACGCTAAAAATACTAAACAAAATCCCCCAATTTCAATTCTCCCTCCGGAGGTTCACTCATCTCTGATGATCTATTTTTGTCGTTAAACATGCGACAATGTTTTCGCACTCGCGCCTCGGGGGATTGTTGACAATGTCGACAATTGTAGAGAATGAGCGAGACATAATTTTATGACGGTTCTACGCTATGCTATCCAATTCGACATCTGTTGGCAAAACCATACAACCTCTCTTCGGTACAGTGAGATGTGAATCTTACGCGATTAATTCCTTTATTGAACACTCAAATATTACATTGATGATTATGTTTTCTTACATGTTTTTCAAATACACTTAGAAATTACGGCAGAATTTGAACGTTAAAAACGTAGAGATGAAATATAGACCAGAAACTATGATTCCAATAATGGAGCTCGTCAAATATCCATTGTAGATTGGATCTGAGGATCTAATAGTGCGCAAAACTTCCACAAAAAAGGCAATAGTGATAGATAAATAAGACACCAAAGCTACGGTGTGATAAATCAAGTCCTATTGATTAAAAGAAAGGTGATTATAAAAATGATATTTAGTGCATAAATAAGGTCCTTACATGAGTTGTTTGAAAAATCACTCCACCAGAGTTGAACGAGAGAAAGCTGGCGAACAAGAAGCAGAAGTTTCCTATAGCAAAAGCTACAGGAATTGCGAAAAAGAGCAATCTTGTTGGGGTAACGAGGGCTTCGAGTTTGTATTGGTTGGTGAAGTACCAAAAGATCCCCAACACAAAGAGTCCGAGAACCTGAAGATCCAATTTAGTGTTTCAGTATGATCTTCAGGTGCTTATGTGACATTTAAGTGCTTACCAATTGTACTACCATTAAATAATGAGCGACAGCGATTATAGTTGATGAGGAATTGGGTGTTGTAGATGTTCTTGTAACCACGACGTGTTGAGACATTTTTCTGGGCTGTTCTTTAATGGATTGAAGGAAACGACAATCTATAATTAGATCGATTTAATGAACATCTGGAAGTTGTTAGAGAATTTTGGTGATTTATGAAATTTCGAGCATTAGAAGTATTCAAAAATATATGATTAGGAAATAGAGAAAATAGTGTTAATCACCTGTTTTTTTTCGCGGAGATTGAGTTTTTTGACAGTGGAATATTTTGCTGGTGCAAAAGGGAAACTTTTTCAAACTGAGGGAGAAAAGACTTTGTGCCAGATGGGCGATTGAAATGGAACTGAAGCAGTGTAATCGTTTCAAATGAATATGATCGTGCGTAAAGTGTGAAAATGTGTTCATTCGGAATGATTATTTATAAAATTGCCAGAGACTTTAATGCCTGAAAACCAATAAAAATCTCCGCACAATCGACAGATTAGATCAAAACATGATTTCTGGTAGGAGAATTAGTATATTTTTCTTTGACATAGACACAGTGCTGGCCTTACACACAATATCAAGTAAAAGGGAAAAAGGGGAAGAGGGACAATATGTTAAATACACAGTGATACAAAATTTGTAGAAATAACAAAAATATACAAAAAAAAAACTCAAAATATAGCAAGATATTTTCTGGAAGCGTCTGAAGCTCTCAGATGAGTATCTATTTAGATGCCTCTGTAGGATCTCTGAGCCAGAAAGGCGCTGAGAAGATAGAGGCCAGACACGATTAGGCCTAAGACAGAAGCTGCCAGATACCAATCGTAAACTGAAGATCGCGATGAGGTCTTGTTGACCACTTCCACAAGAAACGCGATCGAAGCGGCGAGATAGAGGATGAAAGCGATCGTGTGGTAGATTAATTCCTGGAAAACAAGAAAAAAAATGAGGATGAGTTTTGGAATTTGTTTTGATTCTCGAGGTAACTTACATAGATCGTCTTGGAGATGATGCCGCCCGTGCTGAGGGATATTATGCAAGAGAGGAGAAGACAGAAGGTTCCTATGAGAAACGCCACTGCTATGGTGAAGAAGAACAGTTCACTGGCTGGAACGGAGACGAGATAAGTTAATCGTCGGATGTAGTAGCCCAAGATTCCGACAATAACTGCTCCGAGGATCTGTAAAAGTAGAAAAAAATTAGAGTTCTATTAGTTGATTAAGGATCTGTAGAACATCCTGGAAATTGTGATGAATCCCATCTAGTTAATCGCAATCTTTAAATTAGCTTAACAAGGTATTGACTTTTTTCTTTTTAGTTTCAGGATATAAAGAACAAAATGCCCCGCTTCCATGACGACTTGCTGAGTTCTGTCATTTCCGAATCTTTCCGGGCCTTCAGTCTGCCCGAGAAGGTGAAGCCAATCTACATTCGTGATGTTTGGTTGAAGCGACTCGACGACTGGGATTCCGCTCCTGGATTGCCATGGACACAGTATGGATACAAAACGAAGGCAGATGTCGCGTGTGATCCCCATGCTATGAGGCAAATCATGGATTTTTGGCATTGCGTTCAGACAGGCCGCAATATGCACATTCCTCATTGCGCGGCACCGATAAGGCTGAAGAACATTCAGCAGAAGAACAAGAAGCCGATAAAGATGGTAATGTGGGGATATCCATGCACGGCTTCATTCCAGGAAGTATGTTTTATGGTGCCTCTCATTGAGGGCTATAAAAGGATCATCACTCCAATTGCTTACGGCTTTGATGATCTCCACCATGAGTTGTACCTCAGATTCCATCGCTACTGCCATTTTGTAAACCTTGATTACAGGAATTTCGGCAAGAGAGTGCCGGATTGGTTGATTCAGATAGCCTGCGATGTCTTGAGCTCAAATATCAACTGGATTGTGTATGAGAACCACAAGGAACCACATGGCGAGAAGCTACACAAGGTATGGATGAAGTTGGTTGACAACTTCATAAGGACGCCTGTGCACTTCCGCCATGGAGTGACGTACAAAAAGCAGAGAGGAGTTGGCAGTGGAAGCTACTTCACTGAGTTGGTTTACTCCATTGTGAACTACATCGTGATCCAGTACAGTGTGCGCGCTCAAAACTTGGAAGTGTGCGATCAGATGGTTTTGGGTGATGAAACCCTGTTTGCAACGTCTGGACCAATAGATCTCAGTCTCTTGTGTGCCACGGTGGGTAAGTTTGACATGGTTATCAATTTGGATGGGGTGAAAATGTTCGGCAACATCAGGGAAGTGAAGTTTCTGGGTAAAGCCATTGGTACGATGCTGAATGAGCCATAAGATAGGCTCCCAAGGAAAGCCAAATATTATGGTGAGAGATATTTGATTTTTTTAGCCTATGACGCTTTATCAATGGAAAGATAATGAGCATTTTTTGAATTCTTTTCTATTATATTGAAACATTAGTAGAAACTAAATTCTGTCTACTGAATTACCTAAAGCTTATTAAAGTTTTGAATTGAAGTACAAAGAAATAAGTGATGAAACTGAATGGATTATCTGCAAAATCTTTTATATAAATGATGAAATTTTTACTTTACAATCTTTATAATGAGATATTTTTATTTTTGTGATAAATTTGGAAAACAAACTTACAGGAAAAAAGTTGTCAATCCAATATTTTTATTTTCATCGAATTAATAAAAATTCTGAACCTAGTGTATTGTGTGTTGACAAATGAAATACCAGAATATTTAATATTTCTGGTTTTCTGTCTTTTACAACCTCTGGGTGATTTTGATGTGTGATTGGATTGTGAAGAATTTTTACAGAAAAATGTTCAAAAATATCTTACCAACTGTGCCAGTTTGAGGAGTCCTGGGAACGTCTTCATGTATCCTGTGTTGAGGACAAGAGTGGAGGAGCCACTGGTGGTGGTTGTTGTCCGTGTGATAGTCACTGAGTGAGACATGTTGGTTGGCTTACAACGATCGGATTCGGATCTGGAATTACGTTGGCTGTTGAGTTAAGCAGATGGAATATTAATCACTAATTTATGCAATGTTTCGCATTCAAGCAAATCTCTTGTTCCTTGAGCGCGCGTCGAAGATGCTAAAAGTGAGCCACTACGTCATTGTTTGATCATGACCCCTTTTGAGACATTTACTCAAAGCACCGATGGAATGTCTGTGCGCCTTCCACAAGTTTGCTTTTTGGCAATGTTGTGCGGAATTTCACTGTTTGCCCAACTGCATCTATAGTCCGGAGATGGAGAGTCTCGTGGGCGTTGCCTCAAACAATGCGTATGTGTGGTTTCTCACATTCTGGGAATTGACTCCCGATTCGTGTGTTGTCCCAATTTCCTCCACGAGAGTCGAGTTTGTGCGGGGAAAAAGCGCGCGTCCGCTAATTTTAGACGATCGTATCATCAATGGGGAGCATTTGGAGATCTTTTTACACGCTCAGCGAGTGGAATGAATAACTTACAGTCCAAGAAAGTGATTAATGTTTGAAGTTCCGCGGTTAAGGGATGATTAATTCCCCTTATCTTTTGAGATAATGAAGTGGCATTGCAATAGGAAGTAACTGACATTCCATTGCGATAAGAGTAATGACTTGAATTGGTGCAGATGTTCTAAAAGTCCACTTTAATGGTGAGGGAGTAATTTGAGGGCCTCTTAAATGATAGAAATTCTGCACAAATGCTTCACAAATCACCTCAATTAGCGTTGCTTGAGAATTTCCTCTGGAAATATTCAACTGGTGGTGTTAAAAACACTTGGCGAAATTTCGTTTTTGTTTAAACTGAAGATTGTTCTGTAAATGGTTCAGAAGAGCTTGAGGAACACTTTCACTGTGGCACGATTGGCAATCAACTGGACGGATCGAACTGTAAGCGCGCGCTATTAGAACACTCCTTCGCTTTTCCGCTGTTTTCACGCAGCAAAAATCCACACTCTCAACTTATATTTCGTCCGACAAGCGATGTGTGGATGGGCAACAAGAAAAGAACATTAAATAAATACACTCACACCCATTAGTCGATATTTTATAGCCGAACAGTATAGATGGAGGAGGAATGTTGAGATTGTCGCACACAAATGAGATTTTATAGGGAAATTGAGAGTATATAAGATTTCCAAAAAGGCAAACAAACACTCAGGCGTCCCGGAGTTCTGAATCACTCCCAAATTGCGTCATGGATGCGTTATCAGCGAATTGGTAAATGAATAAGAGACTTTATTTACCTGCAGGTGCCCAAAGAGTTCACTAAAGCGAGTCAAAATACCAACTGATTCGCGGTGAGACTTTGTCGCCTCACTCACGATCTCGCCAGCGACCGTGACACTCTTTCTGGCGTCCGCGAGACGTGCAGTGGGAATAGAGGAAGTTGCTCACCCTCCGCGCGATGACTCACAGATGCTATAAATGGTGGTGTTTTCGTGGGTGCAAAAATATGGGTCAAATCCTCGCGAGAGAGGGTGGAAGACACGCCCGGGGGCTGTTCATTAGCTAATTGGATGATTTCTCCTTGTCGTGGTTTGATAACAATTCTCAGCAAAAATTTATGAGAAATTCGGGGAATTCTTAGTATGGTTTGAGAAAATTTAGTGGGCACACTCACAAAAATATAAATAGCTCATCTGGATAATAATAATAATCATTCACTAACTTACACCGCGTTTATAGCAATCAGAGCAAACTTATCTTATTTATACTTTCAACATCAGCAACATATATATTTTCAATGAGTTCTTTAAGCATTTTTTTCCTATCATGAATGTTATAAGCTGTATTTATTATTGTCATGCGTTATTTTCATTAGCGCAAGTGTACTAAACAATCTTAATAACACACCCTAGCTTGCATCCCCCAGTCTCTGCCCTCGCGTGGAGCTGTTGCGTGGCGTCGTCTGGCCTCAGTCAGCAGACGCAATAAATTTTCTTCGGTGGAACCCAAATACCCCTCTCTTCACTGTGTGTGGAAAATGAGTTCAGCAGAGAGAGTGCGAGCATCTCGCACATGCGAGAGAATGCGTGAAGAAAATGCCAAGGCTCGAATCGAGGTGACCAACGACTCAAATTACTTCCAAATACGCTCCCAATGACCATAGATGCAGACTTCCTACAGTACAAATTAACTTTATTACAATCTTGTAAACAATAAGATTATCTCTTAAGTGCGCAATGACAGACGATTTGCAATGGAGGAGAAAATGAACTTGTCTCCCTAGCAATGAACTCTATCGAGGACTCTTTCTCATATTGCGAGAATACAGGAGGTGACAAGTAACAAAGGGAAAGGGGAGCAAGTACATTTATAAGTTAATTTAGTTATGTAAAAAGTACACAAAAAATTGCGTGGTGTTTTTGGCACTAAACATCCTCGCGAGAGGGTGACAGAATTGCTGGTCTCAGCCGGATCTGTAGTCGACGTAAAGGAAGTACGTTCCCGCCACGTAGGCGAGGAAATTGAAGATGCCGAAGACGCCAGCGGCAATGTTGGATCCCGTGCCTGTAATGGTTGAACCGCCCCAGGTGATGAACTGAACCAGGAAGGCCAGGAAGTATAGCACAGAAGCCAAGCCAGTGTTTATCAGCTCCTGAAAGATAACAGAGAACGCGAGTCAGATCAATTCTGATGGAAGTTTGGGATGATAGAGCGAAGAACTCACTGTTAATGGCCAGTTGATGGGCAAATTAAGGACCTCGCGGATGCCCAGCAAATAAATAAAGCACCATAGGAGCGTTGCAATGAACGTGATGACGACAACAAAGAGGTAGAAGTGCGTCCCAGATCTCAATGCAGGTGACGCGAGAGCCATGCAAATGACACCAAATATCTGAAAGATAATACAAAAATTAATTATTAAATAAAATAAAATCATTAATCTAAAATTGAATAAATTGTAATTTTGAGTTATTAGGAGAAATTCAGAAAAAGGACATGATAATATGCGGATAGTCCATAAAATTTTGTAAGTCATGAGGATAACTTCTACATCGCTAAAGAAATTTCATTGTATATGTAGAGTCACTTTTGATTCATTGTTTCTGTTATTTACGAAAATATTCATACTTTCTCTCATTTGAGCAAAAGATGTTTATATGCGAATCTCATTTTATAAACAAAATCTTAAGACTTAAGTCTCTCTAAATCTATAAACGCTTCAACTCTTCAACACCTTCAACAAGTGTGCTTTTCTTTGAAAAATTGTCAATTGTATTCTTTGCAATTTGCGGTTTTTTCTTCAAGATTCCACATTCACTGCCTGATTATTTCATTCTTATCTTGAACTGTGATTAATACGTGGAGTCACGGTGACCTTCGACTGGAATAACTCCATTCCGCGCCACCCACGGCAGTAAGCGATGTTAATTTTATGTAAAATTACCATAAATTCACAAATGTTTTTCATCCATTTTTTTCTCTATCCATTTTCCGCGTCATTTTCTCAATATTTCGTGCCACGCTCGCGCACTGTTGTGCGTCTCGCGATGCTGAAACACTTGTAACAGGCTAGAATTGATGGCAATTAGAGGTGGAGGCAATGCTGAGATCAATTGGTTATCTTGTGAGTGGCGCTAATGAAAGAGAAATCACTCTAATCGCCTAATCCATGTCTTGATGAAAAGCTTGTGTCGTGGTTTTATCCCGAAGAAAGTGAAGAGATGCGACCTTGTGCATCATAATTGGATATGAAGATGCAATTTAGTCTGGGTGAGAAAACGTTGCGCTTATCAAGACTTAGATGCTTTTTTTCTCAGCATTAATGAATGGCGGAGAAAAAGCGCGATTACTGCGGATTTTCTTCTTTCACTTTGCGGGGACTTTAGTGTGTCTGTGAGTCAAGTGTTTACTCATTTCTCTTTCATGCCGTCAAACTTGTTCACATCGCGCGAAAGTTGAGCGACTCTTGCATTTCTTTTCTTAACATTCTGTCCTCTCGTGAACCTTTCTCGATCTATTTATTCTCTGTGCGTCTCGCGGGAGAGGAGAATAAATTTTGGACGCGAAAGCCAGAGGAATTAATTCAGAACAGCTCTTTTTTATCTCTCTCCCTCTCACACACAAAAGTGCCTCTTTATTTTTATCAATTCCATCCGTGAAAAAAACTGTACTGTCGTACTTTCTATTCTTTCGATTGGGTTGCCGAAGATAATATTTTCTCTTTTCCACGCGAAATTGCAACAAAGCGGAAATTTAAAAATACATTTTCAAACCCAGTGAAGAATAGTTTTTAATGCCTCGTAAAATTTTCATCACACAGATTCGATGAATATATTCTACAAACACTGAATTATCCATTGGTTATTTTTACACCTAAAACTCAAAACCGCAAGAATTTCCTCACAACTATTTCCCTCCAACTCTTTCTCTGTTTCTCAAATCAGTGCAGGTACATAAGTGTTTCTTTGTCCTTTGATGTGTGTTTCGAAAAAGTCTCGCGGGCAATTATCAAAAATTTATCACTCTCGCGGTTAAAGAATCGCCGACTTTTCAGCTGATAACATAACAAAAAAAAGGAGTACAAGCAATACAGGTAAAAGGTTGTTCCATATGTTTATTCACACGCTGGCAAAGCCGCAGCAAACATTACAAATATGTGCCTGTGTTTATTCTCAGAGAATGCCAAGAATATGATAAAAGGGAGGAAGAAAACCGTGGCATTTCGTAATTGATTTCAGGTGACTTTCCGCTTAAATTCACTTGGGATTTATTAACACTTCTTCACACTGTTCATCTAAAAATACACTTTACAGTCAGATTTGATATTAAAATCTTATCAGAGATTCTCTGCATGATTTCTCGAGTTTCCTTTCGTCTTTGATACCACGGAAAATAACTGTAAAATTTATGAGGAAAAATCACTGAACTCTTGCGGGTAATTTTCACATATTGACCCGTTCCATGTGTCTTAATTAAGTGCTCGCTATTTAAGACACCGTCTTATTGTCTTTATTGCACATCTTGTACGATACACTCTGTGTGAACTGTTGTAAGTCATTTTCTACCATCACGATGACCATTATTGTAGCATTATTCAATTGCCAAAGGAAAATGTATGGAAAGAGGAGAAAATTAGGGAGAGTATTTTCTCATAAATCGCCACGACGGCATGTAATCATTCTCTGATTAGTGGCAAACTTGCAAATATACAAATGATTGATCATACAATTGGCATTAGAAGCCACAGTCTTTTTCATTTTGCTTTTCAGGACAAGAAACGCATAAATTAATTCATCATATTTTGCCTGGCGGATATGAATATTTTAGTTATTTTACAAAGTATGGTTGAGTGTGGGAAAATTGTAATGCAAGTGTTGGTTAATTTCACACACAAATCCACATTCCCACAACTCTTTAGATGCTTGCAACTTGAGATTCTCCGCAATTTTGCCTCTGCAATGAATATTTTCTCACTTTTCTAGTGCTTTATATGTGACTCTCAGATTTGACTTTGATACCAGCAGAAGCGACTTTTTGCTATCTTATCGCCAGCTCGAAAACATTTTTCCACTATCGAATGCCCAAAAAGAATAGATATCGCTTTCTCACTTTCGATTTTAGCTGGTGTCGCTCGTCTCATGAACATTTAGGGAGATTTCTAGGTGTGTGCTCGAGTCCGTGAATCAGATCATTGATTTACATTTGAAAAAAAAAGTGTGCAGAAGAGAAGGGCTTCTGTGCGCTCCCCATGAATAAATTGCTCTTGAGGCATAGAATTTTTCTGGTCCGTGAGGTTTTACCTTATCTAACCACTTGACAATACCAGTTGTTTCACAAAACCCATTAAAAATCAGCGCTAATTTTCGCCGAGCAGCTCCAATGGCATTGGGAAATACTCGAGTAACGTTGTTGGGGAGTGTCTGTGGATACACTGAACGAATAATTCTTGGCTCTTTGCCTTCTACGGTGGAGAAAATGACACGGGTGGCGGTAAAGTGATCACGAAAAGAATGATTCTACGCGCCATATGGCGAGGAAGTGCATTTGCAAGAGAAACGGTGACACCATTCATGAGATTTTGTGTTGGCGGAGTTTTTCTCGAAGAGCAAAAAGCCACGCGCCCGTCTCTTGAATGGAAAGTTTCAAGTAAAAATCATTTGGACTTTTATGGAAGAAAAGTGGGATGACCGGCTCACCAGTTGGATGAGTTTGAGAAGTCCGGGCAGGGTGAGAAAATAGCTGACATTGCACTGAATCCAGGAGAGGCTCGATGCTGGCTTTGGCTGAGCTGTTGTCCTCTGTGAGGAGTCCACTGTCACCACGGTTTCTGGCATTTTTATCTTCCTGATCTCACACACAACACGATCTTAAAACTTCCTTCACTTTTTTGAGAGTGCGAAAATGAGAATTAGATCGCTGACCACACGATATTGTCTCTCGACAGAGCGCACTTCTTTCTCCAACGCCACACCACCGAATGATTAGTGGCTTCGTGCCGCTGTGACTTGACCTCCAATACAACCGACTGAGAGAGAAACATACACTCAAGTCGGGCTGTTTTGATAAAAATAGGTGGAATCACACCTGCATATCTTTAGGGGAATTTTCTCTCTGGTCAGAGCGATTTATTCAGAAGTACTTCTGCAGTGAATCATTAAGAATTATCTCTAGCTCGTGAATTAGATGCTTGCAGCCGCGCTCCACCTCAGCATTCTCATCTTCCAGCAGTTCAGACAGGAAGGGAATCGTCTCAGGAAGCTGAGACTGAAAGTCCTGGCCAATCTTTCTAGCGAACTCCACACACGTTCTCAGCGCCAAGAGTCTGTGAAGAAAATAATGCAATTAGGAAAACATTCATGTAATGTAGCTTTAAATGGGTTTCCAAAGTTTAGATTTAAACTCACTATTTTTGAGCTACTTTTGTAAGCCATCATCAAATTTCTTCACTCACCTAATATCGGGATCGGCATGTCTTGTCTTCATGAGCACTCCATAGTTCAGCTGTTGCCACAGATTATCCGCACCTGCGGCGCCTAGACTTGCGATTGTAGACGATAGAAGGTTCTTAACGTCGTCTTTCTGCAGAACTGGATTATCCAACTGATCAATCATGGGCTGCAGTATAATTTCACATCTGTGAGTGGTCATAAACTGCCTGCTGTCGTACGTGCAGATCTGCTGAAAGGTTTGGAGGATGTTCTCCACCAGAGTTTCGCATTTTGCCTCGTCCTCAGGAAAGTAGAGGTTCTTGTTCATTGTCACTTTGGCCAAATTACAGTTGTTCAGGAGATCAGCGGCATTCTGGACGAAATCCACGGCAAGAACCACAAAGAGGGATTTGAGAGTTTTGGCGATATGATGAGATAAGCTGAAAAAGCAGTGAGTCAGTGATTGATAAGAAGATTACAGACGGGAACTCACCTGTAGAATGTAATGACTCGGTCGCGATTTTCCTCCTCACGAATCGCCCAGTCGTAGATTTTGTAGTAAAGTGGCTTAAAGGATCCTTCAGACAGTTTTAGGATCAATGCCACCAGAGCTTGAATAATCTTGTTCTCGATTCCGTTTACATCCTCGAGATTGGGATTCGCAGAGCGGAACTTGAGGGCTCTGAGAAAGAACTCTGAGAGTTCTCCTTGGATGGAGGCTATGTCTTTGCTGGGAACATCGACAAAGGATTCAGAAAGTATGCCCATCAGAGGAACAACGGCGTCAGTTGCGTTGTCATCAATCAGTTGACTGTAGGAACTCTCCACAGCCGGCACGAGGATTCTCAGTGGTATGAAGGAAGAGATCTTGTGGCTAATGGTGTCGATTTTAGTTAGAATTGAAGCTGTTTTGGCATCCTGAGGTTCGAATTTTTGCACTTTTACGCGGATCTTGGAGATGAGAGTTAACATTTTCTCAAGATACGGACTCAAGAAGAGTGGAAGAGTGTCAATAACTTTCTGCAGGGCTGTTATTATGCTCACTGTGGTCATGTCCACAGATTCATTATCCTGAGATTGAACCTTGAGGATCTGCAGGAAGATTGGCATGAAGATTGATAGTCCAGACAGTGCGTGAACTCTCAAATTGGCTGAAATTTCAGCAATCGAGAGCACAATAGAGGCCAGAATAATGGGCTGTAGGGATTTATACTTCTTCAGGATGCTTATCAGCTGTGCCAGGAGGCTTTTAAAGGTCTCCAGCTGATTCTCCGCCAGAATCTTGGAGAGAATCTTCACGGCAATCAAGGACACTTGTTGGATTACCGCCAGTTCATGGCTAGTTGAGGATTCTTGCTCTTCTTTGACTGTGATGGTGTCTATGATCGCCCTGAGAGGTGTTAAGACCTGAAGGAAGTGACTGTTATCGCAATCTTTGAAAAATTCATCCTTCTGCTGGAGCTTGTTGATCAGCAACTCAATTACTTTCCTTCGCACCGTTAGAATCTTGTGCTGAATGAGTCCGTTAATGACCACGAGGAACATATCCGGAGACAAGAGAAGAATTGAGTTATCCAGTGTGTCGTAGCAATGATGCAAGATTATTTTCCAGTATTTGCGGTGATCGGGATTGCGATCGAGACATTTGGAAGCTTCTCCGATGAACATAAGTGCTCGGATGATGATGTTCTGGTAATATGGCTTCATCCTGAGGAAGTCCTCGCTGTTCATCATAGCAACGTGAGTCACAAACTGAGCTGAACATGTTAGATTACTCACAAATTGAATGGTAACGTATTTGAAGTGCCTCAGCTGCTTATCTGTCGCTCCTTGGAGATTCACCAGCTGGATTTCATTTGATGCTTTCCCTTCAGTATCTTTCCTCTCAACCAGTATCTTCTGAACGTGCTCAATGAGCTTTGTGCAGGTCACTAACACAGCGTCCGGAGGGAATTCATTGGCGATGGCCAGAGCAACTTGGATCCTCTTCGGAAGCTCGCCAGCATCTTGGCGTGGATCCTTTTTGGGTTTTGAGTCACGCAGCACATGGCTGCTGAAAAGAATGCCCAGGAAAAGCCACAGATGCTCATTTGCCCCCAGTGTCTCGATCAGTTTTACATACATCGGCAATCGGCGATGCTCAGGAACGTCCAGGATGATGTCTACAAAGACATTAAGCACTGGAGCTACTAAGAATTCCAACTCCTCGCTAGACTTTTCTTCGCTCTTTTTCACCAGGATCGGGATCACGTTCTCAATTATGTTAGAGATGATCTGAAAGCTGTAAGCGTCATCCTGGCGCACCACTGAAGAGCCCATGAAAGTGAAGATGTCCATCATGTTGTGCAGTACTTGTTCAGGAATTATTGAAGAAGCGAAGCAAATGAGCTGCAGTGCGTGATGATGAGTTTGAGGATTGTGCGACGCTCTGATGCATTGAATTACCAAGTCGATCTTGAATACACTATCTGAGATGATATTCTGCTTGTCCTCGATGTCCTGGCAACTGAGAAGAATCGAGGAGAGGACAATCTGTTTGGTGTATTCCACAGGACTTTGCTCTTCAAAGTCTACACAGCGCTTTAGGATGCCAAATAGGACGCTTAGCAGACCATTCATATTTCTCACTTTCTTTCTGGACTGCATGAACTCCAGGAGTGTCACTCCTATTAACCATTCTTTCGTTTTCAAGACATCCGGAGACGCTGTGATTTTTACAGCCTGAGGTACTTTAGCTTTATGCATCTCCTGCAGCATCCTTTCCAGAATCTTCGCGTCAAAGTCAATCTTCTTAATGAAACGTCCCAGACACGTTGGCACTTCTGGCCAATCAGTAAATGTGGCCACGGAGACGATCAGTCGCAAGAACATCTCCTGATATTCCTCATTTATCACTGCAAACATCTCTGTGTCGAAGTTCTCCACAAAAGCCACGGTAGTGCTGGTTAGAGACTCTCCAGGATTGTCTAAGAGAGCTCGGCATTGCATCACTTCCTTCACAAATTGCCACGTTTTCGGCTTCCTGTGTATACTTTTGATGGTGTCCTGATTGAAGCGCATTACAATTTGTCTAATGATCAAGGACTCCTGGACAGAGAGGAAGTCTGAAGCTTGCTTCAAGATCGCCGTGCCAACTGGAGCCAGTCTCTCCAAGATTTCTGCATCATTGATGTGCTGAAAAAGCACAAAAATACTGCCTTGAATCTCTTGCTGATCGCAACTTTCCTGAGCTGCAAACTCCAGGCACGCTTCCCGAATGGATGCCAAGTATTTCTTCTCGATAAACTTCCTTCTCTTTAGAGCACCCCGATTTGGAGCCAGGATATTGTATAGCACCATAGAAATCTGTTCACTGTCCATCAGTAGCTCTTGCTTTTGCTCCAGCAGCAGTGTAGAGAAGAGTTTTAGTCTCTCCGAAGGCAATGTCTGAATGATTTCCCAGGTTTCCACGATGCAGTCGCGTACAATTGAATTATCTTGTCCCAAACCGATTAGGAATTTCCTCAACACACTGTCAGAGAGTTCATCGGGTTGTGAAGACTCCAGAATGGCATTTGTGAGTTTGATTGCCTGAACCTGAAGCTCTGGAGAGTGACAAATGAAGAAATCTGCCAAGAAGTCCAGTTTTCCCTCAAGTGTGGAGGATATTCTCTTCAAGAATTCCTTCAAAAGTCTCTTATACACTTCCTTATGCTCTTCCTGCTCACCACTACTGAAGAATCTCATCAGCAATAGCTCAAACACTTGGATTTTGGGGAAATGCGCACAGTTAATGATGCTCTCGAAGCATTGTGATATCAAACTCAGCGGAAGTTTGTTATTTTGAACAATTTCATGGGACTTCTTAATGTCTTTGAACACAATCTCTGTAGTTGTCTGGAGACATTTACTGAGAATTCCAAGGAATTCACAACAGATTTCTGAATCTGTAGCACTCTTTAATGATGAGGATATCAAGAGTAGGGTGTAAAATCTTTGAGCACTACCCATATTGTCTGTCTGAATATGAGGAATTAATTTTTGTGCCTCCGGAAGACCTTTTTTCTCTAACAGCATTCCATACACTGCATATCGGACGTCTTCAGCTGTGTATGATTTGGATTCATTGATCTTCTGGCCACACATTGTTAAAAAGACGTTGGATTTGGCGAAATGTGACTTTAGAATCTGCCTCGTTAACTCCACAGTATCATTGCTTTTTGGGAAGAGGTACTGAAATATGGTGAGAAAGATTCTGTGGTAATCATCTTCCTGCCACTTCTTGTACTCTGTCAAATGACGGAGGCACGCGAGCTTCGCCTTGTTCCAGTTGGCCAAAAGAGATGCTGATTTGTTGAGAGTAGCGAGAAGCTTCGTGACCACAATTTCTTCACCCATTAGCTGAATCAGTGCCTCCGTGGGAAGCTTAAGAGCCTGCTCAATGACTTTTGGGTTGTCATCCGTGAGTCTCCCTCCCAGGCTGTCTCTCAACAGATCCTCGTTCTCACCACTGATTGTAACCTTCGAGAAATTTTTCACCAGATATTTAACAGCTTCCATGCGGAACTTTGCCTGGTGATGGTAGAGATTCTCGAAAATATTCTCTTCTCCATCTGTGAAGGAGACTTTAAGCAGGAAGCCAAGCACGGCTTTGAGGGCGGTTTTCCTACTCTCAGATATTTCCTCGGTGCTTGACATGATTCTCTTAATCACACGATCAAATGTCTCAGGATATTGTCTCTCGAGGCTTTTCAGAAAGTTAGAGTACCAAGACGACACGTCCATATTGCTATCGCTCAGGGCAATATCACTTTCATCCCCAGAATCAATGGTAATCACGTCCGGACGCTTCTCTCTGAGGACGTAGTTGTTTAGAGCGCATCTGAAACAATAGATACAGTTTTTCCCATATCGCACGGCATTACCCTTAAAACAATGTTCAATTCATCTCATTATGACGTGAGGAAAGTAAATTATTTTTACTTAGATTATAACCTTTCAGTTAAAATCTATAAAACAAACTTAAAGTGTAGTATTAAAGGTAAAGAATTAAACTCACCTGATGACAAGTTCAGCTTCCTCGTCACTGAATCTAACGTTTAAAAGGAGATTTTCGCAGAAACTCTTGCAGGGGAGTAGATTATCGCTCTGCTGCTGCACTTTTCGGAGCGCCAATGCCAGAACAGGGAAGACAAATCGATCAATTCTCACTCCCTGGGACACAAGCTGGCCTAAGTACTCGGGAATCCACCTGGCTTGAATCACGCTTTTTAGGCTCTCTTCTGAAATCTGGCTAAAGTGCTTCTGCTGCGTCTGGTATATAAGAATCAGCAGCATTGTGGCGTCCATTTGAAGACTGGTCGGAGCTGGAATCACGATTCTGGAGATTATCTTGTCCAGAGTGTTTGACGAGATAGCTGTCTTGCTGAGCAACTGTCCCAGGATCATGTACGAGGCTGCAGTGAAGTCGAGGGCGGAGGATGAGAAACCTTTGAGCAGACTCGGTAGAATTGCGATTACGTGGCTCTCATTGACTTCTCGGACGGTCTCTAAAGCGCCAATTACTGTAGTCGTATAGAAACCCATGAGCGCCTGCAGGGTGTGCGATCGATTGCCGTGTTCTTTCACAGAATCAGTGACCATTTTACCGATGAATTGCAGGAGGAACGGATCGGTGGCGGCGTGATTCATCAGCGTTTGCTTGGACAGCGGCATCCCAGACTTCTTGCAGCTCTGCAACCAGCCCCACTTTTTCTCCGATGCTCGTAAATTCAGTACCTGCACACACCGGGCGAACATCCGGGACTCGTAGAAAGGCAGAATGGTCATCATCACTTCGTCTTGATTGAAGGATTCCACATGGAAACGCCTGATGAGCCACTCCAGGCACTTGTGACTGCTCTGTAGCATAAAATAGGGCGACAAGCGCATCAGGAACTTCTTAATGTTCTTATCCAGGAGTCTGTTGACTTCGCTGTCTTCAACTGAGCGTTCCAGATCGCGAGCAGAACGGTCGAATAGGGTGGTTTCAAAGGACTGAAACTCGCCATTGAGGGCAATCAATTCCTCCAGGCCACTCAAGCCGATCTCATAGATTGTCTCCCTATCCTTGTTGGCCGCCTCCTTGTGGTCAAACAGAATCGAAGGCTTAGCTTTCCGGTCGATAAGTTGAGAGGTTTGCGGCCTCTGCAGCCGCTTCAGCTGTTCCGCTAAGGAAGTTGACATCTAGTAGAGAAAATTGTTTAGTGAGTGTCTTGAGAAGCTTTCACCATGAAGAAATTTACCTTTTGAAGAGTTTCCAATGAAGATAAACAAGGAAATTCACTTAAAAACTGAAAATCGCGGAAAAACACGTGTGAGTCGAAGAAACGTCACTTTTGTGGTCGGCTTCTGAGCATAAACAACACGAAGACGCCCGACCGAAAGCACGACACGAATATCCAAGACACACGTTTTGTGCTCAGTTTTAGTCGAAAACAGAATGGCGGGAAATTTAAAAAGCAATAATGGTAATATTGATTAAAATTGCCAATTTATTTATTTTCAAGCTACTTTCGAAACTTTTCTTTTGTGATATTTTAATCATCACTAGAATTTGAAGAAACTGTGACAATGGCTCATTGACAGAGTCACTGGCGAAATCACATACATATGAGACGGTGGAAGCTCCTCCTCTAAATCCCATCTTCCATTTTCCCTCATTCCCACGCGGAGACAATCAATGTGGAAGGCATCCATGCTTGAGGATTTATTTTCTTTCCTTCCCACCCGAGATATCCCCGAATTCGCACAATGATGCTGAGCGAGTGGACGATAATAAATCACGTGGCCGGATTTTGACAAGATGAGGATCAGCAAATGAAGTTGATGTGCGTCCCTCAGTGTTTGCCGGATTTTGGGGTTCACTGTGGGAGTTTGGCCACATGCTCGTTGTCGCTTTTTTGTTGGGAAGGTCTTTGGGCGAAAAAAAGGGAAGGATGAAAGCTATTCTGAATCTGGATGCAAAATGATGAATAGTCAATGGGTTTTGGAGTTCAATCTAAAGCTCATTGGGTGGGCAATGGAATGAAAATCATGATGAGATTCGGGAATTTATCATATTTAGTCATTTAGAATAACACTGCGTTTTAAAGTTTTTATCGTTTTTGTAATAAAAAAAAACGAAAAGAGGAGCTAAAGTCAATGTACATAGAGCAACTCACCCTAAAAACTTCTTCCACCAAAGTTCCAGGTTTTAACCTATCTGAAACCGACAGAACGAGTTGTGTTTTTGTGGATGTCTTATAAACAACTATTTGGAGAAGTTTAAGAGAAGAGTTTTTTCGTGACTTTTTGTCTATCAACTTACTTCTGACCGTCTAATTACTACACTACTTATATTTATAATCATATAACCCATTTTAGCATTTTAATCTATAAAATAATTATAATACGACATCTTTGCGACAACTTCGCTGCTTCCCTCGCAAGCAGCGACTATAAAAATGTGTAGCTAAAGTGGGAAATGCAAGAGTGAGAGCAGTGAACATTTAACTAAATCATTTTCTCATTTGTTTTTATGTCTGCCTTTCATCCCTTATCCTTCCGCCATTATAACTTTCTTAACTCGCCTTGTTAAAAACTTTCCTCGATTCTGTGCCGCGAATAATAAGAAATGTAAATTTAAAGTCGAGGCAGCGCGCTTTGGAGAATGGCGGGAAAGTTGATGGGCGAAAAAGTGCGGCGCGCGGGAAGATGAAATAATGTGGCAAAGAAGAGTATTCACAATTGCCGAGTAATTTTGCACATGCTTCAGTGGTGGAGTGTGAGATTATTTTGAGAAAGGCAGCCAAGACAATGGGTGTTGCGGGCGGGAGGGAGAAAAGCTCGGGAAAAGTTTTGGGAAAATTAACATGTAATTGAAGAGTAATAGAGTCTTCGCCGCAAAGTATTTCCTCTTCGTTCCTTTTTACTCGACAAGAGAACCAGACGTTCAAGTCAGAACGTCAAACTTTCTCAGCACTCTCGAGGGGGGTCTGAAAATAATTTTAAAGTGTGATTATTCTCTTCTTTTTCCCACCACCCCCCAGCTTTGGATTTTCCCACAGAGTCGGACGGATGCGTGCCATGGCAATTAACACACGATAATGTGGCAAAATGCAATTCGCCACCGACTGAGTGTCTCTACAGCAATTCTTCGTCTGGAATATTCCTGCCCACACGAAGAACTGTCCCAATCGCACTTAGAGCAGTAAGAGGTGAAATGCGAATTATTTTACAATCATCGTAAAAAGCGTAAAAGCTCAAGAGGGCACAACCCCCATTTTTCTGGTCCCCTGGATGTGGAGACTGATTTGCGAAACTCACTTGATATAATCCCATTTTTGAATGGAATTTTTATGACATATGAAATTGACGAATGTCCGTCTCTTTTATTATTTATTATTGCCACTTTTCTGACATATGAAAATATTTACCGTACACCAATATTTTACGAACTCCCACATATCCGTTTTTTACCAACCCTCGTACGTCTCCCGACGCCACCCACAGTCTTTTTCCCCGGGTGTCTGAGCAAGAAAGCAAAGAAGAAGAGGAGTTTCCAATTTTTATGAATATTAAATAAAGTGATACGTTCCTCAGAGTGACAATATTATGGAGAAAGGTGCACTGCTAACAACAGTAGAGTGAAGTCTTGTGTTCTGCTTTCTGCAGTCGTGTTCTGGTATTTTACTGAAAATTTCACTACATGATTGAAAGAAATTTTTGTTTTTATCTGCACATTTGCCAGAAAACAGAAAAGGACTGACCAAAAATAGAGAATATGTGATAGATAAACTTTTAAATGAAAGCTGCAAGGATGAAACTATGACATTATGTTCAAGAATGGCGATATAGCGAAATTCTATAATGGAAAGCAAGATAACAGGGCTAAGCAAGGCAAAATGGTTTCTTCTACCATATTACATCTGACCTACAGCATCAGTCCATTTATTTGTCATATTAATTCAAGTTTCGTCTCTTTTAATCAGTAACCCTGAATTAGTCCATCTATTCATCTTTTTACTTCTATGTGAGCATGTGATAACCTGTTCCACAGCTAGGCAGTCGGAATCAAGAGTGAGTTTGTGAACTACCTTGTTTGCCAGAATGAAAAAGAACTTGACGTTGAAGACTTGACAGTGTACCCGTGAAGAGGGATCCCATTTCCACTGTCGATATAACATTCGATGACTCTTTTGCACATTTTCCTGTTTTAATACATTTACTTTTCCCAAGGATATGCCGTTGCACGCCACCGTGTGGAGATTGGGGGGTTGGACAAGTGGGAATACTCTGTTGGGAGATGTCACGTCTCGTATGGTATTTTTCAAATTCAACCTTTCTGGGGCTGTTTTGAAGGCATCTCCGCCTCCCTGCCCGGGACACCCATCAAAATATGACATGGAAGAGCGTTCATCTCGATTTTCGTTTCATAGCTTTCAATATGCATTCGCCAGAGGAGTTGGGGAGTTTGAGGGTGGCTCGCCCAAGTAGATTGCTACTATCTTGCGACTTCTCGTGGGGACAATATCGGGCGCAGGTGATGAGTGAATTTTCCTCGCTGTAGCAATTGACTTTGGGGGCGTCAATTTCGTTGAAGACTTCCGGATGGAATTGAATCCCTCACCATGGACAAATAATCCATTGAATAAATAGTGAAAATATCATACTGTGGCAACATATCGGGTTGCTCTGTTGGGGAGAATGTCTCTTCTCGGGAATTGATGGGTGTTTGAGAGACAAAGACGTGGCCATGGATGAAATTGTAAATTGAGAATTTGTCCAAGTTTTGTCGTAAAAGCTTTTAGATGGAGACTGTCTCTGGCATTTTGTCTGGACATGCATATCGCATAGCATTTTATGAGCGTAACACATTTTTGCATTTTGCCATCGCGGATTTAGAAGGGGTGCGAGATATTGTGATACAAAGCTTGGAGTGTGTGCGGCTAGTGTTGTGCGCTCGGGCACATTGGTGATGCTTGCGAGATCAGACAAATCTACACATTCTCACATATGATCCTTGATTATTTTCCCTCGGAGGCGAACGCCAACGTAACCGGAATACTAAAGAGGGAAGACATTCTGCTGGAGCAGATTTCTTTTACCTCCTCTCCAGTTCATTCGCCAGATTCATTCAACTTATAAGAACACTGTTTATATCTCTATGTCTCTCCACCTCTGTCCATTCACACTAAATATTGTAGAAATTGCCGGGGTGCGGCGAAGGAGTCCCTCGGGGAGTATCTGGGGCGGGGGGCGGCGGCCAGAACAGTGATCGAATCTCCGTGGAGAATTTCGTATTCCACGGCTGTACTCTCAACGTCGGACTGATTTTCATTATACGAGAAAGAAGAGTACATAGGATGGAGGACGATAAAAGTATATACAGTCGGTTAGTTTCTCAACAATGTATTCGTCGTTTTTGCTTGAGGAATTTCTCGCTCGTCTCTCATTGCCAGCCACAATTTTCCAGGGCAATCTCTCGAGGAGATTTTTCTTCGGCATTCAAAATTGATTGGTGGTGCTTCTGCTTGAGTGATTTCTTTGGGAAACATTTTAGGATTTTCTTAAAGTATAGTAATGGATTTGAAAATTAAAGCGTTGCGCTTCCGATAAATTTCTCTGTAAGAATAAAGCATTGCATTTAATGAATATTAGAAGGTATATCGGGAATCGGATACAATTGAATATTATCCCAAGTCACGAACAGATGCAATTGTAGCGTAAATTACATTGGATGTCTTCATTGAATTAAAATGGGCATGAGGGTTGTCGGTATATCTTATTTCTTTTTCTACTTCTCCCCTTCCATCGAATTAGCGCCGAAGCATCAATTTACAATTTGATCTCAATTTCAGAGCATCTTGTGCTGCAATGAATGGTAATCAATGAAATTTATCCCCATTTTCGTGGCATCTTTTAGTGTTTGAATAATTCCTCAAGAGCGTCTGCCACTTCCACAGAGAAAAAAGGAGATAATGAAATTTACATATCGTCACTCTTGGTGTTCGGATCTTGAGACGCGTGTGCATCTCATTGTCTTTGGGAAAGTCGCACAGAATGAAATTATCCTCTTCCTGGTTGTTTGATTCGATTTGTCAAGGAGACTCGTACACACTTTGAATATTGGATAAGGGTGGATGCGACGAGGTGGAGCTGCAAATCCGATGAAGATTACCTTTTCACCGTTCTTCCCAGTCTCCCGGCGAAGGGTGGAATTGTGAATCAATTAAGATTGATTTGTTAATTCCAGGCATTCCCGGTCTTTCAAGAGAGAAGATCAGCCGAAAAACTAAAATTCAGTGGTGAGAGTTAGTAAAGTGATCCAAGGCATTTTCCCATACTACTTAGCAATTCATCAATATTCTGTGTACGTAATTTTTTCCACCCATTTTACAATGTGAAGCTCCCCTATTTTTCAATGAAATTAAGGGTGAGTCAGGAGGACATGATACGTGTCAATTGACAAACTGGTAAAAACATTCAGGGTGATTGTACGAGACAATCTGGATCATTACTTTATCACATTCATCTGGATCTCTGTTAACAAGCTGATCTATGTTTTTAATAAAATACTTTTATTAATTTATTCAATGCTTTTCACAGACTAAAAAACATAAAAGTTCACCATAGTAATGAAAAAAAAAACTCCAAAACTTGGTGAAGAAACTTGAAAACAATGTGTTTTTATTAAAATGTTTAGTTTATTACAATTTACATTCTCATCTGCAAAATGAATTAATCGATATGTTGATTTTTCTCAGTGTACCAAATTGTCCTGAAAATCCAATATGGAGCTTGCTGTGAAGTGACGGATATCGTCTTGACTTCATTTTAAGACTTTTTCCACACGAAAATTCCCCTCATGAAGACAGCATATCGCTCCCAATTGAATTTCCATTGGGCGGAAGGTAGTAATTGAGACAGATTGAATTTGAATTGACTCTTCGCCGCATCGGAAGCGTTAATATGTCCAATGGCAAAATATTGCCGATGAGTAAACATCAATTATGGGATATTTCAATATTGCGTCATTAATATCAGGAGGAAATTGATTGTCTGACGTGCGGGGAAAGTCATGAAAAATGATCTCACACATTAAATTCAACGACGCTAAGTGATTATCAATGAAATTAATCAAATGGGTGGGCTTTATAGCCGCCCTCTTGCTCTTGAGGGTGTGGCAACATAGGAGCAGACTTACTTTGTAGGCGATTTTCTCACTGGGATTTTCACACAGTTGCAAGAAAAGACGCAAATTTGCAATTTATCTTAATGGTTGGTGTGTTTTTCTTAGTATTTTTTTATTAAAAAGAAAACATTGACAATATTTTCATCTTTTACACCTAAACAGTATTTTCAATTAAATTTACAATGATTTTATATTGAATTATCTTTGGAAAATGGTATGTACAGTTGCCAAATTGTGTGTCTGTGTGTGTATGTTCTTCACATTTTGACTACTGTATTCATCTTGTTTTCATACTTAGGAGAATTACACTTTTATTACACTCTAGTTAAGTTTTATTTGGCTATTCTCATACAAAATGATTTTAAATATCTCTAGAGACTTTTTAGTTTAACAAAATTGGAGAAGAATTGTGTCTTTGTCTAGCTATTAAATAATATGTGTATGTATATTGATTAAACATTTATTCTATCCACTATAAAGATGCGTTTGATGGAATCTCGAGAATACTTTGAGATGTGAATTAAGGGAATGATCATTTTTGCAAGATCAAGTACATAATTACATATATGGTTTCTTTAGCTAAACCTTAAATCTTATTGGTATTCATACTTATGTACACTTTAAAACACTGTAAAATGTATCTTCTTTCTTTCGGTATGTCTTTCTTTTTTGGTGATTTCCTAGTGGAATTTCGCATTCATTTAATGGGAAAGTGCGCTCGTAAAATGTCACGCTTTTTGGTTCACAATCATTGCACTGGGGCTTAAATTGACTTAGGTTTAGTGAATGGTTTGCTTTTGGCTCCACACTGTTGAGGGGAAAGAAGGAGTTTTCTCTATGATTTTATACATTTTCTCTTAGTATAGCACCACAATAAAGGATATAATCTCACTGTCGCCTCGCCATTTCTTCTCTTGCGAGATGAAGCAATATATAGAGAATTGTAACAATTAAAATTCTTCCACAGTTTTGCTGAGGAGTGGCGGGAAAAATGTGTGGAATTTGATGGTTTCCTGGGCGAGAGGCGGTCCTCCTTGTCTTGGCCTGGTCCAGGAGTTGAGTCATTCTGGTGGTTAGTTGACCAGTGGTCTTAGTTCGGTGTGCTGTGTCTCCTTGTGGCGTCGCAAATCGACTTTCCGCTGGAATGCTTTGTGGCACAATTCACAGGCAAATGGCTTATATCCTGTGTGCTTTCGACTGTGGGTAATTAAGTTGGAGCTCTGGCTGAAGGCTTTTCCACATACTTGGCATTTGTGTGGCTTTTCACCTATATGAAAGAGAGAAAAACATATGAAAGAGAGCTTCTCTTTTGACTTGCAGAGGGAGGATTTCCATTATTAATTCATTCCGACTCAATTGAAGAACTAAATTCACCAATATAATTGCTGCGTGAAAAACTGACGGCAAATGAGATGAGATCAATTTAGAACATATTAATAACAATTTAAATAATAAATGAGTGTCTTTTATTGGCAGTTTCAGGCATGGGTGGAAAAATATACTCATGCAGCGTATTTGCAGTATCATTGATTTGCTCGCGGTGGGAAAGAAAAGGGAGTGGAAGGCATTTTCGTATACGCACTCGGAGAAAATATATGTCGTTTGTACGAAAGTGTTTCCCATTGATAATATCTTGATCTTCTAATTCCGTGATTTTTTTGTACAGTGATCTTTTACGTGGACTACATTGGCCATAACAGCCGACTTTCCCCTATCGTCAAATTATCGCTACTTTGCTCTCTTAAATCCCATGAATATTAATGGCGTAATCTGCATGTCTTTAATCATTTAGACAGAAATTAATACCACTCAAATTCAATCAGATCCACCCGAAGAATCGCATTTATTAGCAGTGTGAAAACCCATAGGCGTCCCGGAAGAGCTGAAAATGGGGTGATAATGTTGATATCATTGACGATGAGCGTGCAATGTAATGATTTGATTATCCGTCCGATGAGTGATGATTTCCCCAAAAGGATTCCCATGAAGACAAAAGGCTGGCAAATATGCTTCGCCCCTTTTGTTGTCGGTGGTGCGAACAATGGGAATGCTGTGGCAAATAAAAGGGGGATGATATGGACGCATTTTGCCGCGAAATGATGTTGACAAATGACCTCTGTGGTCAGGAGAAGAGACAGAGCAAGTTATCTGAGAGATAGGAAATTCTTTCACGCAGCGCGCGTGTGGGTTTTTATTAAATTTCTGGATTAAATACTCAATTTATGGTGCCACTGAGCATCACCTTTTGTTGCCCTCTTGATTTATGGTATTCAATTTTAAAGGCATTAGGGATTATTAGCGATATTCGTGATGGTTTGTTCAATTGAGGGGTCGAATTCCGTGCTCAAATTTATCATTTTCACTGCTCAATATTATACACCATTAATAAATTCTTGGCTCTTTATTGAACATTTGTGTCACACTTGACCAGAATCACTCCTTATGCCGCGCAAAATGCGACCAGAAATCGCATTATCTTCATTGGTGTGTCGTGTTTCAGCGAATTGGTGGAGATTTTGTTACAAATCCACCCTCTCTTGGATTGAGGCAATTGACATGTGCTGGATTTTTCGCGTCCTAATTCAATTGGCAAGGGGTGTAAAATTTCGTCCGTCGATATGCAAATTCGTGCCGAGAGTCATTTTTCGTGAGTCGCAGGTCAATCGATATGCCGAGGGCGCGAAGTGGCCGAAGATGGAGGGAAAGTCGGCAGTTGGGAAATAGTATAGAAAACCCTCCACTATATTTTTGATTGGTTCGCTGAGATTTTGCGACGCCCACTCCCACAGTATCCATAGCAACTCCACTGCCGTCACTTTATCATCTCGCTGGCGAGCAAAAAAGCTCACTAGACGGGGCCTCGGAGCTTTCGCAGCTGCACTCAAACTTTGTCCTCTAACTTGATGTTTTCCACTCGAGGAGAATCCATATAGTCGAGAGAAAGTTATAAGATGATAAAGACTAAAGTAGAGCGGAGAAACAACTAAGATCACGAGCTTTCTCATATTCTTGATTCGAATAGTGAGAAGTATGAAATAATATTGTAAAATTTGCAAATACAATGTAGTTCGAAGAGATTCATCGTAAATGCTGTGTGAACTATGAAAATTTTCAATTCTTAATCAAAATTTTGCCCATTCAAAGCGTGTTTTGCGGGGTAATTATGGCAAGAACCATGGTAAAATTTTGCTGCGAGCTTAGTCAACTTTATGATGTTTTTAGTCTGTCTATGTCGAAAATCGATTTCGGGCTCGTCATGATATGCATAATGCAATATCGTTAGTGATGACAATATTCATAAGTGCAGTTTTTTATATTCGCGTGTATTTCCAATTTTTAAGTAAAATATTTCCCCCTTGGGTGGTAATAAGTGTTCAGCTCATGAGGACAAATCTTGCTTTTTCTCTCTTGTGAAATCCTTTGGCAAAAAATCGATTTAGAATTTTCCAAGCACACTCGCCATCAGTATTTTCCAGCTCACAAAGGAGACGTCGAGGCATTTGCGGATGATGGTGGAAAATAGTTGTGAGGGTGGAAAAGCATGAAAAGTGTGATTCAGTGTTCAAAATTCTGCTTGTTGTGAATATTTCATTAGTTTTAAATGTGCAAATCCTCGTCTTTTCCTCCTTCATCTGGGCACATATGAATAACACAAAGCAAAGCCAATATCACAATAAAACCTCCAACCCAACAGTCACGATGTGATCCTCGTTCTCTCGACTATTTTAGTGTGAGCTTGGGAGTTTTGGGGGAGGCCCCAAAGCTCACGAGGGGAGCATTTGAAGAGCGATATTGGGTGGAATTTGAGTGTGTAAAGAACAGGGATTTTCTGCATAAGATGGGGGAAAGCTTGGGGGAAAGAGTGCGGAGGTTGGAAAAATGCTCATCAGGCAGAGAAGCCGCAATCCGCGATGGTTGCCATAAAATACCAGAAATCTGCTATAAAATGGATGGAAGGGAAAGCCACAGTATAACATTTTCGTGTCTGTTCCCATAAGAAATTTATGAGATATTCCATCTCCTTATTATCATTGTTATGATTGTGGCCATTATTTTTGCTTCTTTATAGCATACACTGTGTGCACTTTATATGTGGTGCTTCTCCAGCATCAAAAATCATCGCATGAGACAGAGACAGAGGAAAATTTATGTGCCTTTCAACATAGGACGGAGAGTGGGGGGGGGAGGAAAAAGAGCAAGAAAATATCCAATTTTCCCTTCATCACTCTTGGGTGAAAAATCCACTGACTCTCATGGAGAAAAAAGGGAAAATTTAGCGAAAAATGTTAACATCATCCTGTCGACACTGTACATCACATATGTCTAAGCGTTTTGCGGGATGGAGAGGCTTATGTACGACTAAATGATACATATATATAAATCTCATGTGTGTGTTGGAGGGAAAATATATAAATGACATGAGAGATGCTCGAGAGTTGCTGTAATCGCAGTCCCATTAACCTTCCCTTTTCCGGTCCCATCTGGTTTCATCTCCGGGAAAATCCGAACCAAAATCACCACACAGTGCCATGAAAAATCTTTCTGGTTTATTCACTCCCTCTCATTGCCACTAAAAGCTTCCGCGACACCGGATCGAGTTTCTCACATTAATATCAGTGTGGGCGGGATTTTCCGCCCGCACAATTAATGGATACTTGCAATGAAATTTTACAGCACGTTCAATGTGCTTTTTCCTTAATTAATTTAAAAGAATTTGAATTATTTATTTCGTAAAAATATTTAAGAAAAAATATTTTAGAGTACAAGTTGATTGAAATTCATGGAGATTTTGACTTCAACGAAACTTGTTCTTCCTTACAACTTTGGCAGATGATAAGCTTGGTACATGATTTAGAACAGCGATGTTTGATTTCACAACTAGGTATACATTTTTAAATCAAAACACAATATGTCCAAACTATGTTCATTCAGTGGCAACATTTCGAAAAAATTGTGTTAAATCTTCGGACTTTTATTATGGTTAAAGTTACTAATGCCTGGATTGTATGTATTTCGTTTTCTTTTTCTCAATACGGATTTTATGTATAAGTTTTTAACCAGTTTTGGATTCATGGTTACCCTAAAACCGCAACTTCTGTATGCCTGATTCGAAATATTTTATTTGAAATAAAGAAATTTCAAATTTTTCAATTTTGTTTCGGAGTCTTTTTGGGTTACTATAATTTTTATGGCACTTTCTCGCAAAAGCAGAGATTCTCAAATTGAATCTGTGCAGAAAGGGATGAATCTCAAAGGATTTCCCAAGTAATGTGAGCGATCCAGAAGGGTGCACAGTATCAGAGAGCGAAACGCAAAGGGAGAAGGAATGAAAGAACCCAGATGCCAAAATTGAGAATCTCGATGTTGCTATCAGTGAGTGGAACGGAATAGAAGTTATGGGAGAGCAATAAACGTAAATTCCATTATAAGTATATACACACACTCACAGAGATGAGAATCAAGTGAGACAGACGGTGTTATAAAAGCTCAAACTCCTTTTATCAGGATTTAACAGCATGAGAAGAGATTGCTTTCAATCTCCAGACCCGGGGAAAATCCCATCGAGCGGATGGGAAAAAACGAGGTGCCTTTCTCGCCCATTTATCGCTGTTTTGCTTTCACAGCTTTTCCTCCCATTTCCGCGCTGAAGCTTTCTCTCAGTTGAGCTTCAATCGACATTTTCCCAAATGTGTTCTCTCACTTTTTTTGAGAGCGTTTTTCCCACTCCCAAATTGTACATATATGTATGCATGTACATATGTATGGGGAGAAATTTTACTGGTCAGAGCTGGGACACTTCTCTCTCACTCTAGTGCGGAAAAGAATCGGGAAAAGCGTTCGTGTTGTGGGGGGAAAAGTGAGATGAATGGATTTCTTCTCTCGAATTCTCCTCTCTTTCACTCCATTTCCACATGGCAGATTTGCTCGTGAGGGTGTTTGTCGAAAGATTTTTCCAGAGATTTCGTATTTATGACTGAAATAAATTTTTCTTCCGAGGCTATGCGAGAGTCAGAAAAATCAATGAAATTTAATATTCAACACCGGCTGTGGGATCATCCAGAAAGTGTTCTTTGCAGCAGTTCTTTTTGACGAAGAAGTTCTGTTTTGATTTCAAGTCCTTGCCTCGTCTGAAGTGTGATTTTTCGCCATTTCCCTTTTCCACAAGCAGAAAATGCAATTAAGGTACAGCACAAGAATTTTTTCCATAGTCGATTCAATCTAAATTTTGGGCTTCACATCACAAGTGTTTGCCGATGTAATTTCCAT